GAGCCGTTTTCAACGAGAATGACGATATTTCGTCGAGAACCGCAAATACGGTTGTTGTCGACATTGAACGAGTCGATGAGGTCAATGTGGTTCGTTTGGGAAATCCACTCAATGAAAAACCTAAGCCTTTAAGCCTGTAGAATTTCAAGCTGGAATCCATTGTAGCTATGGAGCAAACAAGAACAAGAAATTCTCTAGGCGTAACTTTCGGGTGCCGTAGTTGGGTCACTAGAGGCTCTCTAAGTCTTTAGTCTGGGGTACTGTAAGACCCTTATCTGAAGTGCCGAAACTCCTGCAACTTTAGAAGGAGTACCGTAAATCTCAGCGATCGATCAGAATTCGATTTCCAGATCCCCACAGTCTCGGGCATTTTGGCAAAACGGGAACACCACTTCATTCTGCCGCCAATGCAAGAAACAACAGGGAGAACGATTGCGAGAACGGTGGCCGCCATTCCACAGGTTAGAGACATTACCGTAGCCTCCCACCAAACGGGGACACGCTTTAGAAAGTTCAGCGTTAAATTTTGGAATACGGTAACCAGAAGGTTACGGTAGACAACCCCGACAATTACCGTAACCAAAAGAGTGCTGTATTTTTAACAGGCCTTAAGAACTACAGTACTTGAATGTTACCGTAGTTTGAAGGTAGAGGACACGTTTTAAGAAACGGATTACGGTAGTTCAACATATTTCACCTAAACACCCCAATTTCCAGACAGTTTTCACAGTCGTCTCGGTCACTTACGCCTATTGTGTCTCGATCATCGCTTTTCTCGCGAGTTTCGTCTGGAAATGACCAACAAAAAATATTATTCTCTTTCAAATTTGTGCCAACTCTGACGGCTATTCCCCCTTGTGATCACAAATCTTTGCAAAATACTTCTGAAAACGGGTGTTTTTTAAAAGAAAATCGATAATTTATTCAAACGATCCGATAAACAGTTTTCAACGTCACTTAAACTTTATAAAATCACAAACCATTTAAAGTTTAGCATTTACCATTTAAAAAACCAACTTTTCAATTCAAAAACAGAGTCTCCTCGTTTCGGCGTTTCGCGACGAAAGTACCCGGTTTATTCTGTGCCTCCGGATGATTGGCCAACTCGTGGGGACACGTTGAGATCGGCGACTCCATTAAACACTAAAGAACGGGCTTTTTAAAGAATTGTTGGCACTAGGGCTGTCCTAGCGTCATTTTCCAGGTCGAATCAAGCCAAAAAGCCAAATTTGAGAAGCATGTATTTGGTTTAACGGCCCTTAATAATTCAAAAACCATAAAAACTTTGGCTTGAGTCCTAGCCTAGGGCTTTTAGTAGTAAGTTTTGTAAATAGCTAACTCTTGTAATATTCGGGTTTAAAAAGGTTTTACCTGTTTGAGATCATAAAAGACATCCTTGTCTTCGGGTGTGAGGAAAGTGATTGCTTTACCCTTCTTGCCGGCACGACCTGAAAGAAGAACATTTGAATGAAGCAAAAGGCTACATACCGGTTCGCCCAATTCTGTGCGTGTAATCCTCAATCGATTTGGCCATATCGTAGTTCAACACCAACGAGACGTCCTTGATGTCGATACCTGGAAAGCAAAAAAATTGAAAGTTTAAATGTTTTGCAAGTCAAACTGCTTCAATTACTAAAGAAGGTGTTCGGTCACAGTCAACAAAATTGAAATTTCTCACTAATCCTAGCATTATGGATCAAGAGTGGTATACTGCTGTGTGTTAGTATTATCTAGCAGCTTTAGCACTGGCGCTTTTTCATTAAGGCAAATAACGGTAGAGGTAAGTGAATTCTAGCGTAGAATGTGAGCCAATCATTTATCTTCAGCCAATCAACAACCCACCTCTGCCAGCGACATCCGTAGCAACAAGAATATTCTTTGTTCCGTCTTTCAGTGCTTGTAGAGCGTACTAAACGATGACTTTCCGTTATAAGTTACAGTAATACAAACCTCTCTCGCATCTTGTCCCTTTCCACCGTGAAGAACGCAAGGCTCGAAACCGAGTCGAGACAATCCCTTCGCCAACATGTCGGCTCCCTGAAAAATAAATTTAAGGTCTCAACTTTAAGTCACAAACAAGTAAAGGTGCATACAATAAAATGGTGGTTACAATAAAATCTTATCCAAGCTATCGTTTTAAGACTGATACAAACCTTCTTCTGATTGACGAAGATGATGATTGGGGGCTTGATGTCGCTGAGAGTCTAAAGTTGAACATTGAATCAATTTAACGTCATTTTCCAGACCTCGACAAGTTTCTTTCTCTTTTGATCCTCGGATGTCATGATGACAACCTGTTCGCATCGCTCTGTCGGCCGACCAACCGATCCAATATGTACAACGGCGGGACGACGAAGATAGGCACGAGCCAGTCGCTCGATTGACGAAGACATTGTCGCCGTGAACATGACAGTCTAAAGTTAGATGAGTAGATGCTAATAGAATTAAAGTTGCAAAACATTTAGTTGACTGAGGGACAGCTAAACCTGCAAACCCTCCAGCTGGATATCTTAATAGTTGATTTGAAAATCTGTTTAATTGAGCTAGCATAAGATATCCATTCAGCAAATGGCTGCTTATTTAAGGCTTAGTTTACTTAAAACACCTACTTGTCTGTATTTCTCTCTCGTCTGGAAGTTTTTCATCAACACCTCTTCGTTCTCCGTGTCATCGGTGTCAGGCTTCGAGTTGGAGACCGGTAAATATTCCAAGACCTAAAATCAATAGAATAAACTCTAAAACAAGGTATCTAGATGCTAAAATCGACTTTTCAAAGCCTATAGTACCAAAAACATTCAAACAATAATTTTTAAACGTTCCAACAAATTTCTACAGTACCTTTTGTACTTCGGGCTCAAAACCCATGTCCAACATGCGGTCAGCCTCGTCGAGAATCACATAGGAGCACTGGTTCAACATCAAATAGCGATTGTCGAGTACGTCGAGGAGACGACCCGGAGTGGCGATTACAACCTGACAAAGAAAATATTAGCCAAATCAAAAGCTTTTCAAAGCTCAAGAAATCCAGCTTTTCGCTAATTTGCTGTTTAAAGTCGCACAAGAGACAGCTAAAACCAAACCTCAACTCCCATTCTCAGCTTCATTCCTTGATCCTCTCGACTCGCGCCACCAATAATCGACACCGTGTTCACGCCGAGAAGCTCACCAAATTTCTTCGTCTCTTCCTCAATCTAAAAACGAAAGTATTTAAATGTTTAGGAACAGAAAATGTAATTACGTTCAAAAGAAAGCGTTTATTTTGACTAGATACTTTTTACGATGTTTTATTCACAAACCTGCTGAGCCAGCTCACGAGTGGGCGCCAAAATCATCGCGTACGGTCCCTCGTCTTTGTGATCCTGGCGCTCCATTTTGGGAAGGCTCGTGATCCAAGTCTAAACTTTCAATGTAAAAGCATCATAATAAAGCCATACCAAGAGTGGAATGAGGAAAGCGCACGTTTTTCCGGAACCCGTCTCGGCCACACCAATGACATCTCGATTCTGGAGTCCAATCGGGATGGCTTGCCGCTGAATCGGAGTCGGCTCTTTGTATCCAACCTAAAGCCTTTCCATTGACAAGACAATACAAGAAAGATTTCTAAAGACCAGTTTTCTAAAAGCGACATCTGGTTTTTTCTTTACAATATCAACCATGCAAACTTTTTTACCTTCATGATGGCTTTGAAAATCTCGTCCGGCAGCCCGCACTCTTCCCAATTGCGAAGTGGTTTCGGCACGCGTCCTCCCTAAATTTGCAATTTGCAATTTACAAAAGTCAAATAATTCGCCGTGCAATCACTGCCTTTATTACCTTTATAGTGATGTTGAAATCCTCGCGGAAAATTCGCCAATCTCGATCGTTCATCTCATCGAGCTTCTTCTCTCTCCAATGACGCTCATCGTAACGCGTTTGTTTCTCCTTTTTGTGCTCGATTGCCAATCTAAATTTTAAGTTTAGATATTTTTGAGATTTAAACTTAAGGGCTTCGGTCTAATTGGTTTTCACTTAAATAAAAAGAAGTTCTTGAAATTTTGGACTCGTCTCATATGCAAAACTGATCTTTTTACGGCATGCGATCATGTTTTAAATGGTCTTAAGCTAAAATTTTGACCGTTTAGTTACACATGCGCTTCCTCTTTCAATTTCAAATCATCATTCACCTCTTTTCCTCTTGTTCCTTTTCCTCGTCAGTCCTCCGCTTGTCCACAACTTCTCTGTAGAAAGAAGATCTGGATGTCTTTTGTGCGTTCACATCAACACCGGCAATAGCGCCACGGCCGAAGAATTGCACCTAAAAGACGGAATTTAGTAGTTTAAACCAATTGCATGCTAATTTGTTTACGTTTTAATAATTTACCTCATGTTTTTGTTGATAAAGCTTGTTATAATCGTTGCTCGTGTCCTCTCCAGCGTCCCAATCGAAGACGAATTTGCGCTCGTGCAAACGGCGACCACGCTTCTTCTTCTCCTTTCCATTGCCAAGGTATCTGAAACATTAAACAGTTTAACGAAAAACAAAGGCTTTTCTCAAATTAAGCTAACGACATTCTAAAACAATAAATATCGAACCTTTGCTTTCTTTTTCACAAGTTAAGCTTTTCATAAGTGTTCATGAATCCATACCTATTCTTGACAGCTTCTTTCAGCTTTTCTGTGTCCCGTTCGCTTCCCTTTTCTCCATCTTTTCTCTCGTCCTTTCTCTCGTCTTTTCTTTCGTCTCTTCCTCGATCTCGATCTCGATCCCGATCTCCATCACGGTCTTTTTCCCTTGAACGACTCCGATCGCGTCGATCCCTGAATAATATTACAATATACAGGGTGGCTGACAATTACGTGCGCGCAGCATCAGCATCATAGTTTTAAACAATGTATAAAGCATTACTACTCATCTTTTTGTGTTTTAATATTCTTTTTATCGTGGTCTAATAATTTTTTGCTAAAAAAGTTGTTTTCTAGGTCATGACAAAGACGTGCGCTAGTCGGGACGCAATCGCACAGCTGGCGACGAGCGGCATGAAGAACTCGTCGATCGCATCGAGGCTTGGGATGGCTCTGAGGACCGTCCAGAAGATCGTAAAGCAATGGAAAGATGAGGGGCATGTTCAGTCCAAGCCCGGAAGAGGACCAAAGAGGACCGTTAACACCCGAAAGATGCGTGGGATCATCAAGAGGAGGATCGAGCGAAAAGACGATCGTAGTTTGAACAAGATGGCAAAACAGCTTCAAATTTCGCGTTTCTCGGTTCAATCGATAGTGAAAAATGAGCTCGGACTTCGAAGTTATCGACTGTTAAACGGGCAAGTGCTCACCGATCAAGCCAAGCAAAACCGGAAGGAGAAATGCAAGAAATTGCGAGCTTTTTTCAAGGTGCGGCGCATTGACGATGTTCTTTGGTCAGATGAGAAGATTTTCACCTTGGAAGTGGCTAAAAACTCACAAAATCACCGTCAACTTCTCAGTCCAGCTCTCAAGAGCACTCGTAAACGAAAAGTCGCTACAAAAGGTCTGTTTCCAAAAAGTTTGATGGTTTGGGGTGGCATTAGTGCTTCGGGCAAGACCCCGTTGGTTTTTATCGATAAAAATGTGAAGATTAACGCAAAAGTCTATCAAAAAGAGATTCTCGAGAAAGCTGTGGTGCCATGGAAGAGGAGCCATCCCAATTTGACCCTTCAACAAGATTGGGCGCCGGACCACGGAGCCAAAACAACAATTCGCTTTCTCGAAACCAAAATTGGCTCTTTTTTGACGAAGGATCAATGGCCTGCAAACAGCCCGGATCTCAATCCGTTGGACTTTTCGGTTTGGGGTTTTATGGAAGAACAATTGAGAAATAGAAAAATCACCAATTTGAATGATTTACGTCGAGAATTGATCAAAATCTGGAACGACTTAGATGCAAATTATCTCCGCCGCACCGTCGATTCTGTAAAGAAGCGAATTGAAGCCTGTATCAAAGCGGATGGAGGCCACTTCGAAAATTTCTTGTGATTATTAAATGCTTTGTTACAACTATTATATAAATAAAGATTTTTACATTTTCTTTGAAAGAAAATTAAATTATGGCGTTTTCTTTGGCGCACGTAATTATCAGCCACCCTGTATCTGCTTCTTTTCACTCACTTGCTACGTGATCGTGATCTTCTGCGATCTCTGCTTCGACTTCTGCTCCTTCTTCGTCGCCGATCCAGCTCGCGATCTAAAAATGACAGTGAGCCCAATGTTCAATTACCTTATGCACATTTATGCACTCTTAAAATCAAGTCTAATAATATTTTAATTAAAGTGTAATATAATTCAAAATTCCCTTACCAGTTCTCCGTCTCGACTCCTCCATGAATTTCTTCCGATTCTCGTCGATTTCTTTCTGTGCCGTTTTCTGTTTAGCAATTTCTTCTTCCCGTCGCTTAATTGCTAGCGCGGCTCGTTCTTCTTTGCTCAGAAACTTCGGCTAAAATTAAATGTTAATAAATTTCATCGTAAGATTTTGCTACTAAAAATCAGCTGTTTTCCACAGAAAATTTGTTCAAATCTTTGTGGAAATTAACCCAATATCAGCTTTATATGTTCGTAATGCTTTATTCACCACTTGCGCATCAAGTTCTAACACAAACCTTTGCTTCTTCAGCCTCAGCGGCTTTCTTTTTCGCTAGCAGCTCCTCGAGTGACGGTGGTTCCCCAACGAGAAGCACCTCATTTCCGTTTGCAGTTGACGCCATTGTCACCTAGAAATGCATAGAGAATTGAATGAGATTGAGGAAAGAGGAAAAAAAAGCCAGTTTCAAATAGAAAGTGATAAAATACATAAACATACACGATACATACATACAGAAGCATTTTACGCACTTTTAGCCAATTTTTTTAAGTCCAGAATGGTCATTTAAGTGAATTAACGGCTTCTACTGCGGTAAAAATTGATTAACTCAAATTTCCCTAAAATATGAAAAGTTTTAAAATCACCTTTAGTCCTCAAAAAGACAGGTCAACGTTTTGATAAAAGCAAAATATTCAAAGCTTCGTACTTTCCGCTCTCAAGAAATCGAAAGCTCATTCTAAATGAATTAAAACAATTTATCAAAATAACAAGAAAGCGTAAAACAATCCGAGAAAACGTTTTCATTGAGAGATTCTCTGCTGTTGTTGCTGATGTTTTCTTTTCATAAAAACAAACAAATTTGATAAAGCCAATTGAGATTGATTTAACCGAAGAGAGAAGATTTTCAAGATGAGTAAACAAATAACAATGTGGCCGAAACAGAGAGAAAAATAAACAAACAAACAAAAAAAGATTTAGCACAAAGCTGGGAGATTTGAAGAAGAGCGGTATTTATCTTTTTCTTATTCCATTCCAGAGTTCGGGTTCTTCAAGTTGGTCATACCGGCACGCATAACCTAAAGTTTGAATTTCAATAAAGTTAGCTTTATTTGCACCTAATTTAGCTTAAAATCTAAAAGATCCGATCCTAAAGCCAGGATTTATAACTTTTAACCACATGATTGATTAACTGGTTAGTTCATCAATTCTCTACTGATGCTAGTTTGATTCTACTAAGCATCAATGTCATATAGTAATTAAACTCTTTCAAAACTTTACCTCATCAACAAGTAGCAGGTTGCAGGCAAGCACAGTGCACGAGGAGAGCGAGTTCTTCTTCACGATTACGTTGTCCCAAATCCCCTAAAATACCAGTTCAGAGGATCCTCTAACAATGAAGGTACCTTTGGCTCCGCGGGCTCTCCTGATTGTAGATCAATTCCGATTGGAAGATCTCCTACCGATTGGCGCATTTCAACCTAAAAAAAGCTACATTTTCGAAATCACAGTAAAGCTCTCACCAATTTCACAATGCTTTCCTGTGCGTCAAAGCCAGCATTTACAGCAAGTGTCTTGGGGATTACCAAGAGAGCGTTGGCGTAGGCCTAAAGTTCAGGTTACTCAATATTCAAATGGAAAGTTTTCTACTTCAGCTCCCAGTTTGGCGCGTCCTTTCAGATTCTTAATCTCCTCCTTCAACAAGCAATACGCGGCAATCTCAAAGGAACCAGCTCCGGGTATAACGGCTTCTAAAATTTCATGTCAATTGGTTCAAGAATAAAAACTGACTGTCTTGAATGGCGTTGAAGATAGCTCGTAGCCCATCATGAATAGCATCCTTGATTTGCACAATTGTGTGTCTAAAGAGTAAGTAAATTGCGTTTATTAACAAAACAAACCTATTGGGCCCTTTCAGCAACAAAGTCACCGATTTGGGATCTTTGCACTCCTCGACGAAAGTGTACTTGTCCTCACCCTAAATTCAGTATGTTTTTGAAGAGAGCTTACAACTTACCAACGTGTGCTCATAAACAAGACCGGCCCAGCCAAGAGCCTCGGGAGCGAGATCATCGAGGCTGTTCACAGCCTAAACAAATAAATTAGCGTTTACTTCGTATGTACGATCTAAATTTGCTGTTCTAAAGTCACAAAGCAGACTTGAGTAAAAAAAATTGGATGGACAGATTGTTCTGAAAATTTATTTATAGCCTAGCTTTTTGTCCTCTTTCTTTTATCTATTGACCCGAAAATAGGTTTTCTTGAGCCAAATTGCTGAGTTGCGCATTTGGTCTTTTTTGACTACTCGAATTCGCACTCTTGCAAAAATCCTGAGACAACACATTTTTAACATCTTTAACGTTATTTTGTAAAAAAATGATAGAGCCTTAAAATGAAGTAAACCATATGTTAATCGATGCATTAATCATTTTTAAATAGAATTTTTAAAAAGTGCCCAAAGACTTCTCGTTCAACCTAATCCTATCTTTTTTTGATTTTGAATCTAACATGTAATCTACAATAGCAAATACTAACCTCTCCACCGACAGCCAATTGAAGACGCTCCATGTTGCGTCTCTTCGCACGCCTCAATGCCATGATTCCCTCTTGAGCCAACAGATCAAGCGATGGTGGATCGATTCCCTAAAGTAGACTTTATAACAAGACCAAATTGAAGTTAAAACCTTTTGATTGATCACAACGAAGCTCTTCTTTTTGTCGTCTCCACAGACCTGAAACCGAGAAAACTTTAAAATAAAGGACACTCAAATACCTTTTTCTTCAGTTCAATGATCTTCTCGACTCTTTTGGTGATAAAGTCGCGTTCGGCTTGAAGAAGTCGCTCACGTTCAGCGGCACTCTTGTAGAACAACCCAGAATTCACCTCACTAAAATCAAAGAATTTTTGTTGCAATTTAAAATCTCACGTTTTCTCATATTCAAGCGAAACATTGCAAGTGAGAATGTACGCATTTTCAACGTGTCTCGGCATGTCCGGATGACGAGCACCGTGATCGAGAACCAAGCCACGGACAAGCTTTGTATCCTAAAGTTTAAATCATTAACCCTCTGCAAAGCATTGCTCTACCATATCGCTTTCGTGCATCATTTCTTGAATCTCGATCATGTGCAGATCGGGAAGTTCGTCCTTTTGCTTGATGGCCAACACAGCATCCACAAGACAATCCGTGATGTGATCGGCAAGTTTGTGATGAAGCTTGGTGCGAAGTGAAGTCCGAGCCACATCAACCAACAAGTCACGGTCGAGATCAGAAGAAACCTGTAATTAGATGTGTGAGATAGCTATTAAGTGATCATTAATTTGATTAATAAGTTTAAATCAAGAATGCGTACCTTAAACTTCTCCAAGAGCTCCAATGTCTTAGCATTTGCCCACTCGAAACCTTCAGTGATCAAACGGGGATGCACTCCTTCGACCACGTAATTCTCGGCTTGCTTCAGAAGTTCTCCAATCAAGAGTACAGTTGAAGTTGTTCCATCGCCGGTGATGTCATCTTGAGCCGTTGACGCCTTAGCGATCATCGAAGCGGTTGGATGTTGAATGGCCATTTCATGAAGAAGAACGTTTCCATCTTTTGTCAACTTGATATCACCGGAGCCGGAGACCAACCTGAAAGAAAATCATTAATGCAATTGATTCGGGTTGTTCGTTAATTAGTTCCCACTGGCAGTACCAGCAAAGTTCTACTAGCTGGTCTTCTGCGAAAAGATGCTGCAACTGCACAAAGAAATTTAGAAAGTACTTGTTACCTTTTGCTTCTCTATGCTAGTACTTTAACTATCTCTAAGAGATCCGAGTTATTGATCATTAAAGTTGTAAACTTCCTAAATAAAGTTAAAAGCAAAACCATAAATACTGTAATAGTATCGCCCTCGTACAGTCGCGTAGTCGAAAAAGTTTTTTAGTATTTAATTTTTTTTTCAAAGCGCCCGTACTTCCAAAAAATGGCAGCCAGTCAAAGCGGCGCTATGACAAAAATAGCCTCTCCGTGTTTCTTATTCTTATTAGATGGTATCAAAAATAGCCCTGAATTTCAGCTACTTTTTGATACCTAAGCGCGCATTGTAGCATAAAAGTGTCGAGAAAAACGCGTTCAAACACTACGCAACACTCCACACCGTCAATATGGAGGTGGGATACTATTACAGCATTTACGGTACCTAATAAAAAGCATGATAAATAGCCAATGCTTATTTATTAAGAGCCTTTATGAAATACATCAAAATGTATTTCATAAACGGGAATGACAAAATAGGCTAGTAAGCTCATTTTTCCATCCAATATATGTAAAAATGACAAATTTGAGCCCAAAACCTTCAAATTTTACTTCCCCAACAACGAAACCTACATTTTGATGGTTCCTTTCGGTCCGAGATTCGAGCGCATCACCTCTTGGAGTCCCCGAGCGCCACTGATGTTCAACTCGAGGGCGGCCGCGTGACGAGCGAGCTCGGCTTTTGGGTTCAGCACTTGAATCGAGGACATGACTGAAAAGAAATCATTAGAAAGTGTGCATATATAAAAAAAAGTATATAAGTGCATAAAATGCAAAAGTCTAACACGTAGAATGGGGATATGGCACTAGGCTCACTGATCAGGGTAATTTTTAAAGATAAACACGAATTTACTAGTGAAAAGATGGAAAAAAATCCATAAAACATTAGAAATGTTGATACTATCCTAGTTGGCGGGTCATTTTGGGGTCAAAAACCATTTTTTGGGGTAGTTTTATGTGTTGATATTTGGCCTCCTGGCCTAGAAGTAAATTCGATAGATTTTTACAAGTGGTATTCATTGTCACTGTTACAAATAGTAACTGTTGTACTTCACAAATTTATTTAATTATTATGTTTGGTACCACACGCAAACAGCGGTAAAGCCATATTAACAAAAAAAACATTTTTGCGCATTTGGTTGGTTTTTGAAAGTTTACGCCGGATCTTAAAATTTTACCACCCCGGATATTGAAAGACACCACCGGATACTCCACAAGTACCATAAAACTGTACTTTTCCAATATCGGGGGAGCGGTCCGATTATCGGGGGAGCTAAATGAGAATCAGGGGAGCAAATTTTGCCAGCGCTATGTCCTATATTATACAAATTATCATCATAAAATCCGCGAATTACCCGTTATTCTCACAACCTTTATATTAGATCACAAAAGTGACTTAAAATACCCAGCGAAATAGATCTTTTCCCTTTGGGCGGACTTTCATCAATTCGCCATAGTTGCAAATTCACGACTGGATGACGGTGACGAAATAATCGATTGCCGTCGATTCCTTAAACGCACAAATGTCGGAGAAGCGCATTGTCGTTAAAGTTTAAAAAAAGCGTTTGCAGTTAAAATACACTCCTGGAAATGCATTTTTCGTGGGGGCAAAATTTACTCCCCTGATTTTCCCCTGTTCCCCTGCAAAGCTCCCCCGATATTGGAAAAGTACCCATGAAACCCTAAAAATTCGGTCTAAAAATTGAGAAAATTGAAAAAAATTGAAAAATTCGTTAGGCGCGAAAGTTGCGAAAGAGAAAAAAATCGAAAATTACGAGAAAATGAAGAAAAGTCAAAAAAATCTCTTTTAAATACCAATTTAAATACCATTTTCAACTAACAAAAAATATTCAATCGATAAATTAAAATTTTAAATGGGCCCAGCAAAAGAGGGTATAAAGGAAAATGCTCTCGAAAATTCGGCATTTCGATTTTAGGCGCTGTAATTTCGGGGCGCTCGTTTGCTAAAGGGTGGATCTCTCGTGGTGGATTTGGGTTGGGTGTGTGCTAGTTTTAGCGTAGTTGAGGATGTTTAGACTGAAAAGAGAAAGTCTAGCAAGAAGTGAGGATGGATTTTTGCTTAAGAATCTTCGGCTCAAGATCGATAAGGTTTTTTTTTAAACGGTTTTAAATGTTTTTAAATTGTTATATAATGTTTAAATATATTTATTTAACATTTTTAAGCTATTATGGCTGCTTGCCTTTCATTTAGAACATGGAAAACATTGCCGATCTTGAAAATGGTCGATTTTTTTCCATTTTCGATCTTTAGCAATGTTCGTGCTCGTTTTCTTTAATGCAACATTAATGCCCGTTTTCGTTTTTTCGTTAATATCTGGTTTAACGACATTGCCAATATTGTTTTGCGCTTGTAAATTTGCAAAAACTTTCCGTTTTCTTGTAAAAGTCTTTGTAAATTGCGAAAAGTTATCCTTTTTTCTCGAAAATTCTAAAAAGCTATCCCTTTTTCTATTCTTACAATTTAATTTGGAACGTGGAAAACATTGCCGAGCTTGAAAAAGGTAGATTTTTTATTTAGCTAAGGTAGTTATTAGCTAAGGTAGCTTTCATTTTCGATCTTTAGCAGTGTTAAAGCCCGTTTTCTTGGTTTAGCAACATTGCCAATATAGTTTTGCTTTTGTAAATTTGCAAAAGCTTTCCGTTTTCTGGTAAAAGTCTTTGTAAATTGCGAAAAGTTATCCCTTTTTCTAGAAAATTCTTACGCAACCTTGTAATCCTTGCAAAAACCTCCTTGCTCCTTGCAAAAAGTTATCCGTTTACCTCAAAAATCAATCCATCTCTTCTATTTTCAGCTATTCCCCCTAGAAAACCTATCCAACTTTTGATGAAAACCATGGTTTTTCCCCTTATCTTCACCTTTTTATGGATAAATTCGCTAATTTTCGAAAAATGTTCAAACTTGCCCATTTAACGTCTGAAAGATGTTGGCTTAAAGGTAGAGATTTACTTGCGTTTAGGTCCCGGATAAAGCCATGACATTTTTTGCTACAATCCCCGAGATTTTATTTTACATTTTGACTCATCGATGTTCCTCCGTTGAAATAGAAAATGATTTGCTTTGAAGATTGAGCAATGTTTTTCCAAACTTCTACATAGTTAGGGGAAGGTAAAGATTTACTTGCGTTTAGATCCCTTGGACGCTTAATACGATAAGCTTAATTTCTCTTTAAACCTTCATTCGTGCTTTTTTCACGTTTTGATCAATGTCATTTTTTTCAATCAATGTCATAAAAAAACTCTTATCTTTTCAGCCGATGCGATGTCGTTTTCACGAGGCAACCGGCCAACGAACGTGGGTAGAAGACGGAATGGAGAGGAAAGAAATGGATTCAACAACCCACAATACGGTCCCGGAACACAGCTGATCGACGAGCGATGGGAGCAAGAAGTGAAGAATAAATTGGATGAATTCGCGAGAAACGATGTGCCTGGTAAATGGTTTTTTTTGTTATTTTACAGAGCTCTGAACTTGCAAGCTAATCTTTGAAGTTAAAGCTTTTATCTTTGCAATTAGGTATTTTTCACGTTTAGAACTTCGCTTCCCACCGATGGAGAGCCACTTACGAAAGCGGATACACGAATTGGCCCGTCGAAGAAATTTGCAATCGAAAAGTGTCGGACTTGAGGGATATCGTCAATGCGTGATCACGAGAAGACGATCAACCAATTTGCTCACAACTTCAACGGCGCAAGAAACACAGACACTGGAGCTCACGGATGAACAAGCGGTGAGTTGAGAGTAGTTTTTACCTACTGTTCTCCTAGAGATCTTTGTCAGTCTGGTAATCTTTTGCTTTTAAAATCTGTAAAAATATGTTAATTAGTTGGAAACGACCATTTAACGATAACAAAAACCAAATTCTAGACGCATATAGCGATCATTTTAGGACGTCATTGAGAGATTCATACAAAAATCACCGATTCGCACCGAAGAAATTGAAGAACATATAAAGACAGCAGATGGAGGTGGGCACTTTTCGCAAGCTTTTAATCTAAATACTTAGGCTAAATTGAAGCGTTTGGGTTTTTTCAAAACGCACTAATTTTGCTAATTTTGCTCTAAAACATTTCCGACAGCATGCAGAAGCAAAATAAAAAGGAATGGAAAGGAAATTATTTGCCGAAAAGCACTTTTTATAAGTTATAACCACATTTATAAAAACCCAAGTGCTTCACATCCATAAGTGAAACGTTTGCGTCAAAGTTAATGCAAATTTTTTTGATATATCTTTTGATGAAGCAGAGCAGAAAACTGTTTTCATAGTAATTTTCACACTTTTTTTTGCTAAATCTCTAACAGAACAAAAATGCAGTCCTCGTGAAGTAGGGTTGCCCCGGTATTCCTTCTTCTATTCTTAAGCCGTTGTCTGATTCTTTCTCATTAGGTAAATCTTATCCCTTGCATATAATCAGTTTGTTAGAGCAAAATCTAAAAGGCTATTAGCATCACCGTTAAACCAAAAATTTGCATTAATTTTGACGCAAAGCCAAACGTTTCACTTGACGGTGTGAAGCGCTTGGGTTTTTATAAATGTGGTTATAACTTTTTAAAAATTGTTTTCCGGCAAATAATCTATTTTTATTTTGCTTCTGCATGCTGTCGGAAATGTTTTAAACAGCAGCAAGTGTTTTGAAAACACTCAAACGCTTTGCTAAACGCTATTTTGCCAAGATTTATATTTAGATGCGGGCCATCATTTTGAGAGGGATTCCCAGCATGACGCCCGACCACAAGTGCCGCCCATTTGCGATCCGACTCAACAAATGATCGCGTACGTTGGAGACGCTTCAATGAGTGTTAATGTTATTTAGTTTCCGTGACTCGTTGCCTGTGATGAAATACAGAACGGATATTTTGGACGCGATCACTAATAACAATGTGGGGTTTTAGTAATTTGATCATAACAGTTTCTCTAATTTAGGTCACAATTGTTACTGGGGGAACGGGCTGCGGGAAAACGACACAAGTACCGCAATTTCTTCTGGAAGAGTCAACGTATATGCGGAAGCCGATTCGAATCATCTGCACGCAGCCTCGTCGTCTTCCTGCGATCGCCGTTGCCGAAAGAGTGGCCGCAGAAAGGAACGAACGAGTCGGTGATACCGTCGGATATCACATTCGACTTGAACAGAAGTAGGTTTTGTTTTACAAAATTGTGTCATTTAAAATCTATGCAAACTGGGCATAATTTTCTACTTTAGGACAAGCGAGAACACAGTGCTCACCTATTGTACATCGGGAGTGCTTTTGAGGATGTTGTCACAAAAGAGCGAATGGTGCGGCGCTACGCATGTGATCTTGGTAAGTTAATTGGATTAATTTACAAGCTGAAACTTTTTAGGACGAAGTGCACGAAAGAGAACGCAACACTGATTATCTTCTGATTGCTCTCCGAGAAGCGCTCAAGCGAAATTTTCATTTGAAGGTAGTTTCAAGTGGGGAAAACGTTAATTAGAGTACTTTTAGGTGATCTTGATGTCAGCAACGTTGGAAGGAAACTTGAACTTGTTTTTGGACTACTTTAAAGGCTTCAAAACACATCACACTAATGGTTAGTTTGACCTGCTGGCAATAGTAGCCTTGAATCATTCTAGTTCCATCGAGATTGTTCACTGTGCAGAAGTTTCATCTGGGTGAAGTGTTGGCTTTGGTATGTTTTACAAAAATATACGAAATAAGCTTTTTCTAGACGTCGTATACGCCGCCGCAGAGTGCTTTTAATGGAGGTACATGGGGAGACGCGGCCCATCAAAGCGACACTTTCCCGACAGTCGGAGAGTTTCCCGGAGCTCCGCTCAAGAATTATCAACTAAATCGAGGGATGCACAGTGTTCAGGTAAAATTAATTAAGCGTTCTGTTGGTAGGGCCATTAACTACCAGGAAGTTGGATATATTAGGTTGGCAAGAGAGTCGTAGAATTTTTTATCTCTGATTTCTCGAACTCTTGAGCATCAGAGACAATAGCTGGGAAAGGGATTTGTTTACTTCTTCTCTCCTATTGATCGCTGAAAAGCTCAATGAAATTCGTTTACTTTCTAGCTTTATTTTTATTTCTTTGGAGGCTCCTCGAGAGCTACCCGATGGGCATCTTCGACATGTCATTTTGTTATTCGCCAAAAAAAGTTCCAGTGAAGGAGGTTCATGAAGAGATCAATACTGTTTATGGGCAAGCCTCAATGAGTCTAGCAACGGTATACAAATGGTATCATCGTTCCAAGAAAGGTGACTTTTCTTTGGAAGATGGGCCGAGCTCGGGTCGCCCCACGATTTCGATGAAACAGCTCTTGTCAATCTTTTATAAATCAATAGCAAACAATCAACTAGGAATCTGGGAGAGCAACTTCAGACCTCCCATACAACTATTGAAAATCACCTCAACTAAATGGGCTATGGCTCCAAATTTGGGGCGTGGGTTCCCCATATTCCGATTGATGTGATGAGGTGGCAGCGTCTCTCAATCTCGGCAGCTCTTCTTTCAAGATACAACCGATACTTTTTTATTCCACATGTTCTGACTGATGATGACAAGTGGGTATTATATTTCAACTATCGAAGTCACAAGCAATGCGTTGAACCCGGGGAAAAAGCAAAACCTAGGCCGAAGCCAGAACTCCATCAGAAAAAGATAATGTTATGCATTTGGTGGGATATCGAATGAGTTGTTTACTGGGAGTTGCTGCCTGAAAGTACGGCTGTCATGGGATCCCTATGCGCTATACAATTGGATAAAGTGGCCGAGGAAATCGCAAAAGACGGTCAAACAAGGGAAAAGTTGTGTTTTTGCATGACAACGCCAGATCTCATGTTGCCAGTCTCACAAAAGAAAAGTTCAAGAAATTATGGTGGGAGACTTTCCCTCATCCTCCTTAGAGTCCAGACCTTCCTCCTTCTGATTTTCATCTTTTCCGGAAGCTAGTTGCAGAACTCGCCAATGAGCACTTCAGGGACCGAGCTGAGGTCGAAAGCTGGCTCCTCGGTTTCTTTGCCCGTCAGCCAAAGGATTGTTTTGGGAGAAAGACATTCACGCTTTGTCCAATAAATGGCGATTATTTGCTTTAGCTTTTGAGAAATCACCGTGCAAACTTTTTCTACGAACTTTCTTGCCAACCTAATCCCATCTGCAAATTTATATGTTTTTGCATTTAGACCGCACCCACTCTTCATCCAAATTCGTCGTACTCGGCACCGGATTTACAAAATGAAGCATTTGCATCTTTGGCTCAGCAACTTGCAACGTGAGTTATTTGAAATTTAACAAGCCTGAGTTTGAATAACTTCAGCAAGGATTGATTTAGTTTGAGCAGCAGTGAGGCACAACAACAGGAGCATAGACAAGATTCACACTATGGTCAATCAACTCAAACGGCTTCGGCTGCAAACCAAGAACGTTTGTTTGGCCATTGCATAGTTTAACTTTGAACGGTTTAGCTATGGCCGATGTTGAGGATTTACCGGCTTCTGATGATGAGGAACAAAAGGAACAAAGTCCAGCACATGCTGAAGGTAATATTTTTAGTGCTTTTTTTCTAAAACCTTATTTTTTTTTAGGAAATGCCATCTACAATGATTATCATCCGCAAACCTCGATGTCAAATCAAGGCTACGGAGGCGAGTATAATCAACCGCCCCCTCAGCCCCCATGGCATCATCAGCACTCCGTACCCGACTTCAACCAAATACATGGTGGATATAATCAACAAGGCAGCCAGCAATACCATCAGCAGCAGTACCAACAGCAACAACATCCACAGTTGGTCGTTTCAGCTTTTTCTTTAGCAATTGATTCTTTAGTTTCTATCTTGGCGGTTCAACAACTTACGGAGGTGAAAATTATCAATATGGACAAGGAGGCTATCCTCAAGGGAACGACAATTATGGTAATGGAGATGATCAGCAATACGCGGTTTGTGTTTTTGTCGGAATTTAAAGCACTATTCGCCCAACTATGATTGTGATCCTTTAACTTGCATACTTTTAGGCACAAATGTCTCGAGGAAACTACGAGATGGACAATTGTCGTCGTCGCTTGGGTGCTTCAATGTTTGCGCAAAAGTACCCGACATTTCAAGAAGGCGCTATTAATGAATTGGATACTTTGATCAAAACAAGACGATTTGAGGAGAATGAGCTTGTTAATGTAAGCTTTGTGATTATTTTCTGATAACCAAGTTCTTTAGACGTACCTGAAATGTGGTGGAAGCATTTGCTTGGACAACATCGATGCCGATCTTTGCTACCATTTGATTCGATACCTTGTCGACAGCCCGATTGACGGTACTTGCCAACTTTTTTTCTTAAATAATCATTTTCAGGAGCGATACTTGTGTTTTTGCCGGGCTTTGATGATATCAACGCTCTTCGAATGAAACTTGAAACACTTAACACGTTGCCACCACATCAGGTTTGCTAACTGCTATATGATTTGCAGGGAACAATTTTAGAGGTTTAATAATCGATTGGTCGTCTATGCTTTGCACTCACAGTTGCAATCGTTTGAGCAGCACAAGGTCTTCGATCGAACGCCAAAGTTTTGCCGAAAAATCGTGAGTGTAAATTGAACAAGAACTTCCTAACCAGATTCTGCAGATTTTATCCACGAATATTGCCGAGGCTTCGCTAACTATCGATGATGTCGTTTTTGTTGTTGATTGTGGAAAGGTTGGTACTTTTGGTTACAACAAGGTTTTTTTGTATATTTAGGTGAAAGAGAAGACATATGATCATGATTCAAGGATTTCACAATTGAAAGTTCAATGGATCGCGAAAAGTAACGCGGAACAGCGCAGTGGTATGGTTTAAATGGTCTTTGCAAGTGCTAATGTAATCGTTTAGGAAGAGCCGGAAGGTGTCGGCCGGGATTTTGCTTCCGTCTATATTCACAGAGGGATTATGATGTTCTTCAGACAACGCAAATGGCCGAGATGCAACGTGTTGCTATTCATGTAAGTTCTGAAAATAGAATTTATTCATTGATATTATTGGCGTTTTTAAACTTTAGGAAGTCGTTCTACATGCTAAAATGTTTGCCGCCGATCAAACGGTTCGCGATTTCATCAGCAAAGCTCCAGAACCACCACGACAGGACACGTTGGAGTACAGCATTCAATTCCTACAGGTTTGATAGATATCGATGCAATCAAATCTCTCTTTTAGCAACTTGGAGCCCTTTATGCCAATGAAGAGGAACCTGAGACGACAACTAGTGCAATAGGAGCAACGTTTGTTTACTTATTTTTGAAAAAGAATCATTTTTCTAAGGCTCCGTGGTGGATTCTACAATAAAAAGCCGCCTCCGGAACCCTCACTCACTTCACTTGGACGGTTGATCGGTAGGCGTTCAAATAATTGCTAGAGTAATCGTAATTTAGCCATTCTGCCTCTCGAACCCCAACTCGCGAGATTGCTGCTTTTTGGAGTTGCGCTCAAATGTGTTGATCCGATCATGAATTTGGTGGCGATGTTGAGTCATAGCAATGATCCCTGTAAGTTCCAGCCCGAAAATGACGTTCACAATCAACTTTTTAGTCATCATGATCCCGACTGATCAAAGTGAAAATCGTGAACAGCTAAATCGCGTGAAAATGGACTACAGCCGTCGCGATTTGTCAGACCATTTGATGTTGATTCGAACGATGAACGAGTATCTGAGTATGAAGGTAGAGTTGAAAAGGATTTAAGCTAATAATGTAAAAAAAATTTTAGGGTCAGAGCGGCTCACATCCACAACGTTGGTGCCAGAACAAATTTCTTCGAGCAAGTGCGATGAAAATGATTAGCGGCATTAGGTTTGTCGGGTTTTTTTGGAATGGATTTATGCAGTTTTTAGGCTGCAACTTTATCGCGAACTCATTCGATGTGGAATTATGAAGAAAAATGTCGATGAGGCCGAGTTAAATTGGAACAGGTTAATCATTTTGAACTTTTGAATGTTAACCTGCTTTTTATAGCGATTCTTGGCCGATGATCCGAGCGGCGATCGTTGCGGGTTGTTACCCCGGAATTGGATTTGTGAAACTTGGAAACAAGCTGAAGAAAATCCGAACAAGCACCGAGCCAAACGCGCAACTTCATGCTTCTTCGGTTGTCCGACGCCAGGTGAGCATTTTTGAAAATTCAAAATGAAGAAAATAACTTTAGCTTATGCACGGCCGTCCGAACGATCCCTACAAGAAATTCGATGGGGGCTCGACAGCCGAACCGCACATCGAATTCGTCATTTTCCAGGAGCTTCAGAAGATCGAATCACAACTTACGGTACTTTTCGAAAATCGAACTAATGCAATGGTTTTTTAATAGAAGTCGGGTTATATTTTTCAGTTGAAAACGGCAACCGTCGTACCGCCACTAGTTATGTTGATCTTCAGTGGAGCCATCCGACTCAAGAAAAGTACACTCGACACGTTCAGAATTTGTAAGTTTTCTTTAATGAATTTGTAGTTGTCAATGTTTAGCAGGCTGTGAAGCTTGAAATAAAGTTAGAAAATAATAATGAGCTCATTTCAATTTCAATAGGTTCAATTGACGACGATGAGATTCCTGAGGAGGTTGAAGAAGAGTCGATGTTTTCAAGATTCCCGACTTTGTCAATTTTGGAGCTCGATGAGTGGTTCGCGGTCAGAGGGCGCTTCACGGTAAGAACTTTGAATTATTTTTACCAGTTACACACAGTAGTAACATTTAGCATTTCTTGTGTGCGAAAAAAGTATCATTTTTCCAATATAGGATCTACGCACATTGCTCAAACTGCGCTTCCGTGTGATGGACTACTTCTTGAGAGTGATGGAGACGCCGGCAATTCTTTACACTTCACAATTTGATGTGAGTTATTGAAGCGTTTTTCTCGCGGAATTTAATCAGTCATTAATTAAAATATTCTATTTTAGGCTCTTTTGGAAACACTGCGCGTTTGTTTGGAAAGTGACCACATGAAGCATAGCTTTAACCGGTAATTCTTTTGTTTAAGTATGATTTACGATCATTTTGCATTTAGTGTCATCGATTTGCCAACTTGGGAGAAACCGGATCGCAAGAATGTTCCGAGCATGGTTCCGAATGTTCCGAACATGGTGCAAAGGACAGATTCAGAGGTTGGCACGACATCAGAACATTTTCTTATTCTATTTTAGCACACCTACAAGACGGCAAGGGAGGTGTCGTCGGCATCGCAAACGACCACCTCAAGCTCGAGCTGGAAAAATCACAATCGAGACAAATGGCGCCACAACCCTGATGTAAATATTTTTAGCTCTAGTTCAATTTTTGGGCGAGTTTGCATTTAATGTTTTGTTTTAGCGAGGCGGTGAAGAACGATCGAACCTCATCGAACGAGCAAGCAACCATCAGCGACCGAATCAGTATGAAGTGAGGGAACCGAGACGTGTCGAAGAAGACAACAAATACTATGATTCACGGGGATATCAACCTGAGCCGGTCTATCAACAAGAAGAACAATGCGAAAGAGATTATCAACAAGAGCAGCACGAATATCCAGACTACTACCCGGAGCATCAAGAGTACAGCAACGCGCAATATCAAGGGTCGTCAAGTGAGTTGAATGAATTGGTTTAGCTTTATGTTTCAACTTTAACAAGTACCTTTTTTAGAAAGACAAGAACGAGATGGACGTTATGATGGGAATTATTCACGAAACAACTACAATCAACAACAAGATCGCCGTGGCAAGCCTCGTCCTCCTCCTCCTCTACCCAAAGCGAAATCGGATGATGTTCGTCAACAACAGAGAAGGTATATTGTACTTTGGAGAAGTAGTGTCCCGTGCACCCCTTTCTAGTACCCATGATTTGCTAAAAATTTCATAACGTTGACATTTTTTAGTGGCGACTACCAACCGCCGAGACGGGACGAATCGAGACGAGAAACAACGCAGAACGACTACTACCCTAAAAGGTATGTTTAAATGTTTAATCTTTTTAGCATTTGTTGTTTTAGACAGAACAGGAATCGTGCCAGTGGTAGCAACAACGGCAAGTACTATGCATCGTCGTCGAATGAGAATCAGCATTGTCAACAACCACGAAGACAAGAATCTTATGAGGATGATGAGGTTTTTGTGTAATTGCTTTTCTGCTCTATCATTATTGTCTTTTTAGGTGACACCTGAAGATCCGCCACAACGAGAAAGTATGTATGATGAGAGGTGGAAACAAATAAATAAATATGACAACTGCTATCCTGCGAGGTTTGTGAAAGCTTGGTGACAGTACAACGTTACTTTTTAGTTCCCCTATAAGTCAAAAGGCAAGAGATGAAGAGGTTTTGTCTGGCTTCGACGATCCATTTGCACCCAATCAACGAGCTGACGACTTTGAGGTAAGCTACCAAGGAGAATCACCTTATATATTTTGTTCAGGATGACGCCTACACGCCGAAACATCAGAACGTGCAGCAGAATCAAGGTGGTCGTGGCGGTGGTGAACGCAAAGAAACGAGACAATTCCGAGTCGTTGAGAATAGCAAGTTTCGCGGAAAAAGTGAGTTGACTTTGATTGAGTATTAAAAACTTGGATTGGTATTGGACTCGTGGAAAATCAATTTCTAAGTCCATTAATATGTTCCTAATTTAGTTCATTCGGATAGAGACAGGGATCATCGCGGAAGTGGACCGAGACGTCGTGGAGGAAACAATCAACGTGGCGGCGGTGGAAGTGGACGATACAACAATAAGGAACGCGATCGATGCCGAAACAATGAGTAACAATGATGAGTGTGTGTGTGTGTAATGTTTTACCTGTGAAAATTTTTCTGTTAAAACTGTTTTCGCTTATAAAAGTATTTAAATTATTCTCTTGTTTTAAATTTAAAAACATTTTGAAGGTGAAAAGTTCTCTCATCGCACTTTTAAATGGGAATTTGGGCTAATTCACGGCTTTTTTTTGGGGATCGGATTACCCTCTTTTGAATGGGGTTCTTTTTAAGGACAACTTTGGGAACTCTTTTCTCTGAATTCGGCTCTGAACCTGCTAGATTCCTGGAAAATCGAAATTCTCTAACATTCTTATTTGTTTTGCCATGCCATTCATTTGTGTGACCGCGAAACGGTGGGATGGACCGACGAATATTACGGGTAGCTTTCGGAATTTGTGATGAGTGTTTCGGAATTGCACAAGTTTTTTTTGGTAGAAGACTTGTTTGAAAATTTGGCAATGAAAAGCTCAAGTGAGTTAGAGTTGTTAGAGTTGACAATTCTCGCTCCGATCATTTTTTATCTCGCTGGATTCGATCATTTTTTTTTAAAAGTCTTTGGTCCCACTCACACATCTCAAATTGAGGTCACACGGCGATCAACGAGGATGTGGTTTCCCTGTTGGAGGCTCGGCCGAAAAAAGCGACCGCTGATGGGCCATATCGGTTTGCTAAAATCATTGGTTTATGGTTTAAGGTTGGAAAGAAAGTTCTCGGAAAAGTTTGGAAAGTTCTCGGGAAAAAGTTTGACTCGAATTTCTTCAAATTATTATTATTTTTCATCTTAAATTCAGCTCACTTTTTGCACGAGAAAAAAAAAACAAACGATTCTTTATGAGGCTAAAGCTAGCATAAACAATGAACAAATCTCTATTTTTGGTCAAAAAAAGTTTTTTTTACACAGAACTTTACCCAGTTTATAGATTGATCGCAATTCGCATACTATTGACACTAAAGCCAAACTATTGACACTAAAACCATCACAAAGGTTTAGCTTCGAGACCCCGCAACCGCCAGTAAAAGTGCTCGACTGTTTGGAGGGTTTAGGTTGGAGATTTCATGGAAATTTAGTGCTTCATATACTTTTGAAGTACCGCCTTTCAAGTGTCCTCATTGAGTGTTCCCCATAGCTCTTGAGAAGGGTACCATTAGTGTTATTTTATGGGGGTACTTTCTAAGCACTTTAGCATAGTGTCCCTATTTTATGGGGATACTTTCTAAGTGCCAAAAAGTGTGCATAATCATGCGCAATAGCCGAAACTATCATAGGAAATAAAAAAAAGCGAACATTTTACTTGAAAACGGTTAAAAAAAGAAAAAACAAAAATGCACATGGGGACAGAATGGAAACACTTAGGGACAGTTTGGGGACACTTGGGGACACTGGGAACACTTTGGGGACACTATGGGGACATGGGGGACAGTTTGGGGACACTTAGGGACATTTAGGGACACTATGGAGACATTGGGGACACTTTGGGACATTTAGGGACACTATGGGGACACTGGGGACACTTAGGGACACTGGGGATACTATGGGGACACTATGGGGACACTTGGGGACACTATGGGGACATGGGGGACAGTTTGGGGACACTTAGGGACACTTAGGGACACTATGGAGACATTGGGGACACTTAGGGACAATTTGGGACACTTTGGGACATTTAGGGACACTATGGGGACACTGGGGACACTTAGGGACACCTAGGGACACCATGGGGACACTGGGGATACTATGGTGCACTATGGGGACACTTGGGGACACTGGGGACACTTGGGGGCGATACTTCAAACGTATAGTGCTTCGTGTAAACTAGCTATGAAAGCTTTAGCTTGATTTGTGAGCCTAAACTGGATAAAACTCCGATCAAAAAATGAGTTCCCAGGTTTTCGCCTTGTCACGCAGACGCTCAACGCGAACACGTCGAGCAAAGCGTGGACGATGCAGAAATGCTAATTCAAGAAATGCTATTCAAATTTACGTCTTATTAAAATCAATTTGTAATTGTAAACCAATCAAAAATTAGAATAAAATGTTTTTGAAAAGTTTTCAAAAAAAAAGTTCAGAAATTTTTCCCCACTCATTTTCCACAATTCTTATTCTTTGATAGTCGAATTCTTGTCACTTTTCCCGTTTTTTTCATCGTTTAATGACCGAAATTGCTGAGGGGATCGCGAAATCGCAGGTTTTTTTTGACTCAATTTATTATTATTTTATTTTCTGTAGCTTTCGTTCATTTACATTCACTTTGTTTTATTGAAAATTTGCCTAAATTTGATATTTCTAGGCTGAAGTTGGCGTTTCGTTGCGCTTCCCGGTGCCATTGGAGCGATTGAAGCAATTGGAGCAATTGGAGCAATTAGAGCCATTGAAGCAATTGGAGCAATTGGACACTGATCTATCGCCCACACAGCGAACAACGAGTGAGTTACACGGGGTTTTTTTTGATCTAGTGTCCTTTGTGCTAACGAGATTTGTAAAAAAAACCGTTTGAGACTATAGTAGTTGGAGGGGGGCAGATTGAGCTGATTGAGCTGATTGGGCTGATTGGGCTGATTGAGCTGATTGAGCTGATCGAGCTGATCGAGCTGATTGGGCTGATTGGGCTGATTGAGCTGATTGAGCTGATTGAGCTGATTGAGCTGATTGGGCTGATTGGGCTGATTGAGCTGATTGAGCTGATTGAGCTGATTGAGCTGATTGAGCTGATTGAGCTGATCGAGCTGATCGAGCTGATTGGGCTGATTGGGCTGACTGGGCTGATTGAGCTGATTGGGCTGATTGGGCTGATTGAGCTGATTGAGCTGATCGAGCTGATTAGGCTGATCGAGCTGATTGAGCTGATTGATCTGACCGAGCTGATCGAGCTGATTGAGCTGATTGAGCTGATCGCCAAATGAAATGATTTTTTGCACTCAGGGATTTTTGACTATGCTAAATCGGTGAGCTCTGGATTGAATATTACTTTGAAGGGCTTTAGAAGTGGCAACACAATACTGAAAATACTGTACTGTAAGTACAGTACACAATACTGTACTTATTCGGGGATAAAGTGGCCAAAAAGTACGGGTACTTGTTCGCCGGTTGTCTTGAGGCTCGTTGGTAACTTGTTAACAATTTCTTGTTGTTATTTTTGTTGCTATTTGTTATAAACGTTGTTAAAAGTTGTGCGAAACCATCACCAATCGATTCAGCATAGTCAAAAACCCCTGGGTGCAAAAAATCAACTCATTTGGCGAAGAAATTTTGCTCTCCAAGTCCCCCTATAGAAGCGTCGTGTATTCTAAGTTTACTCTCAAACAAACGCTTATATCTTGACACTAGTACGTTTATTCCTGGGCGCTTAGGTATCAAATTAAAGTAGAGAGGATGGGTGGTTTTTTTTGAGATATAACATATATTTTTAGCATTAACCAGTGCTTAGAAAAAAATGATTGAAAAGAAGCAAAAAGAGCCGATTTTCCGTCACTTCGATTTTCGCCGATTTTCAATCATTTTTTTCTAGGCGCTGGTTAAAGTTAAAAAGATATGTTATATATCGAAAAACCACCCATCCTCTCTACTTTAATTTGATACTTAAACGTGCAAAAACAAACTTACTGAGTGTCGAGATATGAGCATTTGTTCGAAGCGTCGCGTAATTTAACTTTACTCTCAAACAAACGGTCAGACCTCGGCACTAGTACGTTTATTCCTGCGCGCTTAGGTATCAAATTAAAGTAGAGAGGATGGGTGATTTTTTGAGATATAACACAGCTTCTGAGCATCAACCAGAGCTTAGAAAAAACTAATTGAAAAGAAGCAAAAAAAGCCGATTTTCCGTCACTTTTCAAGAGTTGATTTTCGCCGATTTTCAATCATTTTTTTCTAGGCGCTGGTTGATGCTAAGAAGCTATGTTATATATCGATAAATTACCCATTATCTCTACTTTAATTTGATACTTAAACGTGCAAAAATAAACGTACTGATGTCGAGACATGAGCATTTGTTTGAAGCGTCGCGTAATTTAACTTTACTCTCAAACAAACGGTCAGACCTCGGCACTAGGACGTCATCCACATTGAAGGCGTCACATACCAATGATCCTCCTCCAAAGTTTCTACGCCCACGAAGCATTGGATCTTTTCTCAAATCGTGCCAATAGTACTTGTTGCCGTCTGGAGCATCCAAATTCGTCTGCACCAGTTTTTCTCATCGCTGAAGATGACCTGTATATATATCTCGACACCAGTACGTTTGTTCTTGCGCGCTTAGGTATCAAATTAAAGTAGAGAGGATGGGTGATTTTTTGAAATATAACACATATTTTTAGTATTAACCAGTGCTTAGAAAAAAATGATTGAAAAGAAGCAAAAAAAAGCCGATTTTCCGTCACTTCGATTTTCGCCGATTTTCAATCATTTTTTTCTAGGCGCTGGTTAGAGTTAAAAATATATGTTATATACCAAAAAATTACCCATTCTCTCTACTTTAATTTGATACTTAAGCGTGCAAAAACAAACTTACGATGTCGAGATATGAGTGTAAAACTTAGACTTTGAGTTCTTTGAGTGTATGTTTGGGTGTAGTTCAGTTCTTTGAGTGTAAACTTAGACTACGCGATGCTCCTATAGCAAGCTCTTCTATTAAAATATTTAATTTGCATTAAAGTAAGCATTTGAAAAGTTAGGAAAGCTTGAGTTCTGGTAGATGTTGTTTAATTGAAAAGTTTAGGCTGCACGACAGCCGATGTGCTCTCCGACGACGTGAATAACGGGAACGATGTGGTGAGGATTGCGATGGGATTTAAGTCTAAGAATCTCATTGTTTAGGTTGACAAGCGTTTACTTAAAAAGCTGAAGGGGGGCGCTGAACTAGTGCCACTGCAGGGATCAATTGTTGGTGAATTTGCATATCTAGCTGAATGATTTGAATGAATGATTACAATCTAGCTGAATGATTGAATAACTTTAAGTTTACGGCTAAATTAAATTTATTAAATTATCTCATTTCTCGCTTTACAGGTCGATCCGATTCGCGCGCTCGAGCGCAGCGGTGGGAATGAGCCTCGTTCGTCGCAGATGATCGTCATCAAGGATGAGGATGTGAAAACGGTCAGTATTTTGCGAAATTTAGCTGCTCTTTTGTGGAATTCGATTTAAAATCGAAATTCGATTGTTAAAATTGTATTTTGTTTGAAAGATCTTTTCTCTTTTAGGCAGAACCCTTGGACAAAGAGATGGAAGCGACGAAACGGATCGCTTTACCCGAACAAGCGCAATGGGTTGGCTATCTTTAAATTTAGCTGCTCTTTTGTTCAAGTTTGTCTATTATTTGCTTAGTACTATCAGAAGAATCAACTCCCGCTCGAGCAACAACCCTACTACCATGGGTGAGATTTTTGGGAAATTAAGAGTTGAGCAAGATAGATACATTGATTTGATTTGATTACCAAGTTTATATTGGTTTTAAGAGTAAAATGGCCATTGATAGTATGAAATTTTCCATTTTACAGCTACATGAATCGCGAGGACAGTGAGAAAATCGTGTCACGACGCGGATGCGGTCGTTTCCTCGTCCGGCGACTCACCTTCACTAATGGAGATTATGTGAGTGGGAGGTGAAGTTTGATGTCTATAATGTTCTGTCCTTAGTGTTACGTGATCACGATCAGCAAAACGACGAAAAACGGGAGCCTCCGCACCGGCGTCAACACGTCAACCTCTGCTGTTGGGGGAAATCACGAGGGAAGCTTTCGAGCGAGTATCACAATGTGAGGGTTTTGGGTTTTTAAAGGCAACTCACAACTCTTTGCTTCAACTCACAAGGGAATGCCAACTGGTTGTGGTGGCCAGATGACATGTGCCACGGGTTATTCGACGCAGAATTCGACGCCGACTTCGAATCTGTTTTTCGTTTCTGCTATAGAGCACTCGGTCAAAATAGTTATAGGTATTTTGTGTGGGATTTAAAGTTTTATATCAGATTTAAACTACTTTTAATAAAAATGTTTACTTTTAGCTATTAACATCAAACAGCTATCTATTAAAAGCTATTAAACAACAGCTATTAAAATCCAAAAAAACACTTTGACATTGATGACAACATCATCGATGAAAAGGTGAAAAGCATAGTTTGACTACAGTTACGACAGGCACAAGACATAAAAGCCGAAGGAAAAAGCCAAAGATGCACAATTTGTGCAGACAATTTGCACAAAGCCGAAGACGCCACTCACGAAGCAAAACATGAAATTTGAACAACCATCGTTTGGAGTATCGAATGAGACTCGCTCATTGTCATTAATATATAAGTGTTCAGATAAGAAAAAAGCTTGTGTACGACTTGTACTAAGTACTATGTCCAGTAGGAGTTGTTACCAATACTGAAACCAATACAGTACTAAAAACCCGATGAAAGAGCCAGGAATAAGGCATATAAGCTAGTCAAGATCGATCACAGGTCGTGGCTTCTAGACTAGGTTTGCAACAAAGCCAAGGCCAGAAGCCAGGCCATAACCTGTTTTTTAGACTCGAACTAGAGATCCTCTGCCTCGTATTCTAGCCCACTGCCACTCGGTCACCACTTCTTAAAGTCTATGGAAATCTGCTTATAAACTCTCCTTGAAATCCCATGCAAAACTTTGCACGCTTATATTTTTGACAGAGTGCTCTATAGCAGAAACGAAAAACAGATTCGGAATCGGCGTTGAATTCTGCGTCGAATAACCCGTGGCAGACGTCATTTGGTCACCACATTCAGTTGATATTCCCTTGTCAATCCGTTTCCTAAACCGTGCCCTTCTTTCCCCGAAACTACTGTAATCGTTGTCCCTTTTTTGATCCACTTTTTGTCTGAATCTGGGCAGGTTCACAAAGAATATCGAAATGATGCAAGAAGTGGATAGATTCGATAAAAAATAGAGACAGATTACGGTGGTTTTGGGGGAAAGGAGGGCAAAGGAACGGATTAGAGGAAATGAAGGAAACGGGAAATGTTTTAGGAAACGGATTAGAAGAGGAAACTATTGCTGAAAGTTGTCCTAAGTGACAGGAAGCTCTTCTTAGTCTCATTAGATTAAATGTTTGCTCTTTTCAGCCTCACGTCGACGATCGCTGAGCGCCTCTCGCAAATCGGCGAGTCGAAACCGCTGAACGATGTGGCACATGTGCGAGTACAGAACACGCAAGGGCATCACTGGTTTTGGTTGACAGAGTTCATGTTTAGGGTACGTTTTTTTTTGGCTTAAAGTAACTAACCATTAGCTAAATATTGGCTATATTTATCGTTTTTCTTTCAGAGTGTCCAGGATTTGATCGAATTCCACTCGAAAACCGGCTACTCGATCGACGACGACGGGACGATTTTCATCACGCAAGCCATCCGGCGATCCTCATGGCAACTGGAGCATGAACAGGTTGAGATTTCAGCAATTTTAAACCAAAATCTGATTCGTTTAGCTCAAAACCGGCAAACAACTTGGCAAGGGGAATTTCGGCGAGGTCTTTACGGGCATTTTTCAACCGGGTAAACTTTACAAAATCTAGCTTTCTATTATTTTCTTATAGGTGTCTTCTTGCGGGCGAAAAAATGCGCGATCAAGACGATGAAACAAACGGGGAAACATGCGTCTGATAAGTGAGTTGACTGTAAATTTGAATTCAGAGACCAGGCTTCTCACCGAAGCTTGCAATCAAACCAGGATGTGCAATTTGGTCTTGTACTCTTGTCTCTCTTGGGTACTTTACCGTCATTCTGCTAACTGTTAAGTGTTGATACACGGCTGATGCGTCGGCAGTGTTTGTGAGGTTTTAAAGCAAACCGAATTGTTTTGAGCGATTGTAGAAGCCGTAGCTTGTAGAAATTGTAGAAATTGTAGAAATTGTAGAAACCTTTAAGGTTCACAATATGCCTGGATAAAGTAAAATAGCAAAAACTATTGGAGGCTTTGGGACTCGAACCCGCGAGCTTTCGCCCACAAGACAGCTGTGTTACCACTGCACCACGTTAGCATGAAACGGCACATATCTAAAAACTCAGGAATGGATGGCTCATCTTTTTTGGATACTTAGACGTTTTGCATCTCTTCACTGAATATATGAATATCTAAAATATCCAATATCCAATATTCAATCGTTCCTTGAAAGCCTTGTAGCCATTTTGGGTGCGAAAGCTATTCCAAAAAAGAGTAAACACGAAATTTTGGCTATATTCTAAAAAGTCATACTTGATATGATGTCAAGAATTTCAGATTACGGTAATTCCTAATTCTTTAATTTAGCTCCGAATTCCTTCATGAGGCCAACGTGATGCTGAGCCTTCGCCATCGGCACGTTGTGCAGCTGTTTGGGGTGGCCGCTTTGAAAGATCCGATCATGATCGTGATGGAGCTGGCGCCTGGTGAGTTTTTTGAGGTTTTTCGGGAGGAAAATTTTAGTACCAAAGGCTATAAGGCTTATTGTCTTATAAGGCTTATTGTCGGTTTAGTTTATCAAATCGAGTCTATTTTAGGTGGATCTCTCCTTTCGCGACTCCGCAAAACCCCAAAAATGAGTGACAAGACGCGGATTCGATACACAATTGAAATTTTAATGGGAATGGCCTATTTGGAGCAAATTGAGGTACGATTCCACATCTCCAGATCACAAGTTTCTCCCCGTTTAGATCATTCATCGTGACTTGGCGGCTCGAAATGTGCTTCTCGACTCGTGGGACACGGTGAAAATCAGCGATTTTGGATTGTCGGTGAAAGGACGAGAGCATCATGTGCAGGGGAAGATTCAGATTCCGACAAGGTGGGTGAAGGGGATTGTCAGCATTGATATTGTTCGCGGTTTCTAGGGATATTGTTAAATCCATTAGCCCCAGTCATGCTTATGGCTTTTGACTGACCTTGGCCCTGAAAATTTTACAAGTCATACTCACGACAAGGCTTTTCATGGCGTTTTTTTTGGTCTGGCCTTGGTTTTGAAAATGACTTTGGCTTTGCCTGGCCTGGAGGATCAGCCCTGGACAAAGGATTTATTTATAATTTATTTATTAGATTGGCAACTTGAAAGTTGGTACACTTATTCATTGCACTTTTTAGAAATAATTAGAAAAGCTACAATTTTTAGAAAATAAACCAATTAATCTACGGTTTTTACCAATAAAAAGGCCCGTTTATTCTCTAAAACAGACATTTGACAGATTTAGAAAAGCTTCGGTTTTGTTGGTTTCTAGGGGGCCAGAAGTTGAGGAACCAAAAATGATAAACGCCCGATGAAGCGATTTGAGCACTTTCTTCCACGATTTTAGTGTTAACAACGTAGATAAATAGCCAAATTTTTAGCTATTAGGTTGTTCGGATATAAAAAATCGTTGCTAAACTTATTGTTGTGAGAGAAGCTTTTAAAACATATCTTTCTGTATTTAAAAGTACGTTATCTCCTATTTGGCTCCCTCAGATTACCATTGATTCCGGTCGATTCAAAACTTTTTGGCCAATGAGAAATTCAAAAACCGTGAAGATGTCCAAAATTGGGTCGCCAAGCTTTTCGAGTCACAGCTGGCTGAGTTTTTCAAGAGCGGCATCAATTCTTAGCGCAAAAGATGGCAAGAAGCAATCAATAATAATGGTGGATATACTTTGGAGAAACTGTGTTGTTTCTGTTTTTAAGGTAAATTTTGTCGACTACGAAAACGCTCGTTTATATCCGAACAACCTAATAGATATAATCAATAGTTTTTGTTATGGTTCCATTTGAAGAATTTTCAGCAAAACCTTGAAAAACTTTCTGCTCAAATTTGCTCAAATTCGCTCAAATTCGTTTCAAAGGTTACCCAAATTTGCTTAAGCATGTTAGATAATATATAACTTAAATTAGATAATATATTGACTTTTATTTAGAGAAATCAAATTCAATTTGGCGTATTAAATATGTTTTATGAAAAATATGAAAAAGTGTATCAACTTTCAAGTTTTCAATCTAATAGGAATACGATGCTAAAGAGGCTTGTTAATAAATACAAGGTGCGTGTAAAGTTCTGTCCTATTTTTTTACGCTAGAAAAAAAATTTTTTTCAGCTCTTTATTTGACACATTTAAAAAATTTTATAGTACTTTTTAGAACAACATTTAAGGTAACCTTTGGTCGTAGACCAAAATAGCTTTTTTAAAACACTTTTTTTAAATGACTATTTAGCTACTAAAACAACATTGTTCAGGGAACTTTTTAGCATTATTCACATCTGTCTAGCCATAGTTCTGTAGGAAATTTTTCTTCTACAATCCGGGTTTTTTTGAAAAAAGGTGTTTACATGAGAAAAAATGGTTTACATGAGCTCTCAAAACAGCAGAAGAGGGGCCTTAAATGGGGACGAGAATGCACAAATGCAAATTCAAAACCGTAATAAATTATAACAAACTGTTTTTATAGCTAAATTGTTACTAAAAACTTTTAAAAACACCAAATTCTAATTTGTGACAAAGCTAGGAAAGGTTTTTTGGCCTGCGATCAGAGGGTATCTCAAATGTTGTCATAAAAAGTTCTATATAAGTAAAATAGAAGATATGAAACAATTTTTTTAGCGTAAAAATACTTGAACAATCTAATATGTAGGTTTTTGGCTTTAGAAACTTCATAAAACATCGTAAAAATGGTCTTTTAGGAGGGGATAGAACTTTTCAAGCACCCTGTACAAGTACGGAATCATCGAAAACATCGAAATCACCGAAAATGTTACTATTTTCTTTAGATGGGTGGCTCCGGAGGTGATGTTGTGCGGGATCTTTTCGTCGAAAAGCGATGTTTGGGCCTACGGGGTGACCGTTTGGGAGATTTTCTCGGGTGGCCGCCCGCCGTATGAGCACATTTTGGTGAGGGGTTAATATAGCGCTATAGTAATATAGGGTTACCGTTAGCTTACTCCATTGATAAAGTTTAATGCCAAATCGAAACTCACGTCAAAAATCGAATATCTAGATTTTGAGCGTGATTTTTGGCATTTCATGATTTTCTTTGGCGCAGCAATAAGCTGTTTTTTCTGTGAATACAATAATCTGTGTTGTCTTTTAGCAAAATGACAAAGTACGCGACGGGGTACTCTTCGGGAATCTGCGATTGGTCACACCAAGGGGTGGGTATTTTTCTAAGGATACGCTACTAGATAGCTTAAAATAAGCCCTACGATTGATTACTGTCATATTTCTTCTCCAGATTGCCCCCAGTCGTGTGGCCAGCTGATGTCGGCGTGCTTTTTGACGGAATGGACGAAACGGGCAACGTTTGGGCATTTAAAGAAATGGTTGGTTGAGAGTTTTTGCGATTTCACTTACGGGAACTTTTAGTTTTAATGGTCGAGCGTTTTGCCAGCTGCCGATGGATAGTGCGGAGTGGGTTTTTGGGGGTTACAATCGGTTATTGAACCTGTTTAGGAAACGCTCATCTTGGTGGCACCGGCTCTCGTCGATTAGCCGGAGGAGCGGCAAAAAGAAGAACAACAGCGACAAAAACGCTCGGCCGAGTGACGACATCAAGAAAGCGACGACGAAGACTACTACTGCCACTGCTGCTCCTGTCGCACAACTTGCACAAAATAGGTTAGTTAGAATTAGGGTTATTGGAGCAAGCCATGAATAGTCAAGTTCATCAAGTCTCTCATTAAAAGTTTTGAAGAATTGACTTCTTTTTTGGTTGGCGATAAAGCTTGAGGTTTTCCCGGTATAACACTAGACATGAGCACTAGAAACTACAAAAATGACGAACTGTTACACTAAAAACGCTTCTAACTTGCTTCAAAGCTGACGGATTGACATGATCTATAGCTCAAAAAATAGAAGATATCAAGAGCTTTCGAATGGACGAAGCGCTTCGACTACGCGCGAGTACGGTCTGTTTCGAGTCAGGACTACAAACCACTGTAACTTTCTTTAGCATTGATATTTTTGTGTGCGCTTTGGCACATTCGAAAGCTCTTGATATTCTCTATTTTTTGAGCTTTGAGATCATGTCAATCCGTCAGCTTTGAAGCAAGTTAGAAGCATTTGTAGTTTATGTTTGTATTTTGTAGTGATCATGTCTATAGCACTTCAAGATAACGCCTCAACTGAGCCCCTAAACCCCACGTTGGCACGGCGAACACTTCAATCCGAATATAGACCTTAAAGTTTACATTTTTTTGGATGCTATAATGGTTTAAGCATTTGTTTCTGATATTTAGACAATTTAATGTTAGGTTTTTGCTCGTTTTAAAATGAAAATTTTTTTTGCTCGTTTTAAAATGAAAACTTAAGATTGTTGTCATGTTTTGTGTCTTGAGATGCTGCAAAGGGAAACTATGAGAACTCGTTGATCTTCCTCAATCCTTAACCTACCGTAAATACTCTAATAGAACGTCACCCCCATAATGACAGGCGTACAGTCGCGTAATCTAACTGTACACGCTCCATTCTCCGTGCTCCTTTATGCTACATAAAGGAGCACGGAGTGTGTGCTTGGGTGTTAAATGATAGCCTTTAAGATCTAGTATTTTTTGGTTTGGTAAAAGTATAGTTGGAAAAAATCTAGGGGCTGAGAAAAAATGATTTCCTAAGAAGAAGCTAGACTACGCGACTGTACCAGAAGGGTGGCCTTTTATTAGAGTATTTACGGTAGTTTCTTTTCTTTTTCAGCCTCCCCTTCCCGTCAACCCATCCACCACTGGAAAACGCATTGGAAAAACGAGAAAAATAATGAAAAAGATGCGAGTGAAAAGAAGGAAAATCTTCGAAATTTACACGAAATGATCCAAATTTTTGTTTGTTTTGTATGCTGTTTTGTATTTGCTCCATTTAACCCATTCATTTAAATAAATATGGAAAATTTATTGCATTTTTTTTTGAAGAAATATTGCTTTTTCTTGGCACCGAATATCACAAAATGCGAAAATTTTTGAGAGTTTTGCGAAAAATTACAATGGTATTTTTTTTATGGCATTTTCATTGAATAAGGCACCGTTTTTTTGGGAAAAAAATTCGAAAGAGGTATAATTTGAGCAAAAATTTGTGAAAAAATCGATCGTTTTTGAGATTTTTTTTTTTGATAAAAATGGGGATGTTTTGGCTTTTTCCTCAGCTTTTTTTACTGCTCGTGATCACTGTCGCAAACGACTGAAACGACGAGCGATTCCATGGCTCTGAAAATTTGCTGCTGGTGACCACTACCACAAAGAAGAACTTTGCTTCTTGAAAATCTTGCGATTATTGGGGAAAAGTGAGGTGATTTTCGGACTTAGCATAGACGATTTGCTTTAAATGACATACTGCAAAGGCTACAAAGGGCTACAAGCCAGTGCCAGGGGTCGAACCCGGGTCCCTCGCCTTGGAGTCGAGACCACTACCACTAGGCCATCCATGAACTGTTGTAGATTTGGATAAAAATATCAAAATGTTATAGGGTGACATCCAGATCAGCTAATAGTCTGAGAATTTTCTGATTTTCAGCAATTTATCAATACTAAAAGTGGATGATCGATAAAGTACTGTAAAATAGGCTGAAAAAGGAAAAATCCTATAGTGTGACATCCAGATCAGCTTCTGCAGATAAACCGACCTTCCGAGATCGTCGACGGTTGCTAGAAGGGAGTGCATCCTATCGGGTCCTCGGCCTAGCCCTTGAACATCCGTTTGCTCCATGTCACTTTCCCAGTCTTGTGATGAGACGGCTGGATGGTGAAGGCCTGAAATTTGGGATATCAGTGTTTCCCAGATTCATCCAACCATTTCCATTTGTGTGCATTGGGGCTTGATATTCTCCTTTATCTCCGTTCAATATCGGACCATGTCCACCGGTTTGTTGCCAATCGCGTTCGGCTGACATTGATGGAAGACGGGAGGTGGACTCGCGTTGCTGAAATTGGGATTCCGTTGTTGGAAAGATTTTCTCGTGAATTTTTCCACAAACTTGTTCGATCATCTTCTTCAAGCGTTGCAATTGCATCTCCAATTGTTGATTCTGTTGCTCGAGAATGCGGGATCGATGCTCGAGGCGTTGCTTGTGCATACGTAAAGCTCGAGCCTCTTCGCCGGTCTAAAATTAGAGCTTAGATTCTAAGGAATAGACACTGGGTACCAGATTAGGATTGTCTGGATCTGGCTCTGGCTAGACGGTTTAACCCTGGTTCTAGACCAAACCTGGCTTTAGACCAAACCTGGTTCTAGACCAAACCTGGCTTTAGACCAAACCTGGGTCTAGACCAAACTTGGCTTTAGGAAATCCAGAGCTAGATCTAAATTAATAGGCTGGCTGGCAAGCTAGGCTTAGTCTAAATCTGGACTGGATTTGCAGTAAAGACTCTTTAGAACCATCACTCACCCCGACATCATTGGTGCTCTTGGCTGTGTGCAGTGATGGGACGGATCGTCCGTGTCCATGTCCTCCTCCTCCGCCAGCACCTCCATGTGCCCCTAAACGGGGCAGCGTTCCACCACGAGCCGCGTTTTCCCGATGTCGAGGCATCGTTCCACCGTAGCCGGTTCTGAAAGTGTAGCACTGTTTCAGCAGTTTTGCGAGCCTAATCCTAGCCTATCCTGGATTTCGCAAGAATCCAGGATGTAGGATATTCAGATATTCGGGTCCAAGCCTGGAATTTGCGATAAAACCAAGCCAGACTAGATTCAGGTCTGACTTCTTGTGGACAATGCTTACTGTAAGCCGTCCAGGCAAAGCCTTTGTACTCTAGTAGTGCTTGTACTACTGGACTTGATCTAAGACTTGGTCCTGATTCTTTGTCAACCTTTACAAAGATTGTTTTCGTCTTTGGCTAGTTAAAGACTAGTGATTTTGACTCTTCCTCACCTATCCAAATCGGGTGTACTCTGTGCGGCGTGTCTTTTCCTTTCCAACTCTCGCTTTAACTCGACGTTCTCTAGTTGCAATCGTTGAAGCATTTGATCTAGCTCGTCTTTTTGCATTTGATCAACCTGAAAGCATTCTATAAAAAAAAAGAGTCAATCAAAATTCAAGATTCAACACAAGAAAACTAAAGATTTATTTGATGTTTTGTTTGTCCGCTGCTTTTCTCTTGTTTTATCCGAAAACGACCTTGAAGGTGACCTATCTAGCACCTGGGAAAATTTCCCCCCAAAAAAAAAATCCAAATCTCTGTCTTGGATAATATTCGGCATTTATTTAGGCTTAGTTCTAGTGGCTATTGGACGATGTAGGATATTCAGATGTTTAGATGTTTAGATATTTAGATATGAAGATATTTAGATATTTAGATATTCAGATGTTTAGATATTTAGATATGAAGATATTTAGATATTTAGATATTTAGATATTTAGATATTTAGATATTTAGATATTTAGATATTTAGATATTTAGATATTCAGCTGAACTCGTGGCATAGCTGAACAGTCAGCTGAACGATGCTATAGTAGGTTGTTGCTTTAAGTAGGTTAGCTTACTGTTTGGCGAAACTTTGAAGGCTTTGGAGATGTAGGATTTAAAAGCAGCTTCGCGATGCTCTTAACCAGCGTTTTACCTTGGAATCAGATAGCTTTTGAAATCAGATAGCTCTTGGAATTTAAATTGAAAGCGTTTCTTGGATCGATGCCAATGCTTTAAGCCATTAGCTGATTAGCTAGGCGAACTACTGTAATTTTGACGTCCTGTTGACACGTTCAGATTTCACTGCTGCATAGATTATGGTCAACGAAACGTAAAGATTATTGAAGCTATGGTATTCGGCTGTGGAATCCGGTTAAAGCTTTCGTTTGCTGTGATTTTTGCTATGGATTTTGCTTTGTTACGTTGCTATGCTCGAATCCTTCAACTTCACTTCACCTGTGAGATCAATTGCAGTGGGCTTTTCACGTCGCTCACTGACTTGATCATTTCCTCTCGTGGCTCAGCTGCTTCGTTCTGAAATTTCGGGAAGATTACGGTGGTTCTTGATGTGAAAATTAGTGAAATAGGTTTTTAGATTTAGATTTTTAGACTAAATAGATTTAATCATACGAATTTTAATGTTGTTAGAAAAAGCTATTGATTAAGAAGCTATGGGAAAGCTACCGGTAACTCTGAATACCGAAATACGATAGCTTTCTCTAGATAAAAAGAAATGGAAATGATTCTAAAAGATACCTTTTGAAAAGCTACTGTTCTCTGGATTGTTATTGTTTAGATTGTTATTGAGATTGTGCAGATTTTGGTAATTTAAGTGAAAAGTCGATTGGATTATGGTAGCTTTTGTGGAAACAGTCTATTGGATCACTAGCAGGCTCACTAGCAGGCTCACTAGCAGGCTCACTAGCAGCTCACTAGCAGCTCACTAGCAGCTAAACTGTCTTTTGTTTTGGAACACCCTGTAGATTTATTTGCTAACGAGGGAAATGCCAAGTGTGATGAGTCTATTGGTAGTGAAACCTGTGTGAGATGAGCGATTCGTTGAGCACAAGAGGCGACTCGTGAGTGAACGGCGACCGTGTGCGGATTGTGCGCTGCTGGTGCGGTCATCGCCAACGGGCGACCCTCGTCACCGACCTGTAGAAATGTGCTAGTGTTTACCCGGAAACGAATGAAACTCTTTAAAAAGAGGGAAATGGGCTTTGATCTTATTTGGTTGGTTGGTGGGGAATTGGTTGTGTAATTTAAATAAATTAAAACCCCGCCCCTTTTCCCATTGGCAATCTAACTTTGAGCTCAAATATCTCGGTGTTGGTCTGCTCAATTTCAACATTCTTGGTATCATTAGATGCGCCAAGCTTTTCTCTATCGATTGGTATAAAAATGATTCAAATTGGACACTCGAGCACCGAGAAATTTGAGTTCAAAATTAGAAATGGGAAAAAGGGGCGGAGCGTATAAAAGGCGATGTCTCTAGCTCCGCCCCTTTTGCTATAAAAGGTGATCTCTCTAGCTCCGCCCCTTTTGCTATAAAAGGCGCCCTCTCTAGCTCCGCCCCTTTTGCTATAAAAGGCGCCCTCTCTAGCTCCGCCCCTTTTGCTAAGCTAACTTTAAACTCAAATTTCTTCTTGTTAAGCTGTGCAATCTAGGTACTTTTTTGGACGAATTGATAGAGAAAGTCTTGACGCATCTAATGATATCAAAAACTTTTCAATTCAACAGCTCAACACCGAGATATTTGAGTTTAAAGTTGACTCCAATGGCAAAGGGGCGCGGCGCGTATAAAAGGTCTCTCTAGCCCCGCCCCTTTTGCTAAGCTAACTTTAAGCTCAGAAAGCTTATGTAAAAGCTTCTTAGAAGCTTATGGAAAAGAATGTTCAACGTACATCAACCGGCAAGTAGCCAATCGTTTTTCGTCTTCGTCCCAACTTGTTGCGGAGCATCTGTGCGAAATCGCGAACATCCTCACCAGAAGTTGTCTAGAAGGAAAGATTTAAATCGGATTTTCTATCTTTCTATCTTTCTTTCTATCTTTCTCTCTTTCTCTCTTTCTATCTTTCTGTCTTTCTCTCTTTCTCTCTTTCTATCTTTCTATCTTTCTTTTGCTTTCTCTTTCTTTTCAATTTACATAAAATACTTGAATAGATAATATATACAGTACTGGACAATGAAATAGCATAGTTGAAAGACCGATCGTCCCTTTCGCGCGTCTGTAACTCCCTTGTCTTTGAGTTTAAACTATTAGTGTTATACATTTTCTGAAAGCTCTTTTCAAGGGCTACACAATGGTAATATTAATATTTAGAAATACGATAAAGACAAAGGAGTTACAGACACGCGAAAGTGACGATCGGTTTTTCATTGATATTTTCAAATATGATATTTCATTGTCCAGTAGTGTAGGTAGAGCTAAAATAGGCCAAACCAGAGCTCCAGCGCTCCAGAGTTCCAGCTCCAGAGCTCCGGAGCTCTAGTAGCTACAGCTCCAGAGCTCCAGAGCTCCAGAGCTCTAGTAGCTCCAATTCCAGAGATTCAGAGCTCCAGTGTTCCAGCTCCGGAGCTGGAAGTCACTGCAGAAGAGAATTTGGTTTTTGAGTGAATACTGAAGCTCTAGAGAAAAACTATCAATAAATCAAATAGATAATATATATGTCGTAGCCGATTATGAATTTCAGCCGATTATGAATGAGTGGGTCTAGGAGCGTCCAACCATCAAGTACTTGGTATCATTCAACGCAGAATCATTAATAATTATGTTAAATTTTTAAAATTAGAAAGATTGGATAAAAAGAAAAAAAATTAGAGCAAAAAAACTGTTTGTTCAAGAGGAAACTTTGAGGCCCCATAATTTTTTTTCTTTTTATCAAATCTTTCTAATTTAAAAAATTTAACATAATTATTAATGATTCTGCGTTGAATGATACCAAATACGCACGTATGGCTGACTGGTTAAGTGTCTTTTATCTTAATCGGAAGGTCGAGGGTTCGAACCCCACATGCGACATGGTCACCCCCTTCGGATTTCCTTTCCCTTCGGGTTGAGAGGTTTTTCTGGAGGGCAGTCTGGTGGTTGTGGCCCCAGTCACTTTAAAGTGACAAGCCACTGCCTTCATCGTCATTTTCCCCTTCACCACCAAAAAAGCTATTTAGTTCCCCATTGAGCTTAGGGTTAGGGGAGCCGTCTGTCATGACGTGGGCTAAGTTAAGATATAGCCTAGTATTGTGTGTGTCGTTGTATTGTGATTGATATATTTCGTGTATGCGATAAATTCACCACTGGGGTAGCCCCAATCGGTATTTTTTTTAAAAAAAAAAATACTTGATGGTTGGACGCTCCTAGACCCACTCATTCATAATCGGCTACGGGGGGGTCCCGCCGATTTTGAATGAAACGTTTGTAGCGCCGGCAATTTTTAACCTAAACTCACAAATTTGGTAGCAATCGACGCAGAATTGAATATTCGCTACAAGATCATATAATATTGTCCTCATACATTAAAGGGTTGCTCTACTAGAAAGATTTTACCACAAAAAAATTTCATTCATAATCGGCTACGACATATAGATTTCAAAGATTTCAAAGATTTCAAAGATTTCAAAAAAAACTCACTGGAATTGAATACTCTTGCATTGGGTGTCGTAATTTATGATTTTTACTCGTCCTTTGAGAGAAGAAACAATTTTGACAAATGTCAAAGTTAAAGCAATGAAGACAACGATAGCGAAGGCCGACGATTGGGAACATTTTGCAAACGTTACATTTCGCCTGAACAATTAGCAGAGATTAGCGAAATTACCGTGATAATTGCCGTGATAAATACCGTAATAACCGCCGTAATAACTACCGTAATAGCCGCCGTAATAACCGCCGTAAATACTATAATAGAAGCCGTAACTCCGAACTACCCTTAAGCTTAGCCAGTTTCCTTGGCAGCTCTAAAGCCTCAATGATTACCGTGATCGTTCAAAAGTCTCTCCAGCTACCGTATCCCGATCTTTGGTTACGGTAGGGTTTACGGTTTTTCTTTACTTTACCTGATGCTTCGAGAACTCAGCGGTGGCTAAACGATGCATGACGGGCAGCCAAACAAGCGATTGTGGCTCTTTCTTCAACCAATCCATGAATGGGGTGAACTAAAATTGAAAAAAGTTGGACTAGCGACTTTTCAGCTTCTGCGATTCTTTAAAGAGAATCGAAAACTAGGCCTAGTTTTTGCTTTTAAAGCTTCTAGTTAAAGAACTAAGCTAATCGAAGAGCTACAAAGCTCTGAAGGCATGCCTGATCTCTGGCTTCTGGCAGCCAAAGGGCCAAAGGCCAAAGGAACTTCTGTGGGCCAGGACTGGACCCAGGACTGAACCTGAGCCTTGGCCTGGATCTGGGCCTTGTCCTGGATCTGGGCCTTGTCCTGGATCTTGGCCTTGATCTTGGCCTGCATCTGGGCCTTGATCTTGGCCTGCTCTTGGCCTTGATCTTGGCCTTCATCTTGGCCTTGATCTTGGCCTGCATCTGGGCCTTGATCTTGGCCTGGACCTTGTCCTGAACCTAAGCCTTAGCCTGGATCTGGACCTTGTCCTGAATCTGAGCCTTAGCCTGGATCTGACCCTTGTCCTGAACCTGAGCCTTAGCCTGGATCTTGGCCTTGATCTTGGCCTGATCTTGGCCTTGATCTTGACCCTGATTTGTTCTTTAGTTTTAAGAAATTCATTTCTTTATCTTCACACCTGAATATGTGATGCCAATTTGACGGATTCGAAACACGAGCGAACGGATGGTTCCACGTTTGAGCCGCCAAACGCCGCCGCCTCACCCACCAAGCGGGGAATCTAAAGCTGATGTCTAAAGAATTGTTCCAAATCGATCTAGAAGCTGCCAGCCAGACTGGTTGGCCTTAACCAGGTCCAAGCCTGAAAAACTAGGGCCTATAAATCACTAGAGTGCCCAGACCAAGCCGTCTATCCTCGGTCTTCTAGGAGAAACCAGATCCAGGACTGACTCTGGCTCGCCCTTTTCCGGCCCAGCTCAGTTTTTACCAGAGATTGTAAGCCTGCTGTAAAGCCAGCTTTGGCTATCAAGGAACTCACGTCGCTTGGCCTCTGGCTTCTGGCAGCCAAGGGACTTCTGTGGGCCAGGACTGGACCTGGATTTTAGCCTGGACCTTGTTCTGGACCTGAGCCTTAGCCTGGATCTGGGCCTTGATCTTGGTCCTGATCTGAACCTTGACTTGGACCTGAGCCTTAGCCTTGACCTCAGCCTTGGCCTTGACCTGGATTTGAGCCTTGGCCTAGATCTGGGTCTTGACCTTGACCTTGACCTTGATCTGAACCTTGACCTGGACCTGGACATTGCTCTCCTAGTGAGCCAGGCTAGCTATTTCTTATAAATTTCTGATTCTTACATGAATGAGATCATAGAACAACAAAGCGACGTGTTTCTGATCGGCTTGTCCCTCCTGGGCGACCAGCTCGAAGAGGGCTGAAATTTGGGATATCAAATAAGCATTCAAAACTTATCAAGCATTCAGATTAGAGCATTGTAACAGATTAAAGTTTTACCGCGATATTTCTCCTCTAAAGGCGCATTGCAGAAGACGATGAGCGCCACTTTGAAGGAGAGAACCCGGAGAATGCCGTCACGAGAGCTAGAATTCAAAAATGGAGCTGGGAAGGAGGCTAGGAAGCTAGGAAGAGCTCTAGAAGGCTAGGAAGAGCTCTAGGAGTCTAGGAAGAGTTCTAGGAGTCTAGGAAGGGCTCTAGGAGTCTAGGAAGGACTCTAGGAGTCTAGGAAGAGTTCTAGAAGGCTAGGAAGAGTTCTAGGAGTCTAGGAAGAGCTCTAGAAGGCTAGGAAGGACTCTAGGAGTCTAGGAAGAGTTCTAGGAGGCTAGGAAGAGTTCTAGAAGGCTAGGAAGGAGTCTAGGAGTCTAGGAAGAGTTCTAGGAGTCTAAGAAGAGCTCTAGGAGGCTAGGAAGGATTCTAGGAGTCTAGGAAGAGTTCTAGAAGGCTAGGAAGAACTCTAGGAGTCTAGGAAGAGTTCTAGAAGGCTAGGAAGAGTTCTAGGAGTCTAGGAAGAGCTCTAGGAGGCTAGGAAGGGTTCTAGGAGTCTAGGAAGAGTTCTAGAAGGCTAGGAAGGATTCTAGGAGGCTAGGAAGAGCTCTAGGAGTCTAGGAAATCACTATAGACTATATGGGCTACGGTAGAGTAATCTTATCTTCATAAAACGCTGATAAAACACTTACGAATCGTACAAATTGAGTAGGAAATTGATGCACAGATCAACGGCTAAAGCCACGGATTTGACGAGCGTTGGATGGAGTTGATGAAGGGATTCAAAAAGGGGAAGAAGAGAGGAAACCATTTCATCCAATTGAGGGCACTCCTCATTGGAGAGGCCATCGAGACGCGCGAATGCCTGAAAAGATGAGAATTAGTAGACGATTCGCTTTAAAAGGAAAATTTGGCCAAAATTCAACCCCCTGGGCAGCACCGGGGATCGAACCCGGGTCCCTCGCCTTGGAGTCGAGACCACTACCACTAGGCCATCCGTGAACTATTGTAGATTTGGATAAAAATATCAAAATTTTATAGTGTGACATCCAGATCAGCTAATAGCTTGAGAATTCTTTGATTTTCAGCAGTTTATCAACTCTAAAAGTGGACGATCAAGGATATTGATCAAGATCATCCACTTTTAGTGTTGATAAACATCTGAAAATCAAAGAATTCTTAGATTATTAGCTGATCTGGGTGTCACACTATAACATTTTGATAAAATCTAGCCAGGGGGTCGAACCCGGGTCGCTCGCCCCAGAGTCGAGACCACTACCAATAGGCCAGCCGTAAACTATCGTAAATCGGTTAAAAATATTAAAATGTTATAGTGTGACATCCAGATCAGCTAATAAACTGGGAAATTTTTGATTTCCAGCTATTTATCAACACTAAAAGTGGACGGTCAAGTACGGTTTGGAGAAGTACTGTCAAATAGATTGAAAAGAGAAAAATCCTATAGTGTGACATCCAGATGAGCTTCTCCAAGACTAAAATCCCATCCGATCCTTAGTGGAATGGACAAAAGATCGTGGATTTGATGAGGCGGAGATAATTAAGGCCTATTTAACAGAAATACCTTTTCGAGCATTGGCAACGAGATGAGATCGAGGCAGAGTCGTTTCTGAAGGGCTCGTAGCTTCATCGCGCATCGATAGGCGATGAATTTGACGCGATTGAACGAGTTCAGCTCTTTGGCCATTTCCACCCAAACCGGGTGCTCCCATTGGGTGTGCTCGGTGTTGTGGCTGAAAAATGGGAAAGTTGGGGTAAACGGGACGCGGCTCAGGTCCAGGTCCAGGTCCAGGTCCAGGACAAGGTCTAGGTCCAGGACAAGGCTCAGATCCAGTACAAGGTCCAGGTCTAGGTCCAGGACAAGGCTCAGATCCAGGTCCAGGTCCAGGACAAGGTCTAGGTCCAGGACAAGGCTCAGGTCCAGTACAAGGTCCAGGTCTAGGTCCAGGTCTAGGTCCAGGACAAGGCTCAGATCCAGGTCCAGGTCCAGGTCCAGGTCCAGGTCCAGGTCCAGGTCCAGGTCCAGGTCCAGGTCCAGGTCCAGGTCCAGCTCCAGGTCCAGGTCCAGGTCTAGGGCAAGGCTCAGGTCGAGGACAAGGGCCAGGTCCAGGGCAAGGTCCAGGCCAAAATCTGCATTTCCAGTCTCCCCTCTAAAACTCACTCAATATAATACGGTAAATGATTGGTTTTGCTGATCGCTCTCTGCCATGGCAAAGTGACGGAATGATTGAGAAAATGCTCGGACGAGGGGCCGAAATCGTTGAAAGCGTTTCGGAGAGCAGCCGCACGCACCCGTACGGACGTCTTGACGGCTGTGAATCTGGAAATCATAGGTATAGAAGCTATAGAAGCTTGAGAGCTCAAAGTCAGTCTAGCTTCGAGCCTGGCTTGTATCCATGGAGGGATAGAATTGAATAGCTACGGCTGTTCGAATGCTAAGCTAATTGTCTTGAGGACTCAAATGAAGCTCGTTTTCCCCACCTCTGATTGACGGCGTCGAGCTGATTTTTGGGATGTGTGTCGAGTGGCATATCGGCGGCTAAAATCCTTCCACAAGCGTCGTTCGCATCGTCCAAATGCACTCTAAACAGATTTCAATTTCACGTTAACGAATCACCCTTACCGCAATTGATCAACCCGATCGCTCATCGCATCCACATCAACCCGCGCGTTTTTCAGCTCCTCCAATCGGAGATTCTCGACAGCACGCGCTTGCTCAAGCTCTTGCTCAACCGAGCTGAAAAGATAGATGAATTAGAGAGATCTTGACCTCAAAAAAACAACAAAAAACGCCGATCTTGGACCCAAAACGTTTCCGGGCGCTTTTTTTCAAGACCAGCATATAATTTTGCGAATTTTACAAAAGAATCTCCTTATCTGGATGTCACAGTAAAAGATTTTTAAAGAAAACAACTCCTAATCTCACTTTTAAAATTTAAGCAAGAGTACCTCGATTCTCTAGGACCGATTTCTTCAGAATTTTATGAAATCTTGGTAATCTTTTTGCAAAAATCGTGCTTCCTGGATGTCACACTGTAAAAATTAGCAGGTTTTAGAAGTGTGCAACTGATTTGGCGATTTGGTGTACGGGGAAAATCCTTGTCTCGCTAGAATACGCTGCACTAGATCGATAAGGGTTCAGTTTTTTGTCGAAATTGGACTATCTGGATGTCACACTTGGAAAATCAGACAAAATTAAAGCTCTAGGTTCAATGGAAATTTTCCAGCTCATGGTATTGATGATGATGAGTCCTCCTCCTCCTCCGTTGATGACTCCTCCTCCTCCTCCTCCTCCTCCGATGATGATGATGATGGCTTGATGCGTTTTTGGACGATTTTGTGATTGTGATTGTGATTGGTTGAGGTTGAGGTTGAGGTTTGATTTTGAGATCCCATTAAACCAATCAAGTTCCCTCACCTCAAATGCAATTGGCACTCAGCCAGCGCTCGCTCGAGCTCTTGCAACCGTTGTGCAGCTCCGGCCACCACTTTGCCCCAATCCGACGTTTGATCGCTTAGCTCGGACCATTTTTCCTGAAACAAAGCCTTCTAGGTAAAAAAAGCCTTCTAGGTTTTCAAACTACCTTCAACTTCTCGCAATCCGCGTGAATCTGCAGTCCGTAGCGGCGCTCGTCCATGTCTTTCGCTGAAAACAGTTTTTGAATTAAAGCTCTTTGTGCAAAAGCACTTTTTGTGTCAAAGCTTGAAGGGCATTGGGAAAAAGAACTACTTACTGTAATTGGATCCCCTCTAATGGTACACCACCTTTTCCGTTCTTCTAATGGTACTATCCCCCATCCCCTCTAATGGTATCCCACCTTCTCCAGCTTCCCCCTCCCCCCCCCCGCCCCCCCTCCTTCTCCTCCTCCATCCTCCTCATCCTCCTCCTCCTCCTCCTCCTCCCCAAAAAAAAAAGAAAGTAAGAGATCAATAATTGAGACGCTAGTGGACTTGGATTTTTGAATGAAATGGAATTTGAATGAAATGGAACTCGCTGTTTGGGATCAACACCGTGCCGAGAAAAGCGAATCGACAAAGGAATGTCTGGAGAAGTTGAAGATTGTGCCTATGTTCTGGTAAACCAAATTTTTCAAGCCGATCCTCGAATCAGCCGTCGACGCCATTCAAAGCCTCGCCAACCTAAGCCTATACAGCCCTAAGCCTCTAGCCTAAGCCTAAGCCTAAGCCTAAGCCTAAGCCTAAGCCTAAGCCTAAGCCTAAGCCTAAGCCTATAGCCATCAAGGCCTTCAAAGATGGCACTGGCAGAACTCCAAGCCTCGATCAATTCAAATCTGACCTAGTCTGGTTTTTGGGAGCCTCGGAGAAGTCTAATTACCAATTGGGAATTACACAAGAAGGTAATTACCAAACCCATTCGAAAAGTTTGCCACTAAGCTAGTCTGGTTTTTGGGAGATCGCAGAGTGTGGAAGTGTGGACAATTCAAATTCAATTCGAATTCAATCCAAACCAATTCAAACTCAATTCAAACTCAATTCAAACTCAATCCAAATTCAATTTAAAAAAGTATGCAAGTAAAGGGCAAAGGGAAGATCGGCTGGTTGAAGTAAAGGTACAATTTTGCAATGTTTAATAGTAAGACAAGACGCTTGGGCAGAGAATTTGGTTTAGCCAAATCTATAACTTGATTGTCTTCCATTTCCTCAGCTTTTCTCAGCTTTTCTCTTTGTTTCTCTTTGTTTTCTCTTTTGTTTTCCTTTTCCTCTTGCTTCCTTTTCCTCTTGCTTCCTTTTCCTCTTGCTTCCTTTTGCTTTCCTTTTGCTCATTTCAAGATATTCACCCAATCATCTCCTTTTCCTCTTTTGCTTTTCCCTAGCCGCCTTTCTCTAGGTCGAGTTTACTATGTGAAAGGTTGTGTAAAAGAAGATTCGGAATAAGATTTGAAGTTAAAAAGCGATTGTCAGCATCTATGGAATATCCACTCTACTCTGACCCTGGCTTGATCCTGATCTGGCTTCGGCTCTATCTCAACTCTATCTCAACTCTAGCTCTATCTCAACCGTTTTTCCATCAATCTGGATGTCACTCTAGGTTTTGGGAATAAAATTTGAACTCAAAAAGCTAAGCTTAGGATCAGGCATATCCACCCTACCCCGACCCTGGCTTGAGCTCGGTCTAGCTTTGGCCCAAGCTCTATCTCAACTGTTTTTCGGTCGATCTGGATGTCACTCTAGGTTTTGGGAATAAGATTTGAACTTAAAAAGCTAAGCCTAGGATCAGGCTACCACCCTACCCCGACCCTGGCTTGATCTCGGTCTGGCTTTGCCCCAAGCTCGATCTCAACCGTTTTTCTATCAATCTGGATGTCACTTTAGGTTTTAAGAATGAGATTTTAACTCAAAAAGCTAAGCATCAGGATCAGGAATTTCTACCCTACCCTGACCCTGACTTGATCCTGGTTCTGGTCTACTCAATGTCAAAAATTTTCAGCTAATCCCTCGATCTGGATGTCACTAGGGTCAATGGTTGTTAGGAAACGGGTCTTTCTTTAAAAAAAAATCATATCCTAAACTATTGGGTTGGTGAATTGGAAACTGCCGGCTATTGTCACATAGCCGGCACAGACAGTTTGAGGACTTTCTTTAAAAGAAATCCATTTCGGTGTCAATGGGAAAGTTGTAGAGAATGTCTTTTGAATAAAGGCTCAAACTGTGCTCAAACTGTGCTCAAACTGTCAAACTGCGCTCAAACTTCAAAACTCACTCTCCGCCTCCTCTTCCCCGTCGTCTAGCACTCCGGGTTTGTACATTTTCGGCCGTAAATCATGTTGCATCAAATAGGAATGCGCCGAGGCGATCACTTCTTTCACTTGCGGGGATTTGGCCTCGATTTCTCTGCAAAGAGGATTTGTGGGCCAGATGGATGCGTTTGCACAGCGCGAAGAACTAAGGTACTCCACACAAAGTACGATTACGATGCTCTTTACAGTATTTTATCTAACGAACCTCTCTATATTCTTTACGAAACCACCCTGTGCCAGCACCGCCGACAACGAGCCGCCAATGGGTTGCTGGTTCAGGAGCTGGAAATGGATTTTGAAATTTGTAGAGTTATCTAGACAGGTTAGAGGGTCTGTAGCTGGATCTAGAGATCTAGAGCTGGCTAGAGATCTAGCTCTGGCTCTAGATCTAGAGCTAGCTAGAGATCTAGCTCTGGCTCTAGATCTAGAGCTAGCTAGAGATCCAGCTCTGGCTCTAGATCTAGAGCTAGATCTAGAGCCCATCTAGAGCCAGATCTAGCTAGAAGCCTAGATCGATTTATCTATTCCAACCTGTTTACTCTTTGTCTCAATCCAGTGAACCAACTCGGCCAACCCGTTCGTCAATCGTTCCCACTCTTGCTCCGCATCGGCCAGCCGCTTCCTAGAGTTTCAAATTGATTAAAAGCCTGCTAAAGGAAAGCCGCTAGATGGCCACTAAAGCCTGGTAGGGCCTGCTAGAGCCTGCTAGAAGGCCGCTAAAGCCTGCTTAAGCCTGTTAAAGCCTGCTAAAGCCTGCTAGAAGGCCGCTAAAGCCTGCTAAAGCCTGCTAAAGCCTGCTAAAGCCTGCTAGAAGGCCGCTAAAGCCTGCTAAAGCCTGCTAGACGCTAAGATCGCCACATGGTGAGTCCAGAACTTTAGACGCTTATAACTCTTGTTAGATTGTCATTTAGCAAAAACGGAATATAGATTCGGAATCAGCGTCAAATTCTGTGTCAAATGGTAAAGATTCTTATAGGAGTTTCCCTTGTCTTTTCCTTATAAAACTAAATTTTAGCGAATCAGGCTAGCACTGGCTTTTTCTAGTCGAATTTAGTCGGATTCTAGAGCCTAGCCTAGCCTAGCCTAACCTAGCTAGAGCCTAGCCTAGCCTAGCCTAGCCTAGCCTAGCTAGAGCCTAGCCTAGCCTACAACAAGCTAGAGTAGATAGAGTAGCTAGAGACAACAATAGCCACATTACAGACCTGATTTCAGCCTGTGTCTGCGTGATGCCCGTCCATCTCGTTTCCAAATCATTCAAACGATCTTCCATTGTCTAAAATAAAATAAATTGAAAAGAAATCAAAATTCTGGAATTCACAAAGCCTATTGGACATTTAAAAGAAAGAAAAGGCAAGTTTTGACAAAAAAAAATACCGCAGCTGTACGCTTTTTTTCTTTTGAAAAATTCTATGCAAATTTCTGATCCTTTACCCTTTTTTTCAACAAAAAGAACACAAAAAAGAGAATGAGAAAGAGCTGGAGAAAGATCTAATCGCAGAATGGGGAAATGAGTCATCTTGGAAACAGCCAAGTGCCTACAAACATTACAGCTAGATGGCACAATCCATTTCCTCCGTTTAGTTACCGTCAATCCCTACCTTTCCCTTCCCTTCCATTCCTTTCCTTTCCTTCCTTTCCTTTCCTTTACTCACCTGTTGATCCTTTCCTGTATCAAAGCCAGCCACGATTTTCTTCCCCATCTCTTCTACTGATCGAATCACTTCCGAATGGGCGTCGATCTCGTGGCCGAGGTTCTGAAATCGATGGAATTATCAATAGCTAGCCAGCCAGCTTGCCCAGCCAGCCAGCTATCCAGCCAGCCAGCTACCCAGCCAGCTACCCAGCCAGCTACCCAGCCAGCTACCCAGCCAGCTACCCAGCCAGCTACCCAGCCAGCTACCCAGCCAGCTACCCAGCCAGCTACCCAGCCAGCTACCCAGCCAGCTACCCAGCCAGCTACCCAGCCAGCTACCCAGCCAGCTACCCAGCCAGCTTCTCCCCCAATACCTTCTCAGCTTGTATCCACTCTCTCCTCCTTTGCGTGTCCTTCAACGATTGAGTGTTGCTCGTGCGTTTCTCGAGTTTCTAGAAAAAAGATTTTTAAAGAAATCAAACTGTTAACTAATATAGTTTTCAATTCAAGGGAAAAGGCACAAGCTGGCTTTTGCTCGATGATCGATGTTTCGTTTGTTGCTGTTGTTGTTGTTGTTGTTGTTGTTGTTGTTGTTGTTGTTGTTTTTAGAGATAGCCAGCTTGACTCGATGCTTTTCCCTTGTGAATCAAAATTATCGTACTTCAAAGTGAAGGCAAGTCAAATTGAAGTAAAGTCAAAGTCAGGCTTTATTTCTCTTCACCTGCAAACTGGCGGTAATCCGGTGCATCCATTCCTCGACTTCCGCTAGCGCCGAATGGAAATCGGCTCTCGATCGGAGTGATGCCTCGAGGGCGGCTCGGCGGATACGAATACTAAAAGATGAGAATGTTTGTCGATGCTTTTGGCAGACGCAATCTTTGGGAATCTTGGAACCAAGGGGGCTACAACACAAAAAAACCCAAATACCTTTGCCCTGATGCCCTGGACATGGCTGGAGGCCAAGGCAAGCTAGGAATAGTCTAGACCCAAGCTGTTCAAGATCTAGCTAGAAAGATTCGCATTTCCTGGAACAGTCTCAACGCTGCAGATCTAGAACCTTTGATGGCTCAGGCTCAGGCTTAGGCTCAGAAGCTTAGGTTCAGGTCAGGCTAGGCGCTAGGGCCGGGCTAGCAGGCTCAAGAAGCTAGAAAGCTGTGGCAAGCTCAGGCTTAGAAAGCTTAGGTTCAAGGGCTTAGGCTCAGGCTCAGGCTTAGGCTTAGGCTCAGGCTCAGGCTCAGGCCGCCGAGCCTAAGCCATCTACAGCTTCAAAACCTAGTCGCTATCAAGTCAAATATTTCTCTTACAATTCAATGCACTGACTTATCGTTGAACTGAGTCCATCGCATGTTCAAACGGGAAAGAAGATGAGACAAATTGTGAGCTTCGTCTCTTGGGAACTCGTCCAATAAAGCATTTCCCTGAAAGATGATCGGATAAATGGCTAGACAAGTCAATTTCCAATTACCTTTATATTGATTTCGTGAATCTTTTGCTTCTGTTGGGGTAACTGCTCAAGGATTGACTCTACTCGGCCCAGCTCGACCCTCACCGTCTCTTCGTTGGACTCCATTGGTGCACGAGTGCCTGGTAATTGAGTAAGTCAAGATTGCCAATGATCAAAGCCAAGATTTGAAGCCAAGTCAATGATCAAGCCAAGCCAATGATCAAGCCAAGCCAATGATCAAGCCAAGTCAATGATCAAGCCAAGCCAATGATTCCTGGCTAGCCAATGATTCCTGGCTACAATCCAAGCCATTATTCTAAAATCTCCTCACCAAAATCCTCCTCAGCTCCCGCCATCCACAACTCGACTCCACCTCTCGTTTGCTCTAACCATTTCGCCGTTTCCACAGCTTTTCCCAAATGTGCCCTTCGTTTTTGACTAGCCGCGCTGACTCGTTCAATGCTTGTGCACAGATCAGCTGCCTGAAAACTCTGTTCTTCTTCTTGAACTTGAACAATTCTTGTTCTTGAACAATTCTTGAACAATTCTTGATCCATTCCCCTACCCGTTGCTTCACCACAGACGTCATCGTTCCATCAGAAACGTTTATTGGCTCCATTTGGCGTTGCCGGAGTTGCTCTTGAAGGGTCTGAAAGGAGATTGGAAAGGAATTGTTGAGATTGTTGTAGGCGGGGTTGTAGTCGGGTTGTTTCAAGCACTCTTGAGCTCTCCTGAGCACCCCTGAGCACTCCTGAGGACCCTGGAGCACTGCTTGCTTCGGCTCCGGCTCGGCTGAGCCTTTCCTGGCACTCGATTGAGGACTCTGACTTAGATCTGTTCAAGTTCCTGGTTTGCCTAGCATCTTGAGCAAGAAAGACTAACCTGGGAAAAACCTGGCCTGGAAACCTGAACAGGTTCTGGGCCTGAGCACTCACCTGAGCATTCCTGAGCACCCCATTGAGCACTCTAACTTTGAGTCAAATTCCTGGGTTGGCACTTTAGCTTGGTCTAGCTACAACTCCTGAGCACTGGCCTGAGCACTCAGGGCTAGATCCAATCCAAGAACTCTCAGCCATTACAGACTATCGCTTCAGGCTTACATCCATACCTGCAAAATATTGATCTGTTCCTTAATCTTTTGATGAGAAGCCAAATCAACAGCCATTCCCGCGTCTCTTTCCACTTCTCCAAGCCATAGCCCAAGTTGAGTCAACGTTTGCATTGCGTGTTGGTCACGGGGTGGGAGGAGGCCCTAGAATTTGAAGCGTTGTGGATGAGAAGGGAGGATGAGAAGGGGTATCTCTGCACAAACATGGTCGGGTAATGGAGGGCCGGCTGCTGAAGGCGATCCGGTTGCTGAAATCCTTTGTCGATGCGATCTCTCCGTGCTCTCATCCTCATCCGATGTGTGCACCTCATCGTGCAGTGATTCCACTCGATCCGATGGAGCATCAAGCGTGCCTAGAGCTAGATAATTAGGAATAGTGGACCCAGGGCCCCATCTGTGGACCCAGGGCCCAGCTGTGACCCAGGGCCCATCTGTAGACCCAGGGCCTCATCTGTAGACCCAGGGCCCATCTTTGGACCTAGGACCCAGCTGTGGACCCAGAGCCCCATCTATGGACCCAGGGTCCCATCTGTGGACCCAGGACCCCAGCTGTAGACCCAGGGCCCCATCTGTGGACCTAGGGCCCATCTGTGGACCCAGGCCCCTCATCTGTAGACCTAGGGCCCATCTGTAGACCCAGGGCCCCATCTGTAGACCTAGGGCCCATCTGTGGACCCAGGCTCCTCATCTGTAGACCTAGGGCCCATCTGTGGACCCAGGGCCCCATCTGTAGACCGGGGCCCCCCTTGGGGGCCCGCCCCCCCCCCCCTCCCCGGGCCCCCCCCCCCCTGTAGGGCCCATCTGTAGACCTAGGGCCCCATCTGTAGACCCAGGGCTTCATCTGTGAACCTAGGGCCCCATCTGTAGACCCAGGGCAGACCAGGCAACAAAGCTAGGCTTAAACCTAGCTTCTAGAAGATCCAGAACCAGATCAATGAAGCTAGAACAGTGCTAAACTTGATGTGCTTACCTTCAGCCGAAATGCTTGAGCCTGGTCGATGCTGGGCCGTCAATTCGGATCTCTCGGATCTCTCGGAAACCTCGATCACCGTCGAGAGGCTCATTTCAGAGGACTCTTGCGCGGAGGACTGTAAAAGTATAAAATAAGGTGTGCAGTTGATTTAGTTTATGAAAATAAAGGCAGCCGACTCTCTCTATTAAAGCCAATGAGCCAATCAATTCCAAGAAACCAAGCCAATGAGCCAATCAATCAAAGTCCTCCTCAACAAAAATCCTCCTCAACAAAACCCACACTTTCCCGAAGCACTAACGAGTCGGCTGCCGACGCGGCGTTCCTCGAGATCGAGATTACGGCAGAGATTTTCTAAACGAGAGTTTGAGACTAAGAGATTCGGGAATTGATTTGATAGGGGAATGATAGGGGAATTTGATTTGATAGGGGAATTGATTTAAATCTAGTAGAGATTTAGAATCTAGTAGATATTTAAAGATAAAGATAGGGATCTATAGAAATCTAGATTTATTTAGAGATCTAGATTTATCTAGAGATCTAGCTTTATCTAGGGGGGCTAGGAGGTTTATCTAGAGAAGAGCCCCAGAGTTGGAAACAAGCCCAGATCCACCCAGGGCGGACAAACCCAGACCATCAACCCAGGAGCAAGAACAACACCAGACTAGAGCCAATCCAGACTTGGCCACAACTAGACCGGTTCCAGAGCCAGAACTAGATCCAGATCCAGCTCTATACCCAGAACCAGAACTAGAACTAGAACCAGATCCAGATCCAGATCCAGATCCAGAACCAGATCTGGAACCAGTTCCAGCTCCAGGTCCAGATCTCTATCTATATCTAGACCTCTATATTTATTCTATCTAAACCAACCTAATATAAAATAAACTAAAATTCACACTCTAAATCAGAAAGAGAGTTACAGACGCGCGAAAGGGACGATCGGTCTTTCAACTATGCTATTTCATTGTCCAGTGCTATATCTATATCTAGATCTCTCTATATCTAGATCTTCAATATTTCTAGATCCTAAACCTCTAATAGTACCCCCCCCCCCTCGTACTCGCGTGTGCGCAGAGTCGCGTAGTCGCCAAAGTCGTAGTTTTCATTTCTTTTCAAAGCACGCGTTTTAAAACCCTATTAAAAATGGAATCAGGGGTATTTAAACGAGGGTTTTTCTCGACACTGGTTTATGCTACAATGCTCGCTTAGGTATCAAAAAATAGCCCTGAATTTCAGCTATTTTTTGATACCTAAACGAGCATTGTAGCATAAACCAGTGTCGAGAAAAACGCGTTCAAAGCTAGACTAGGCAAGGCTTCGCACCGTCATTATTGGAATGGGGAATTATGGGAATGGGGTACTATTACAGTATTTACGGTATATCTAGAAAGCTAGCTTTATCTAGATCTAGCTTTGTCTAGAGATATATATCTAGAGATCTTTATCTAGAGATCTAGCTTGATCTAGAGAGCTCTCTATATCTAGATCCAGATCCAGAACTAGATCCATAACCAGAACTAGATCCAGATCCATAACCAGAACTAGATCCAGATCCAGAACCAGAACTAGATCCAGATCTAGAACCAGGTCTGGAACCAGCTCCAGAACCAAGTCTGGAACCAGATCCAAAACTAGATCCAGATCCAGAACCAGCTCCAGCCCCAGCTCCAGATCTCTCTCTATATCCATTTCTTTCAATTCCGAACCTTTTTATGCTTTTCCAACATATTTGGACGATCTTTCTCAGCGTTTTCCAAAATTTTCTCCAATTTATTAACCGCTTGTCGCAAATCAGCGGCATCATTCTGGAAAAAAAGAAAATAAAAGCTGGCTTTGGCTTTGGCTATAATATAAGCTTTTAAAAGCTTTCTAAAGCTTTCTAAAGCTTTCTAAAGCTTTCTAATCCTCTCCAGACTTTGACAGAAGCAGTGCTTTCTCGAGATGGCGTATAGATGACCGCCTCTTTTGTCGCCTCAACCCGACGCTCGATCTAGAAATTTGTGACATTCTTTGTGACATTCTTAGCGACAATTCTATTGTTTAAAGCTTGTATCATGATACCGTAGTCCGTCCGCGTATCAAGAAAGAGTAAAAGAGTGATTTAACCTCTTAATCCCTCCACTATAACTATATTTTATCAAATTTAAATCAAATTTTTTTATATATCAATTTCTAATCTTTCTAATCAATCAGAAAGATAGAATGATATCCAGATGGGGATAAAAAGTTGAAAACACAATTTTCCGACTAGCCAATTACCTATAATCGCTTCGAATTGAGAACGAGGCAATATCTAGGGATAGAGTGAAGCTAGAGCCTAACTAAAGACGTTCTGGAACGTTCTGGAACGCACAGGATAAATTCAGAGAATTATTTTATCAATCTAAGCACTTTTCTTCATAGCCGAGTGGTTAGCGAGCTTGGGTTCGGTGCCAAGGCACCCTGGTTCGACTCCGCTTGTCGCCAATTTCTTTGCGAAATTCTTTTGTCCTGAGCCCTAGATGTAGGAAAAGCCTTGAGCCCCTAAGTCCTAAAGAAAAAAGGTTATTAGTTGGAATTGGAGTCATGGCTTTCAGTTGTAGGACTGACCTCTTTTGCCATTTGTTCGAGAGTCTCAACTTCTCTCCAAACCTCTTCCGCTTTCACTTTCATCTCGTCCAAGCCACGCACACGATCCGAGAGATCGGAACGGATCTGAAAATGAAGTTCTCTTGTTGACAGACAGTCCAACACTTTAGTTAAACAAGGGGGAAGGGCAGGACAGAGAAGGACAGGACAAATCACGAATTTCTAGAGAAATTCAAATAATTTGCATCTTTTTTAACTGATCTGGAACGCACACTATGAGATAGAACTAGCAAAATTGAAAACTGATTCGTTTTAGCGAAATTGAGTGACTGAACCGAGACCAAGGCCAGAAACCCGGATTTTTCTATAGGAACTTGTATAGTTTCCATAGTTTCCTTTGATCTGGAACGCACACTATGAGCTCCAACTATACAAATGACGATCCAGACGGTTTTGAAGAAATTGCGTAACTGAACCGAGACCAAGGCCAAAAACCCAGGTTTTTCTAAAGAAATTCGAATAATTTGCATAATTTTCCCCATCTGGAACGCACACTATGAAATCCAACGAAAAAAATGAAAATCCAGACGGTTTTGAAGAAATTGGGTAACTAAACCGGCAGTGTGCTAGAAAGTGCGCGTTTATGGGGACGTACAGAGAACGCACAAAGAACACCCTAAAGAAGGACAGGAAAAACGATGCACCAGGATGCGAGCGTTTCCCGGTGCTCGCAAAGAACACCCTCGGGAAGGACATGATAATCCGTTCGCCAGAAAGCAAGCGATTACGCGAGAGCACAGAGAACGCACAAAGTACACTGAAGCCCTAGTAAGATGAGTAAAACGATGCACCAGGTTGCGAGCGCTTCCCGGTGCTCGCAAAGGCCCCAGAATCCGTTCGCCAGAAAGCGAGCGTTTACACGAGAGCACAGAGAACGCACAAAGTACACTGAAGCAAATAAAGCTGAGTAAAACCTTGCGCCAGGAAGCGAGCGTTTCCTGGTGCTCGCAAAGAACACCCTCGGGAAGGACCGATAATCCGTTCGCTAGAAAGCGAGCGTTTACGCGAGAGCACAGAGAACGCACAAAGTACACTGAAGCAAATAGTTAGCTGAGAAAAATTCGGAAACTCACCCAATCTGGTGCACTCAAACGAAAGTGTGCCTTCCAGATGGGGTGTTTTTACGTGAAAAAATCCCTGCTAACTGGGAAATACATGAGGAAATAAGCTGGCAAAAGTTTTGGTTCAATTTTTGACCCAAAACTGTCGTGCTGGGTCAGCTGGGTCAGCTGTTTGGCCTAAGGGTGTCCCTTTGTGAGGCTAATGGCTGATTGGTGCCCCCTTTTCCCACATCAAACACTCGATCACTTCATATTACACTCCAAAAAATCTCAATTTCGATTCTAATTGGGAGGGATCGTTAAATAAAACATTTTTGATACGAGCTTAGGCTCCGTATTGCGAAAAAATCCCAATTTGTCGAAATTCGATGTTTCTGTGAGAGATTAGAAGCGATTTTAGCGAAATTGGGTGACTGAATCGAGATCGAGGCCAAAAATCCTGAATTTCTAGAGAAATTCAAATAATTTGCATGTTTTTTATCTGATCTGGAACGCACACTATGAGATAGAGCTAGCAAAATTGAAAACTGATTCGATTTGGCGAAATTGGGTAACCAACCCGAGATCAAGGCCTGAAATCGCGATTTTCTTTGGAAATTCGTAAAAATTAGCATAATTTGATCTTATCTGGAACGCACACTATGAGATAAAAATGGAAAAATTGAAAATCGATTCGATTTTGACATTATTGGGTAATTGAACCGGACGGAGGCCACTGGTTTGTTTGTTTGTTTGTTTTAAAGTGATTGTTTCAAATACAAAATGGCCAATCTGGATGTCACAACAGCTTTTGAGAAAGATAAATTTCCGATTTAGGCATTTTGGCCTGATCGCGTAACTGAACCGAACAGTGGCTGACCGAAATTTGGCATATTCTGGAACAAAGTGATTTTTTCAAAAATGGAATGGTCAATCTGGATGTCACAGCAGCTTTTCAGAAAGATAAAATCGTCATTTCGGCATTTTGGCGCTATTGCGTAACTGAACCGGACAGTGGCTGACTAAAATCTCTGCATATTCTGGAGAAAAGCGATGTTTCAAAAATGGAATGGCCAATCTGGATGTCACAATAGATTTTCAAAAAGAGAAAATCGCGATTTAAGCATTTTGGCCTGATTGGGTAATTGAACCGGACAGTGGCTGACCGAAATTTGTGAATATTCTGGAGGAAAATGATTGTTTCAAAAATGGAATGGCCAAACTGGATGTCACAGTGGGTTTTTAAAAAGAAAGCACAAAGAATACGTGCTTCTGGGATTTTTACTTTAAGAAACCAGCCAAATCACTCACATCAGCCAATCTTCTTGCAGCATCGGAGACAGCTCTTCTCATCTCGTGCTTAATCTCTTGATCGACAGTTGGCAAAAGAACGAGACGATCCTTGCACGATTCAACGTGAGACATTGAAGCACGATGAACTGCCATTTCGGAGAGACGCTTGGATAACTAAAAGAGATTTTGATGAAAGAAGAGAATCTGAAAGAAGAGGAGCTGAAAGAAGAGAAGCTGAAAAAGCTGTGGCTTTAGATTGACTTTAGAGTGTGGCGGGGAATTCTGGAGACTCACGAATTCGGTTAGGTACTAAACTGACCTTCTCTTTCTGCTCTTCGACCATTTCTAAATGTGCCCAATGCACCGGTTCACCCAGCTCGGTTTCCACCAAATCACACCAATTCTTGATGCCATTTAGCTGATATTTCAGCGCCTCAACATCCACAGCCGATTTGTCCAAAAGGACGCGAGCCTGGAAAGTCTGCCTGTCAAGCCTGCCAAGCTTGCTAAGCCTGCTAAGCCAGCTAAGCCTGCTAAGCCTGTCAAGCCTGCCATGCCTGTCAAGCCTGCTAAGCCTGACAAGCCTGCTAAGCCTGCCAAGCTTGCTAAGCCTGCTAGGCCAGCTAAGCCTACCAAGCCTGCCAAGCCTGCTAAGCCTGTCAAGCCTGCTAAGCCTACCAAGCCTGTCAAGCCTGCTAAGCCTGCCAAGCCTGCTAAGCCTGCTAAGCTTGCCAAGCCTGCTAAGCCTGCCAAGCCTGCTAGGCCAGCTAAGCCTACCAAGCCTAAGCCCAGTACACGAACCTTTCTACTCCATTCAGCGAATCGTTGATCCAAAGAATATACAGTGGTCCTCGTGTCAGTCTCTCTTTTCCCACCTTCACGCATTCTCGGTAAAACCCCGGCCACTCGACGCACAACCTCACAAACAGCTACTTCGGAGCGATTCATCGTCTAGAATTCAGAATGGAGTACTTGGGGTTTCGTTTGGAATTCAGAATGAAGTCCGTTTTTTTAAAATCTGCCACTTTTACCCAAAATCTGCCACTATTACCCAAAATTACCCTTATCTTTATTTTTATCTATTTGAATATCATGTGCGTTATGCTGCCTATGCTAGTGTGCGTTCCAGATAAGCTAAAACTGAAACAGTTTTTAAATCGATCGCTTCAAAAAGGAGTTGAGCTCTCGACAAGGTTCTGCAGCATCAGAGTACAATTTCAATTTGGGTAAATCAAAGATCTGATTGCTACAGGTTTTAGTGTGCGTTCCAGATAAGCTAAAACTGAAACAGTTTTGATTTGATTGCAACAAATTCCCACTGAAATCTAGAGGGTCAGTTTCGCAGCACAACTAGCATAAAGTTTAATTTGGGTAAATCAAAGATCTGATTGCTACAGGTTTTAGTGTGCGTTCCAGATAAGCTAAAACCAAAATACTATTTAAATCAATCGCTTCCAAAAGGAGCTAAGCTCTCGACAAGTAAGCTCCAATTTACTAATCACCCTCAAAATCCTCTCGAGCAATTCCTTGGCTTTCGTCGAATCCCTGTCTCCACTCTCGTATTTCCGCTCGAATTCGCCGCTGAGTCGGACTCCCTTTTGGAAGAGACGCTCAGCTTCCACTAGGCACTGAAATCATTCATAGATTATTCATAGATCATTCATAGATCACTCATAGATCTCAAGCGATCTTCCAAGTGCTTTACCTTTGAGAAATCGTGCCATTCTTTTCTCTCGTCATGAGATTTTCGCTTCCTTTCCTCTACATCTTTTCTCAGGGAATCAATTCGTTCTTTTGTGTGCTCAGCCTAGAATTTTTATTGGCTTGCTTGCAAATGAACTAGAGTCAGCTTTGAATAAGATCTAAATTTGAACCATGAAATCTTTAACTAGAGGTGACTGTAGTACTTGAGGAGCCTGTAGTACTAGAGCTGCCTGCAGTGCCTGTAGTTCCAGAGTTGCCTGCAGTCCCTGTAGTACTAGAGGTTGTGATCGTTAAGTTAAGATATTTCATTTAAAAGCTCTTCAGAAATAACAAATTCACCAATTTCTTCATTAGAAAGGTCAACAATCTTTCTACAAAATCAATTCCAACAACACTTTTGTTCTTCAGAACCTTCAGAACCATCCTAGAACCTTCAGAACCATCCTAGAACCTTCAGAACCTTCCTAGAACCTTCAGAACCTTCCTAGAGCCTTCTGATCCTTCCTAGAGCCTTCTGATCCTTCCTAGAGCCTTCTGATCCTTCCTAGAGCCTTCTGATCCTTCCTAGAGCCTTCTGATCCTTCCTAGAGCCTTCTGATCCTTCCTAGAGCCTTCTGATCCTTCCTAGAGCCTTCAGAACCTTCCTAGAGCCTTCAGAACCTTCCTAGAACCTTCTGAACCTTCCTAGAACCTTCAGAACCTTCCTAGAACCTTTAGAACCTTCCTAGAACCTTCAAAACCTTCCTAGAACCTTCAGAACCTTCCTAGAACCTTTAGAACCTTCCTAGAACCTTCAAAACCTTCCTAGAACCTTCAGAACCTTCCTAGAGCCTTCTGATCCTTCCTAGAGCCTTCTGATCCTTCCTAGAGCCTTCTGATCCTTCCTAGAGCCTTCTGATCCTTCCTAGAGCCTTCAGAACCTTCCTAGAGCCTTCAGAACCTTCCTAGAACCTTCTGAACCTTCCTAGAACCTTCAGAACCTTCCTAGAACCTTTAGAACCTTCCTAGAACCTTCAAAACCTTCCTAGAACCTTCAGAACCTTCCTAGAGCCTTCTGATCCTTCCTAGAGCCTTCTGATCCTTCCTAGAGCCTTCTGATCCTTCCTAGAGCCTTCAGAACCTTCCTAGAGCCTTCAGAACCTTCCTAGAACCTTCTGAACCTTCCTAGAACCTTCAGAACCTTCCTAGAACCTTTAGAACCTTCCTAGAACCTTCAAAACCTTCCTAGAACCTTCAGAACCTTCCTAGAACCTTTAGAACCTTCCTAGAACCTTCAAAACCTTCCTAGAACCTTCAGAACCTTCCTAGAACCTTTAGAACCTTCCTAGAACCTTCAAAACCTTCCTAGAACCTTCAGAACCTTCCTAGAACCTTTAGAACCTTCCTAGAACCTTCAAAACCTTCCTAGAACCTTCAGAACCTTCCTAGAACCTTTAGAACCTTCCTAGAACCTTCAAAACCTTCCTAGAACCTTCAGAACCTTCCTAGAACCTTTAGAACCTTCCTAGAACCTTCAAAACCTTCCTAGAACCTTCAGAACCTTCCTAGAACCTTCTAAACCTTTCTAGAACCTTTTCTTTAGTACTTTCTTCGGTCTAAAACTTTCTAATATCTCTCCGAGGTTCCCGGGTACTGTAATACAGTAATCCAAGTCATGTAAGCACTGTATAGCTTGTAATCCCTTACTTGCATCATGTTCAGCTCCATTTGATTTACATCTAGCGCTCTCGCAGCCTCATCAAGCTGTTTGTGCATCTCCTGAAAAAGTCTTTTCATTCAAATTGTTTATTTAGATTGATTTTCTAGATTTCTAGATCTAAATAAAACATCTTTAAATAGCTAAATATCGAAATATTTAGAGAATCGAGATTTTCTAGGCTATCTAGATTAGATAATCTAGATAGCCTTACTAGATCTAGCCATCTAGTACGGTTATCTACATAATTCTACATCCAGATCACTCCAGAGTCACTCCAGAGTCACTCCAGATCACTCCAGATCACTCCAGATAACTCCAGAGTCACTCCAGATCACTCCCCCACCTTATACTCTTTATCATCGTGGTCCACGTTCTCCAGCGGGTACTCCTCCTCGAACGATAAACCGTCTTCAATATTGTCCAATAGCTCGTAAACCTTAAATTTTAACTATATCTAGATTTTATCAATATCCAGATATTATCTAAATCTAGATATTATCTAGTTATTTAGATTTTAACTATTCACCTCTTCCATACTCATCGACGCGATTTTCGAGTGTTTCGTCGCTGACTCCGCCCGGGAACGCTTTGGCTCGGGTTTCTAAAAAAGTGATGGTATTTATTATATGTAAAAGAGAAGTGTATGTCTGTCCGTCCGTCTGTCTGTTTGTCCGTCTGTCTGTCTGTCTTTCTGTCTGTCTGTTTCCCTGTCCGTCCGTCCGTCTCTCTATCAGTATGTCTTTCTGCCCGGCTGTCCGTCTGTCCGTCTATCCGTCCGTTCGTCTGTCCGTCTGTCTGTCCGTCTGTCCGTCTGTCCGTCTGTTTGTCTGTCTGTCCGTCCGTTCGTCTGTCCGCCTGTCTGTCCGTCTGTCCACCTGTCTGTCTGCCCGCCTGTCTGTCCGTCTGTCCACCTGTCTGTCTGCCCGCCTGTCTGTCCGTCTGTCCACCTGTCTGTCTGTCCGTCTGTCTGTCTGTCCGTCCGTCCGTTCGTCTGCCCGCCTGTCTGTCCGTCTGTCCACCTGTCTGTCTGCCCGCCTGTCTGTCCGTCTGTCCACCTGTCTGTCTGCCCGCCTGTCTGTCCGTCTGTCCACCTGTCTGTCTGCCCGCCTGTCTGTCCGTCTGTCCACCTGTCTGTCTGCCCATCTGTCTCTCAGTACGCGCCAGGTTCCCCGTAAGCCGACTTACATAATTTTTTGGTTTTTAGACTTAGAATGCTATGTAATTGTGCACTGATGGCTTCCGTGCAATTGTGCACTCATAGCTCTATTAGACTACCATATCCAATAGTTTATTTGCTGTGCTTAGGCTCGGTTACCGTACTCCATAGTATTTGACTACCGTAGTCTATCAGCTTATGAGACTACCCCACTCTATAGGCTAATTGAACCCTTAGCAGCCTAGAGTCAACCCTAAAGCCCTACCTGGCACAGCTTACTGCCAATTCCTGCCATATAAGACAGCGTATATAAGGCGGTCTAAGCTTAGCCTGAGCCTGAGCTTAGTCTGAGCCTGAGCCTATTCGTTTACCATAATCGAACTCCCAAATATCTCCCTCACCGTCTCCATTGATTCCTCTTTTGCCAGTGATTGTTTCTTGATTGGCGTGTTCTCGCGGGAGTCCGTTTCCGACTGAAATTCGGAGATTATTAGCTAAATTTCTACCATATCTAAAGTCGATACAGTATACCGAGTACTGTACTCGGTACTTTACTGTACTCGGTACTGTACTGTACTCGGCACTGTACTGTACTCGGTACTTTACTGTACTCGGTACTTTACTGTACTCGATACTGTACTGTACTCGATACTGTACTGTACTCGGTACTGTACTGTACTCGGTACTGTACTGTACTCGGTACTGTACTGTACTCGGTACTGTACTGTACTATACAGCCAAACAAAGCTAAAGGATAAGGTGCGAGAAAAGCATGCAATTGAGTGCACAGCCAAAGCAAATGAGATGAAAGATGGTGAATGCACTGTACTGTACTGCACCGTACTGTACTGTACTGTACTGTACTGTACTGTACTGCACCGTACTGTACTCTAGATAATATAATTAGCTAACCAGGGTACTCTGGACATTCTAAACAGCTATAACTGATCCATTCTGATCACCTTGAAGTGTGAGACGGACGCGAAACCGTGTTTGGGCACTGGCGGACGAACTTCAGCTTCTTGGAGTTGTGGGGCGCTGTGGCTCTGAGCTGGTGGGTGAGCTTGGGCCTTGGGTGGGCCCTGAGCCTTGGGTGGGCCCTGGATAACTGGCTCTTGGGTCTTAGGCTGAGCTTGGCTGGGTTGAGGCCCAGGTTGAGTCTGGCTGGGTTCAGCTGGAGCATTTGCACCCTGGAATCTTGACTCTTCGCTTCCGAGTGGCTCCTGGATAGTCTGGACTAGTTCTTGGCTTTTCTGGGACCGAGCCTGGTCCTTAGGCTTCTTCTGGGCACTAGGCTGACCCTGGGCCTGGTCCCTAGGCTGCTCCTGGGCACTAGGCTGACCCTGGGCCTGGTCCTTAGGCTGATCCTGGGCACTAGGCTCATCCTTAGGACCTATAGCTTCTATTGAAGACGCTGGCTGGCTTACTGTACTCAGAACTGGCTCCACGATCCCTTCTAAGCTTTCCGATTTCCGATTTCCGGTACCCAAATCACTCTCCAGTAGCTCTTGCAACGATTCTGGATCAATTGGGTTTGTTTCATTAAGATTGCTTTGAACAGGCCTCTTATATCTTCTTTGTACCACATGTGTGTCCTCTCCAGGTCGGATATGTTCGATTCGGACTTCTAGCAAGGCTGGGGGTTCGGAGGAGGGTTCAGCCGTTAGAATGAGAGCTTCTTCTTCATCTACAGGGTTTAAAGTTGTAGGTGGAGCTTGTTCAGGGTTTATTCTTGTAGCTTCTGGACCAGATGCTGGTTCTAGGGCCTGTCCAGACTCCGCTGGAGCTTGTCCAGACTCCAGTCTTGAAGCTAGAGCTTGTTCAGACTCCAGTCTTGAAGCTAGAGCTTGTCCAGACTCCAGTCTTGAACCTAGAGCTTGTCCAGACTCCAGTCTTGGAGCTAGAGCCTGTCCAGACTCCAGTCTTGAACCTAGAGCTTGTCCAGACTCCGCTGGAGCCTCTCCAGACTCCAGTCTTGAACTTAGAGCCTCTCCAGACTCCAGTCCTGGAGCTAGAGCTTGTCCAGCCTCTCCAGTGCCTCCTCTAGCCCCCTCTAAGCCTTCTTCCATCCTATCCACATCCTCCACTGCATACACGGGCACCGCAGCTCCTCCAATCCTCAACATCTCAATTCTCTCGGGCATCGGCGTCAGCTCGTCCCTAGTTTTTCGAGAATTCTCGGATCTCGATGTGGATTCACTGGATTCACTGAAATCCCGTAAATCCTTCATTGACTCCGGCGGGGTTTCGTATTTTGATAAAGGCTCCGAATTCGAATCTAAACTTGCTGAGCGATCGATTTGGTAGACTGGGTAAGGGCAGTCTGGCTGGTCCATTGGCTGATCTGGCTGGTCCAATGGCTCAAATGCTGGCACTGATCCGGCCAAGAGTCCTTTAGGAGCTTGGGTACCCTTTCGGCTTGTTGCTAGAGCTTGATCCTCAACTAATTTTCCGGATTCTATGATTCTAGGCTCTTCAACTGGCCTTTTTGGACCGATAGGGCCTTCTGTAGGTCTTCTTGGACCACTAGGGTCTTCTGTAGGTCTTCCTGGATCGATAGGGCCTTCTGTAGGCCTTCCTGGACCACTAGGGCCTTCTGTAGGCCTTCCTGGACCACTAGGGCCTTCTGTAGGGTCCTCTTGCCTTGCTAAACCCTCTGCTACTGTAACTGAAGCACTTTCTGGGCTCTCTGGATCCCCTGTACCTTCGTCTACAGTACCAGGATCTCTAGAATCTTCTTGGCCTACAGTTACTGCACTTTCTTGACCTCCAGCACCTTCTAAACCTTGATCTGCTTGTACAATAGCCCCTCCACCGTCTCGTTTCCTCAACTCTCTTGTCGCAAAGCTAGCCGATCCCTCCAATGGTGGCAACGGTTTAACGACTGTGCCCAAAACGTTCTCATTCTCCGGCTCACTGATTGGAAAGAGGTTATCTTCGTAGTGAATGACTGACAGTGATCCGTCATCTCCTTCGAATGACTCTTTCGGGATCATAGAGGTGTCCCCAGGTGGTACTGTGACTTGGATTGATTCTGGAGCAAGTGCTTGATTCTGGGCTTGATCCTGGGCTTGATCCTGGGCTTGGTCTTGGACTTGGACTTTGTGCCGAACTTGGTCTTGGACTTTGTCCGGTATCTGGTCCGGTCTTTGATCCAGTACTTGGTCCTGAACCTGGTCCAGTATTTGAAGCTGTAATTGGTCTTGAACTTGGACCAGGTCCTCTACCTGGTCCGGTACTTGATCCTGTACTTGGCCCAGTACTTGTTCTTGGACTTGATCCGGTTCTGTACCTTGAGTTGATTCTAGAACCTGTTCCAGGTCCTGTACTTGTTCCTGTACTTGGTTTTGTACTTGATCCGGTACTTGTTCTGGTCCTTGGTCCGGTACTTGTTCTGGTCTTTGGTCCGGTACTTGCTCCGGTGCTTGATCCGGTACTTGATCCGGTCCTTGGTCCGGTCCTTGGTCCGGTACTTGCTCCGGTACTTGTTCCAGTCCTTGTTCCAGTCCTTGATCCAGTCCTTGGTCCGGTCTTTGGCCCGGCCCTTGATCCGCTACTTGTTCCAGTCCTTGGTCCGATACTTGGTCCGGTCTTTGGCCCGGTCCTTGGTCCCCTACTTGTTCCAGTCCTTGGTCCGCTACTTGGTCCGCTACCTGTTCCATTCCTTGTTCCAGTCCTTGATCCACTTCTTGCCTTTCCTGCTTCAATTTCCCAACTTCTTGAACTCGGATACCTTCTAGAGTCTCTCGATTCAATTCCCCAACTTCTGAAGCCTCTCGATTCAATTCCGCAGCTTGTCCTCGATCTCTAGCCTTAGCCTGAGGCTGATCCTGATTGAACTCATTCGCTTTCCGAACTCCAGACTGAACTACAGCCTCACCCCGATTCACTCGCTCAACTTCCCGAAGCCCAACTGATTCATTTCTATTCTCTAGACTCAAATTTCCCGAAGACTCAACTTTCCGTTCTCGAGGACCTGCCGGAGTCTCGGCGCTCACTTGCGCAACGTTGCCTCCATGCAACCCCGATTGTTGATCGACCGGTGTTGTGCTCTTCGCCCACTCTTCTAAACTTTCCCCTCTCTCGAAAATCATTTCCCCTTCATCGAATTTTAGTATCCAATCGAAAGATTTCTGCTTAATTTGAGGTTTTTGTTGAGTTTTTGGGAAAATATCGGATTTGCTTGACTGAAGTTTTCTCGATTCTGGTAGTAAAGGTTGTTTTGCTTTTTCTGCCGTAATCTCAATCTGGACCTGAGCCTGAGACTGAGACTGAACCTGATCCTGGGCCTGGGGCTGGGGCTGGGCCTGGGGCTGGGCCTGGGGCTGGGCCTGGGCCTGGGGCTGGGCCTGAGCACGAGCCTGCGCCTGATCCTCATCTTGTGCCTGATCCTGGGCCAGAGCCTGATCTTGATTCTGATCCTGGGCCTGGGCCTGGGTCTGGGCCTGGGCTTGGGTCTGGGCCTGGGCCTGATCTTGACCCTGGACCTGGACCTCATCTTGTGACTGAGCCTGGACCTGAGCCTGCGCCCGAGCCTGATCCTCATCTTGTGACTGAGCCTGGGACTGATCATGATCTTGATCCTGAGGCTGGACTTGATCCTGAACCTGAGCCTGATCTTGAGCCTGATCCTCAGCCTGATCCTGAGTCTGAGCCTTAGCCTGAGCCTGGACCTCATCTTGTGACTGAGCCTGATCCTGATCTTGAGCCTGATCCTGAGCCTGGGCCTGAACCTGATCTTGAGCCTGAGCCTGAACCTGAGGCTGGACCTGATCCTGATCCTGAACCTGAGCTTGATTCCGATCCTGATCCTCAGCCTGATCCTGAGCCTGAGCTTCTTCTAAGCCTGTTCTTTGTTCAATTTGAACAATTGCAGCCCTTTCCACCAAATCCGCTTCTCTACTCAGCCCAAGTTCACTACTTGCTCTAATCCTCGGCATTGTTACCGTAATCGGTGTCTCTGGACGGGGTGACGGTGTCCGAATGAAACTCTCGGTGAAAAGCTCAGTCGGAGTTTGATCTGTGATCACAATCTCACTGACCACTTTAAGCTTTATACTTTCTTCGTCGTCGTCTTGTTCAGTTACCCGATTGATCTCAACAATGCCAGCAATTGAAGGCTCTTTGCCTGCAATTGTAGAGTCGTTGCTTGCAATTGTAGACTCTTTGCCAGCAATTGTAGACTCTTTGCTTGCAATTGCTTCATTTTCAGCACCTTCAACAATGTCATTTGGTTCAGTTACCCAATCTAAACCATCAAGTCGATGTCTTGACTCCGGTCTTGGCTCCGGTTCTGGCTCCGGTCTTGGCTCCGGTTCTGGCTCCGGTCTTGGCTCCGGTTCTGGCTCCGGTCTTGGCTCCGGTGCTCCCTCTCTTCTCTCCCTTCTCGACAGTGACATTGTTTCCAAGACTGGCTCTAGCTCTAGCTCTGGCTCTGGCTCTGGCTCTGGCTTTGGCTCTAGCTCTAGCTCTAGCTCTAGCTCTGGCTTCAGTTCATTTAAAGCCTTGAAATCAGCTTGAATAGAAGGTTCCAGAAGCTCATTGACTGAGATCTCTTCTTCTACTTCAAGTACAGTACTTAAAGCATCTGAATCACTTGCTTCATCATCTAAAAAGCGATTCCACGGGGTTAAACTTGTCGAGATCGGTTTTGGGATCTTTGAATGAGACTGGGATAGCCTAGCTTCCTCTAGCATCACTGGAGAATCATCTACAACGTGTACAGTAGTGCCTGGACGTGCTGTGAGACGTACAGTAGTGCCTGGATGTGCTGAGGGTGATCCTGGAGATCCTAGAGATCCTGGAGATCCTGGAGATCCTGGAGACTCCCGGGTGATCCTGAAGACTCCTGAAGACTCTACGCCACCCACAGTAGTGCTAAGTGCTTCTCCGGCTACTGCAACATCGTCCATCGGTCTCATTGCAGTGCTGGGTGCTTTCAGTATTGTAAAATCGTCTACACCAGTGCTGAGTGCTTCTTCTGCAGTGCTTCTATTCCCTCCCACCTCTGCAACATCAAGCTCCACTCCCAAAGTGATCGGCTTGATCCTTGCCGCATCCACGAACTCAATCGGAACGTCGATCGACTCTGTGCGACGATCCGCGTCAACCTGTACCCAAAATTTGTGGATTCAAAAGAAACTAGCAAGCTGGCATACTGAAATGGCTTAACTCTTGTCAAAAGGAGTCGATTGTAAGCCTAAGCCTAAGCCTGAGCCTGAGCCTGAGCCTGAGCCTGAGCCTGAGCCTGAGCCTAAATCCGGACTAGTTCAAGCGAAACTAAGCCGGATCAGCACGAGCCAAGGCCAAGAACAAGGCCAGACAGCTGGTCAGACTAGGGTGAGGGTTGACCAGAGCAAAGACCAGACCAGGATCTGATTAGACCTCGGTTCAGGACCCCTGGACTGCCCTGGACTGCCCTAGACTGTCTTGGACTGTCTTGGACTGTCTTGGACTGCCTTGGACTGCCCTGGACTGCCCTGGACTGCCATGGACTGCCCTGGACTGCCCTGGACTGTCCTGAACTGCCCTGGACTGCCCTGGACTGCCTTGGACTGCCCTGGATGGCCCTAGATGGCCCTTGACAACCCTGGATGGCCCTGGACTGCCTTGGACTACCCTGGACTGTCCTGAACTGCCCTGGACTGCCCTGGACTGCTCTGGACTGCCTTGGACTGCCTTGGACTGCCCTGGATGGCCCTTGACAACCCTGGACCACCCTGGACTACCCTGGCCTTGATCTATTGACTAAATTCTGGTCCGATTACCAAATCCTGGCTTGAACTGGTCCTGTGGCTTGGGCTAGATCTAGACTAGGATTGGCTTGAATCAGATGGCTTGGATTGGCTTGAATCAGACCAAGACTCAGAACAGGAACAAGCCTATCAGAACCCAAAAACCTCAAGCTTAAGCCAAGCCTGAGTCTAAGCCTAGGCTTGATCAAGCTAGTGTTAACCAGTGAGACTGCTCTGGCTATGGCTGGCTCTGTATCTGACCTTTGCTTGGCTGCTTTGCTCCTGTGCTGTCTAGGCTTATTGTCCAGGTTTAGGCCTACTTTAGCTCTATGATTTTTCCAAGACTATCAAAAGGTTGACAGTTCTAACGATTGACAGTTTGAAGTCAAAAGATTCGCTGAAACTAGCAGAGAAAGCGGAAATGGGTAAAGGGTGAGATTAGCGATTAGAATGAGATTCACGATCACTCAAAGCCTCAAACCTTGATCTCGGCGTCGCCTTGTTCTCCCCTTGAAAGCGTCTCGTCTTCGGTGGTTGTCCCTTGATCCGTGCACATCACTTCCATGGCTAGAAATAGGTGTTTAAAGTTGGAGCGATCAAGAATCGACGATCGATCGACGCCAGTTGCTTTCTAGAGTACAGTAGCACCATCTACAGCTCTAGCTGCTGGCCATCCAGCTCCAGGCGCTGGCCATCCAGCTCCAGGCCCTGGCCATCCAGCTCTAGGCCTTGGCCATCCAGCTCTAGGCCTTGGCCATCCAGCTCCAGGCCCTGGCCATCCAGCTCTAGGCCCTGGCCATCCAGCTCTAGGCCTTGGCCATCCAGCTCCAGGCCTTGGCCATCCAGCTCTAGCTCCTGGCCATCCAGCTCTAGCTCCTGGCCATCCAGCTCTAGCTCCTGGCCATCCAGCTCTAGCTCCTGGCCATCCAGCTCTAGCTCCTGGCCATCCAGCTCTAGCTCCTGGCCATCCAGCTCTAGCTCCTGGCCATCCAGCTAAGATCTCCTCTTGGTCTAAGCCTATACTCAACCGAAATCCAACAACTCACCCAACGAATTGCCCACACTACTTCTCGAGGTTCGATCAGGAGACGTTTGAAGCTCGTTCTCGTTCTTCAAGCTCGTCTCCAACTCCTCCAATTCCTCTTTCGCTTCGTCTCTTCCCGATCTCTCTCTCCGGTCAGATCCCGCGAGAATTGATTCTAATGAGGAAAGGCCTTGATTTAAAGCGTCCAGAGTAGTGTCACGAGAAGCGGATGATCTAAAAGAAAAGGATTTTTGTGAGGTTTAGATTGAACCTAGCTGGCTTTGGACCTAGCTGGCTTTGGACCTAGCTGGCTTTGGACCTAGCTGGCTTTGGACCTAGCTGGCTTTGGACCTAGCTGGCTTTGGACCTAGCTGGCTTTGGACCTAGCTGGCTTTGGACCTAGCTGGCTTTGGACCTAGCTGGCTTTGGACCTAGCTGAACGACGAGAAGTCGATGATCGACTACGATAATCAGAACAAGTTCAACACTAGCTCACCTGCCCGGCAGTGATGCGTGCAACTCGGCAGCTCGCCTTGATAGAGAGCAAAGTTGGGGATCTCTGGACGAGAGATCTTTTCGCGTTGCCTAAAATTGATTATAAGCTACTAAAATCACTTATTCAATGTTTAGATAAGTGATTTGTTTAAGGAAAAACAAATCCCAGACTTAGGATGGACGCTGAGATCAGAATAGCCATTGTAGCTGGATTCGGTAGCTGGCCACATAGCTGGGATACGGTAGGCAGCTCTGTACATAGCTGGGATACGGTAGGCAGCTCTGTACACAGCTGGACTACGTTAGGCAGCTCTGTACAATAGTTTTAGCTTTTCCTTTACCTGAACGATCTCGGGCTCTTGAAGATTCCGCTTGGAAAGGCTCTCGATCACGTCTTTCATTAATCTAGAAATTGATTTAGTATCTGGAGATCTGGATTTGAAATTCGTAGGCCTTATACTATGGCTTATGTCCAATAGCTAATGACCAATAGCTTATGACCAATAGCTTATGACCAATAGCTTATGACCAATAGCTTATGTCCAATAGCTTATGACCAATAGCTTATGGCCAATAGCTTATGTCCAATTTCTGATATCCAATAGGCTCTAGAGATTCAATAGATTCAGCTACCGTAATCCCAGACTTAGATGGACCATGAGATCAGGGTAGCCTGCTATTGTAGCTGGATTCGGTAGCTGGCTCTAGACATAGCTGGATTCAGTAGCTGGCTACATAGCTGGACTACGGTAGGCAGCTCTGGACACAGCTGGACTACGATAGGCAACTACTACTTACCGTAGATCTCGCTGAAGCGCCTCGCTTTTCTCAATGGCTATATCGACGTCGCCTCGATTTCGCTCGATTTCCGATTCGAACTGGAATTTTGATGACTTCAAGATAGCTGGACATAGCTGGACATAGCTGGACTACGTTAGGCAGCTCTGTACACAGCTGGACTACGGTAGGCAGCTCTGGACATAGCTGGGCTACGGTAGGCAGCTCTGTACACAGCTGGACTACGGTAGGCAGCTCTGGACATAGCTGGACCACATAATAAAACGATTTTTCGATCTTTCTACCTCATTGGCTGTATCAATAACGTTATCTAGCTCCTCGATTGCTCGATGTGTATCCAGCTCCATTCTTCCTGTGTCAGCTAACCGTCTCCCATCACCGACTACTTCAGATAAAGCCTCACGTCGAGCTGACATCCATTCCTCTGATGCCTAGAAAGAAGAGATTGCTCAGTCCAACAAGAAGAAATTTGGCTTTAAAGCCCCGCCCATTTTGCCATTAGCAATCTAACTTTGAGCACACTTATCTCGGTGTTGAGCTGTTCAATTGAATAGTTTTTGATATCATTAGATGCAGCAAGTCATCCTCTATCGATTGGTACAAAAACTATCTAGATTGCTTAGTCCAACAAGAAGAAACTTGAGTCCAAAGCCCCGCCCATTTTTCCCATTGGCAATCTAACTTTGAGCTCAATTATCTCGGTGTTGGTTTGCTCGATTTCAACATGCTTAGTCTCATCAGATTCGCCAAGTCTTTCTCTATCGATTGGTACAAAAATGATTCCGATTGGACAGCTTGATGCCAAGATAATTGAGTTCAAAGTTGAGTCCAATGGCAAAGGGGCGTATAAAAGGCGGCCTTCTGGCCCCGCCCCCTTTTAGGCTTAGGCTAGTACTCTGCTTTACTTTAAAAAGCCTAAACTCTATTGGATTCGAGAATACAGAGACTTTAAAGTCTAGTCAAAGAATCGAATTCTCACCTTGACCCGATCCCGCCACTCGTTCGCATTCCGCACTGGGTACTCGTCGAAATCCAAATATTTAACGGCCACATCGAAGCTGAAATCAAAGGTGTTCAAAGCGGCCAAAAATAGCCTCCTTTAGCCCTGAAAATAGCTGAAAATAGCTGCAGAAAGCTGAAAAAAGCTAAGCCGGTTTAGTTACGCAGGGCTTAGAGAAAGCTTAGAACGTGAGCCTGAGGCTGCTCAAGCTCAACAACTGGCGAACTGCCAGCTTAGTTACAGCTGGCGCAGTTTATTTGGTGCACCAGAAAGTGCGTTTACCAATTTGCCAATTTGCCAATTCCCAAATTCTCAAACCTTTCCGCTAATCTCTTCACTCCGTCCTCAAAAGATTGATGCGGTGGATGTGGTGGTGGAAGAGGCGGTGGTTGATGAATGTCACCACTTTCCGTTTCCATTCTTTCTTCTAGACGATGCCATCGAGAGTTCACGTCGGCTACCTCAATTGCTTCGATTTGTTTGGGCTTTGGATTCTGATTTCATTTCGATTTAAAGCATTTAACAGTTTTAAAGCATCTAACAGACTTCAATGTTGGTTTTTCCCTGCCAAGCCAGGAATCAGAGCTGGGGATCTGGCTTTGGCCTAGCTTAGACTGGCCCAGTCTGACCCAGGTCTCCGTTGACCTAGCCTAGACTGGCCTGGTCTGACCCAGGTTCCCGTTGACCTAGCCTAGACTGGTCCAGTCTGACCCAGATCCCCGTTGGCCTAGCTTAGACTGGCCCGGTCTGACCCAGGTTCCCGTTGGCCTAGCTTAGATTGGCCCGGTCTGACCCAGGTTCCCGTTGGCCTAGCTTAGACTGGCCCAGTCTGACCCAGGTCCCTATTGACCAAGCTTAGACTGGCCTGGTCTGATCCAGGTCCCTATTGGCCTAGCCTAGACCGGCCCAGTCTAACCCAGGTCCCTATTCGCCTAGCTTAGACTGGCCCAGTCTGACCCAGGTCCCCATTCGCCTAGCTTAGACTGGCCCAGTCTGACCCAGGTCCCCGTTAGCCTAGCCTAGACTTGCCCTAAGCTTAAGCTTAAGCCTAAGCCTAAGCCTAAGCCTGAGCCTGAGCCAAGCAGGTTATTGGTTTGACGCTGGCTTTGATCTGGTCCGATTTTGGTCCGATCTTGGTCCGATCTGGTCCGATCTTGATCTTGATCTGATCTAGACATTGCCCGACCTTTGAAGGTCGTAATCCTTAATCCTTAATCCTTAAAACGAAAGCTTGTTTATCGAAAATGCCTATTTCACTCACGGGATCACTCTGAGCCAATCGTGGATTGAGCATCGCCAAGCGTCGCGCCCTTGACGAAAGCCGATCACGATCGTGACGCAAAAAGTGGAGTCTAGAGGCGATCTGAAATGGGTGAAGCTTTCGTAAAGCATTTAAAGATTGATTTAATAAAGATAGATGTCAGAACGAAGAAGAGAAGCAATTTTTGGAAACCCAAATAACGTTTAATTCGACTTTAAAGGTTTCAAATCAGAAATAGACGATTTCCCTGAAGAATTCTGTGCCATTCAGTGGCCCAGACGAGCCCCAGTGGCCCAAATGGGCTCTAGGTGGCCCCCAGTGGCTCAGATGGGCTCTAGATGGCCACCAGTGGCCCAAATGGGCTCTAGGTGGCCCCCAGTGGCTCAGATGGGCTCTAGATGGCCCCCAGTGGCTCAGATGGGCTCTAGATGGCCCCCAGTGGCTCAGATGGGCTCTAGATGGCCCCCAGTGGCTCAGATGGGCTCTAGATGGCCCCCAGTGGCTCAGATGGGCTCTAGATGGCCACCAGTGGCCCAAATGGGCTCTAGCGCCCCCAAAAGCCCCCAAAACCCCCCCCCCCCCCCCCCCCCCCCCCCCCCCCCCCCCAAGCCCCGGAAGGCCCCCCCCCCCCCCGGGGGGCCCCCGGGGGCCCCAAAAGCCCCCCAAAGGCCCCCCAGGCCCCCGGGGGGGCCCCAGTGGCCCAGATAGGCCCCAGATGGCCACCAGTGCCCCAGATGGGCTCCAGATTGCCTCCAAATCACAAAAAAGCAAGGATAATTTTTTAGCCATGATTTTCAAAAACGTATGTGTGAAAAGATCACTTGCGACTTGGCTTTGCTCGGAAAAACCCGAAAAAAGGATTTTTTTCTCTAAATTTCTGAAAAGAGAGGATATTTCTTGAGAAAAAAAAAGCCAAAAAGACAAAAAAGACATTGTAAAGTTGGGAAAAGAGCAAAAAAAGCAAAAAAAAAAAAAAAAAAAAAGGCTTTTTCTCTTTCAAAAACCCTTTCAAACCCCAATTATTGAGAGTATTTTGAGGAATTTTGAGGAATTTTAAGGAATTTTCGTGGGGTTTAAGTTTTTTTTCGTGCAGCGAATCGAGAAATATGACAAAATTGGGTAACAAAATCGAGATCAACGCCGGAAATCCCGAATTTCTAAGAGAATTCGAATAATTTGCATGATCTTTATCCTATCTGGAACGCACACGATGAGATAAAAATGGCAAAATTGAGAACCGACTCGATTTCGACACTACTGCGTAACTGAACCGGGGCCGAGGGTGGCGGCTGGTTTGTTTGTTTGTTTCAAAGTGATTGTTTCAAAAATGGAATGGCCAAGCTGGATGTCACAGGAGGTTTTTAAAAAGAGAAAATTGTGATTTAAGCATTTTGGCCTGATTGGGTAATTGAACCGGACAGTGGCTGACCGAAATTTGGCATATTTCGGAACAAAGTGATTGTTTCAAAAATGGAATGGTCAATCTGGATGTCACAATAGGTTTTCAAGAAGAGAAAATATCGATTTAAGCATTTTGGCCTGATTGCGTAACTGAACCGAACAGTGGCTGACCGAAATTTGGCATATTCTGGAACAAAGTGATTGTTTGAAGTATGGAATGGCCAATCTGGATGTCACAGAAGGTTTTCAAGAAGAGAAAATATCGATTTAAGCATTTTGGCCTGATTGGGTAATTGAACCGGACAGTGGCTGATCGAAATTTGGCATATTCTGGAACAAAGCGATGGTTTCAAAAATGGAATGGTCAATCTGGATGTCACAGCAGCTTTTCAGAAAGATAAATTTCCGATTTAAACGTTTTGGCCTGATTGCGTAACTGAACCGGACAGTGGCTGATCGAAATTTGGAATATTTTGGAATAAATTGGTTGTTTCAAAAATGGAATGGTCAAACTGGATGTCACAGAAGGTTTTCAAAAAAAGAAAATCAAAAACCGATTCAATTTTCACTTAAAGTTCTTCATTTCGCACCTCTTTTGGATCGTCCTCTTTCTCAGCGTCGTCCAATTTCTTCATCAAATCCTCGTGCAATTCGTCGACCTAAAAAACAAGCTACAGTAACTGTGTCCCGTTTACAGCACAGGAAATGATTGCCTATGATTGCCTTAGGTTAAGCTAGGCCAGAGTTAGCTCAGAAGCCAAAGCCTGATCTGGCAGAGCTCTAGATCTGGCAGAGCTCTAGAATCTGGCAAGAGCTCTAGAACCGGCTGAAGAAACCGTGCTTCAAAAAGTTCACCTCTAAAAGTAGACTCTCGTGATCGTCGTTCATTTCGCGAGCCGTCAAATTCCAAGCGTCCAAACGGGTCTAAATTAAAATCGAAATTGAAATTTGAAGCTGATATGGGTGGAATTGCAATAGTAATTGCGCAAATCGAAAATCTGCAAATCTCAACCGGACAACGGACAACGGACAACGAACCTTCAACTCCTGCGCCCGTCTTCTTCTTTCCCCGCTTCCCGTCCTTGTCTCAATGTCAATCGCTTTCGATTTCAGCACTCTCTCCAATTCTTCCAATGAGCGGACGATGGCTTCGTTTCTGAAATTGAAAGCTTTGCTTGCTTAGGCTTAGGCTAAGCAGGGGCCCATTCGCGGCACTGGGGCCCATCCGGGCCACTGGGGCCATCCGGGCCACTGGGGCCATCTGGGGCTTATCTGGGGCACTGGGGGCCACAAATTGCTTGCTTAGGCTTAGGCTTAAGCTGACAGCCTTGATTTGAACTGGATCTGGCATAGTCCTGGATTGCCTACCCACGGTTTGGCTTCAGGCTGTTCAGTTTTATTTATAGTGTGTTCCTCACGCCGTCTTATATCCGCCGCCTTATATACACCGTCTTCTCTACGCGGTCTTATATACACCGCTTTAGATATACCGCCTTATATACGTCCCCTTAGATACGCCGCTTTAGATACGCCGTCTTAGATACACCTTCTTATATTCGCTGCCTTATAAACGCCGCCTTATATACACTACTTTAGAAAGGCCGCCTTATATACGCCGTCTTATATACGCTGCTTTACAAAGGCCGTCTTAGATACGCCGTCTTATATACGCCGCCTTATATACGCCGTCCTATATACGCCGTCTTATCTACGCCGCTTTATAAAGGCCGCCTTATATACGCCGTCTTATATACGCCGTCTTATATACGCCGTCTTATATACGCCGCCTTTTAAAGATGTTCAGCTGTTTAACTGATTTGCTTGCAAATTCCCTTCAAATGTAAAGATATATACAATTTACTCGAGGTGCAAAGAGGATTACTCGTAGTTGCTCGACCAAAAGCGTCGGCTAATCGCTTATCGGAGATTTGATAGGCCCCTTTCTGAGAAATTTGAGTTTAAAGCCCCGCCCCTTTTTGGCAATCCAACTTTGAGCTCAATTATCTTGAGGTTGGTTTGCTCAATTTTAACATTCTTGGTATCATTAGATTCGTCAAGTTTTTCTCTATCGATTGGTATAAAAATGATTCCGATTGGACAGCTAGATGCCAAGATAATTGAGTTCAAAGTTGAGTCCAATGGCAAAGGGGCGTATAAAAGGCGGCCTTCTGGCCCCGCCCCCTTTTAGGCTTAGGCTCAGGCTCAAAACAAAAACAAGCTACAAGCTTGGTACAAAAACTATTCTAATTGCTCAGTCCAACAAGAAGAAACTTTAGTCCAAAGCCCCGCCCCTTTTTCCCATTGGCAATCTAACTTTGAGCTCAATTATCTCGGTGTTGGTTTGTTCAATTTTAACATTCTTAGTCTCATTAGATGCGCCAAGTCATCCTCTATCGATTGGTACAAAAACTATCTAGATTGCTTAGTCCAACAAGAAGAAACTTTAGTCCAAAGCCCCGCCCCTTTTTCCCATTGGCAATCTAACTTTGAGCTCAATTATCTCGGTGTTGGTTTGCTCAATTCCAACATTCTTAGTCTCATTAGATGCGCCAAGTCATCCTCTATCGATTGGTACAAAAATGATTTCGATTGGACAGCTAGATGCCAAGATAATTGAGTTCAAAGTCGAGTCGAATGGCAACGGCACTCACCGATTCCACTCATTGACCATCTCCTCAATTTTGTCTTCTTCCAGATTGCTCTCTTGTCGACCGTACTCTTCCAAACGATTCTCCATCAACGATAACATTTTATCGACCTGAAAAAGGGGATTGATGAAGGGAAACTCGATTGGATCTCGATTTTTGGTTGGTTGAAAGTCTTCTATCAAAAATTTTCTATCAAAATTCTTCTATCAAAAATTTTCTATCAAAAAATACCTTTCCCATCTCGTCTTTCAGCTTTTCAGCTAAAATCTTGCAATCATCGAGTCGATCAACGGCTTCCTCAGCTCTAAGGCCGAGCTCCTGGAAGATTGATTCATTGATTGCCTATTGATCATTGATCTATGCCTATTGATCATTCATCTATGCCTATTGATCATTGATCATTGATCTATGGCTTTGTAGGCGTAGATCAATGATCACTAGCTCATTCATCTACGCCTACAAAGCTCTTGTGGCTCAGAAATCCTTTTGCCTCAACTTTTGTTGGCATTTTGTCGCTCAGAAATCGCAAAACTGAATTCCGGTGAATGCGAATTCATTGAGAAATTCATTCAGAATGAATCGCTCAAATTGATTACTTTATTTGCTTACTCAAATTGCTTACAAAACTACCCAAATGCTTACTTTCGTTTTCCTCTTCGCTATTTGAAGCTTCGCCTTGACTTCGGTGGCTTCGTTTTTGTCTAAAGTTGGACTAAGTTGGACTAAAGATGGACTAAGTTGGACTAAGTTGAACTAAAGCTTGTCTAAGCTTGTCTAAGCTTGTCTAGAGCTTGTCTAAGCTTGTCTAAGTTGAACTAAAGCTTGTCTAGGCTTGTCTAAGCTTGTCTAGAGCTTGTCTAAGCTTGTCTAAGTTGAACTAAAGCTTGTCTAGGCTTGTCTAAGCTTGTCTAAAGCTTGTCTAAGCTTGTCTAGGTTGGACTAAAGCTTGTCTAAGCTTGTCTAAGCTTGTCTAAAGCTTGTCTAAGCTTGTCTAAGTTGGACTAAAGCTTGTCTAGGTTGGACTAAAGCTTGTCTAAGCTTGTCTAAGTTGAACTAAAGCTTGTCTAAGCTTGTCTAAAGTTTGCCTTTAGATTTAACTCTGTTAGCGCTGTTGATCAACGATCAACGATCAACGGATCAGCAATTGACCAGACTTTTTCTCAATTTCTCAATTTCAAAGACTTAATTCCTTTGAAACCCATTGAACTCTGAACTCCAGAACTCCAGAACTCCAGAACTCTAGAACTCCAGAACTCCAGAACTCCAGAACTCCAGAACTCCAGAACTCTAGAACTCCAGAACTCCAGAACTCTAGAACTCACTTAAAATCGAATCTCGCAGCAATCTCTCCCGTCCTGTGTCGAGATCTTTCAACGTCTCGTCCAGGGAAATCAAATCTTTCACTGAATTCTTCGCCTCCAACAATCCGCTTTCGATTGACTCGAGTTTTAAGCCTAAATCGGGGCATTCTGGCACTTGCATTCTTCAATTCAATTCAATTCATTTCAATCTGGCTTCCTGGCTTCCTCAGCGGCAAACGGCAAGGGTTTTATGTATGTTGAGCTCTTGCAAAGCTCTGGCAAAGCTCTGGCAAAGCTCTTGCTCTTGCCAGCTCTTCCCAGCTCTTGCCAGCTCTTGCCAGCTCTTGCCAGCTCTTGCCAGCTCTTGCAAAGCTCTGGCTTTTCATTTACCTGTTAGTTCATCGAGTGAATGCTCGATTTGTGTGAGTTTCTCTGTGCACTTCTCTAGCTTTCCCTCGAAGTGTACGGGTTGCTTGAAAGTGGCGAAACGTGGCGCGAGATCGGCGAACGTTTTCTAAAAGTTTTTTATGAATTTTGTGGACGGTTGAAGAGCCGAGCCTGAGTCTAAGCCTAAGCCTGAATCTGAGTCTAAGCTTAAGCCTTCACCCTGTGGCCCAGGCTTAGGCCTCAACCCTGGGCCACAGGTCCAAGCCATTGCTTGGACCTGTAGTTCCTTAGCCTAAGGGTCCGCTATTGAACCCAATCAAAATGGAGTATGGTAACTGATAACTATGAAAGCCGATTATGAAGCCTATAACTATAAAAGCCGACTATAAAGCTTATAACCATAAAAGCTATTAGAGAAACATCGATCTAGAGTCTCTTCAGACTCTAGATCGATCTACTATAGTTCAAAGACTCTAGAGCCTGAGCTAGAGTCTCCGAACTATAGTAGATCGAACGATAGAGTACAGGATCTTATCGGCCTTTTTACCTAGACTAGGGAACCTGGGGAACCTGGGGAATCTAGGGAACCTGGGGAACCTGGGGAACCTGGGGAACCTGGGGAACCTGGGGAACCTGGGGAACCTGGGGAACCTGGGGAACCTGGGGAATCTAGGGAACCTGGGGAACCTGGGGAATCTAGGGAACCTGGGGAACCTGGGGAACCTGGGGAAGCTGGGGAACCTGGGGAACCTGGGGAATCTAGGGAACCTGGGGAACCTGGGGAATCTAGGGAACCTGGGGAACCTGGGGAATCTAGGGAACCTGGGGAACCTGGGGAATCTAGGGAACCTGGGGAACCTGGGGAATCTAGGGAACCTGGGGAACCTGGGGAACCTGGGGAAGCTGGGGAACCTGGGGAACCTGGGGAATCTAGGGAACCTGGGGAACCTGGGGAACCTGGCTCAGGTTTCCCAGGTTCCCCAGGTTGCTCAGGTTCTGGGGTTCTGGGTTCTGGGCAATCTAGGGAACCTGGGCAACGCTAGGCCTCAAAAAATACAGTAAAATAAAGCGAGTACGGTTTGAGGCTATGGGAGAGTCACTAGGATAAGTCAAAGCCAAAATCTAACAGCCAAAACTAGCAGCTCTATATCTAGCAGCTCTACATCTAGTCGATGATCCACATCTCTTCCCCAACCTCAGCATGTTTCATCTGTTCATCTAATCGTTCATTCTGCTCTTTTCCCGCGATTTCCCTCATCTCTCCAATGGCTTTCGTTTGCTCGTCGAACTCATTTTGCATTGCCTAAAAAGATTTGCATTTAAAAAGGTTGATAGGCAGAAAAGTTACTTAGAAAAAAAACTACATGGAAAAAGCATGCTTTATTTTTTTTTTTTTTTGAAAACATTAATAGCACTCTTTCACTAGTCAAATTGACATGCAAAACAGTTGAATTTGTGCATTTAAATTCAGATAAATGCTTGCATTTATTGTAGATAAATGCTTGCAGATAAAAGCTTGCATTCTATGCAGATATGCTTGCATTTATTGTAGATAAAAGCTTGCATTCTATGCAGATTTCTCGACTAAAATCCTTACATGCAGATTTCGTTGACTCAAAGAAAGAAAAACATTACGTTAAACGTTAAACAAACGTTAAACAAACGTTAAACAAACGTTAAACAAACGTTAAACACTCATCAATCTCACCGTAATCAAAGTGCCCGATTCAAAAGAATGCTGAAAGGATGAAAATAATGAAATTCAATGAAATTCAATGAAATTCAATGAAATTCAATGAAATTCAATGAAATTCAATCAAATTCAATGAAATAACCAGCTAAATCAAGATTTGGATCAATATTTGGATCAAGCTAAATCAAGGGATCAAGATTGGGACTCAACTAAATCAGCTAAGTCAGCTAAATCAACCAAATCAGCTAAATCAAGATTTGGACCAAGATTTGGATCGAATAGATTCGATTTAGATAAAGAAAACAAGCTTTTAAACAAACTAACAATACTTTTAAACAAGCTAACTCACTTTTAAACAAACTAACTCACTTTTAAACAAACTAACAATACTTTTAAACAAGCTAACAATACTTTTAAACAAGCTAACTCACTTTTAAACAAACTAACTCACTTTTAAACAAACTAACTCACTTTTAAACAAACTAACAATACTTTTAAACAAGCTAACAATACTTTTAAACAAGCTAACTCACTTTTAAACAAACTAACTCACTTTTAAACAAACTAACAATACTTTTAAACAAGCTAACAATACTTTTAAACAAGCTAACAATACTTTTAAACAAGCTAACTCACTTTTAAACAAACTAACTCACTTTTAAACAAACTAACAATACTTTTAAACAAGCTAACAATACTTTTAAACAAGCTAACTCACTTTTAAACAAACTAACAATACTTTTAAACAAGCTAACAATACTTTTAAACAAGCTAACACTTTTAAACAAACTAACTCACTTTTAAACAAACTAACAATACTTTTAAACAAGCTAACTCACTTTTAAACAAACTAACTCACTTTTAAACAAACTAACAATACTTTTAAACAAGCTAACAATACTTTTAAACAAGCTAACAATACTTTTAAACAAGCTAACTCCTTTTAAACAAACTAACCACTTTTAAAAAACTAACAATACTTTTAAACAAGCTAACCACTTTTAAACAAACTAACTCACTTTTAAACAAACTAACTCACTTTTAAACAAACTAACTCACTTTTAAACAAACTAACTCACTTTTAAACAAACTAACAATACTTTTAAACAAGCTAACAATACTTTTAAACAAGCTAACAATACTTTTAAACAAGCTAACAATACTTTTAAACAAGCTAACTCACTTTTAAACAAACTAACTCACTTTTAAACAAACTAACAATACTTTTAAACAAGCTAACTCACTTTTAAACAAACTAACTCACTTTTAAACAAACTAACTCACTTTTAAACAAGCTAACAATACTTTTAAACAAGCTAACAATACTTTTAAACAAGCTAACAATACTTTTAAACAAGCTAACAATACTTTTAAACAAGCTAACAATACTTTTAAACAAGCTAACTCACTTTTAAACAAACTAACTCACTTTTAAACAAACTAACTCACTTTTAAACAAACTAACAATACTTTTAAACAAACTAACAATACTTTTAAACAAGCCAACTCACTTTTAAACAAGCTAACAATACTTTTAAACAAACTAACAATACTTTTAACTAATTCCCGAAGCTCTTTTTTTAAATCTAAACTCTTAAAACTAAACAAATCAAACTTAAAATTTAAAATAAATGAAAGCTTAAAGAAAAAGCATAAAGAAAATAACAGAAAAGCTTTGAAAGAAAGACTTTTTTTTCAAGCCACACAACAGATTTCTTCGGATTTTCTTCGGATATTTGCGCACTCTCAAGAAAGAAAAGGATCGAATTCAGAAAAAGGAAAGGAAAAGAAGGGTTTTTGAAATAGAAATGAAATAGAAATAGAAATAGAAATGAAATAGAAAAGACTCTTTTTCGTTCAAAAGTTCCGCAAAAAAAAGTCCCCGAAAATCGTCACCCAATCTTGTATGATCAATAAAATGAATCAAATCAAAATCAAATCAAATGTGAGCCAAGCGCTTAACTATGTACAAAACCAACAGTCTTTATAGCTAGTTTTAACCTAGCTTCACCTGGGCCAGGCGCACAAGAGTTCCGATGGACGTTGGATGCTGCTGGACGGTGATGGACGCTGATGAAAGCTGATGGAAGCTGATGGACGCTGATCGGCGCTGCTGGACGCTGATGAACGCTGCTGGACGGTGATGGATGCTGATGAACGCTGAGCTGCAGGCTTTCCAGGAGAGCTGTAGGCTTTCCAGGAGAGCTGTAGGCTTTCCAGGAGAGCTGTAGGCTTTCCAGGAGAGCTGCAGGCTTTCCAGGAGAGCTGCAGGCTTTCCAGGAGAGCTGCAGGCTTTCCAGGAGAGCTGCAGGCTTTCCAGGAGAGCTGCAGGCTTTCCAGGAGAGCTGCAGGCTTTCCAGGAGAGCTGCAGGCTTTCCAGGAGAGCTGCAGGCTTTCCAGGAGAGCTGCAGGCTTTCCAGGAGAGCTGCAGGCTTTCCAGGAGAGCTGCAGGCTTTCCAGGAGAGCTGCAGGCTTTCCAGGAGAGCTGCAGGCTTTCCAGGAGAGCTGCAGGCTTTCCAGGAGAGCTGCAGGCTTTCCAGGAGAGCTGCAGGCTTTCCAGGAGAGCTGTAGGCTTGCACGAGCTTGCCAAAGATCTTTAATGTGATCAATCCAACAATTGTTTGGAAATAATCGAAAAGACGAATAATAATGGATGATGGGTTTCAGATGAATTGAGCATCCCAGGACGATCCCAGGATGATCAGAATGATCCCAGGATGATCAGAATGATCCCAGGATGATCAGAATGACCCCAGGATGATCAGAATGATCCCAGGATGATCAGGATGATCTCAGGATGATCAGGATGATCCCAGGATGATCAGGATGATCTCAGGATGATCAGGATGATCAGGATGATTCCAGGACAATCCATTTATTCAACTTAGTATAAAACTAGTTAAAAGACAGTTGGTTTTGATGCTTGAACATAGTTAAAAGGCTCGGCTTGATATCTTGATCGAAATAGATACCGATTTGATCGGAATACATACCGATTTAATCAAATCTCTTTCCCAAATCTCTTTCCCAAACAAACCTTGTACTCTTCGGGGACATCAAGTGCTGAGATATCAGCTCCTTTCCTTGCCGCGAGTAAAGCTGAGAAACGTGGTGCCCATTTCTCGAGTTCACCAGCTAAATTAGAAGTTTATAGGGCTGGTTTTGATAATTAGAATGGAAGTACAACAATTCCAATGAAATTCCAACAATTCTAACGATTCTAATCCAATTCAAATGAAATTCCAATGAAATTTCAACAATTCCAACAATTCTAACGATTCTAATCCAATTCTAATCCAATTCTAATCCAATTCCAATGAAATTACAACAATTCTAACGATTCTAACGATTCTAATCCAATTCCAATCCAATTCCAATCCAATCCACCCACCGATTTGATCAAATCTCTCACACTGATGAACTCTATCGTTGATTTGTTGGATTCTCTCTTTTGCTTTTCCCTGAATCTTCTCTCTACTAGCACTGTGTCTTTGCCAGCTGTCCCGGACGAAGTTTTCGTTGATCGCTGAAAAATGAGAACATTTCTTAGCGATTAGAACGATTTCGTCAACGATTTGAACGCCAAGAAAAACAAAACAAACAGTTTTCTCGTTCTAGCCTCTAGTTGAAAGCATTTTCTATCTGCATTAGTTACTCAATTCAAAAGCTTTACCTTCAACAACTGGCTCCAGTCCACTCGTGTCAGGCACTTGCTCGAGTAGGCTCTCAATTTGCTGGAAAGTAAGGATTTGGGAAGAAGCTGGCTGACTTGGGAAGTAGCTAGTGGACTTGGGAAGGCTTAGGAAGTAGCTAGTGGACTTGGAAAGGCTTAGGAAGTAGCTAGTGGACTTGGGAAGGCTTAGGAAGTAGCTAGTGGACTTGGGAAGCAGCTGGCTGACTTGGGAAGTAGCTAGTTCACTTGGGAAGCAGCTAGTTCACTTGGGAAGCAGCTGGCTGACTTGGGAAGTAGCTAGTTGACTTGGGAAGTAGCTGGCTGACTTGGGAAGCAGCTGGTTCACTTGGGAAGTAGCTGGCTCACTTGGGAAGTAGCTGGTTCACTTGGGAAGCAGCTAGTTGACTACTAGCGTCTGTTACAGTAATCCTACAGTAACCCTACAGTAATCCTACAATACGAGGCTTAACTATAGACTTAGTGATCCAAAAGAGAGCAGCTACAGTCATCCAATTCATCCTACAGCTCTTACATCAAGGTGTTCACTCAATTGCTCTGCATCAGCAGCCGATTCACTCTCGACAAGCGTCTTTTCAAGATCTTTTAGCACTCGATCACCGTCATTGATTGCTTCTAAAAGGAATTTGTGAAAGTATTCATTGTAATCATTGATTGTAATCATTATCAGCCATTTGAGACCGAGATTTGATCACTTCATTTCCCTTTTGCAATTGCAATAACTTTGAGCTCAATTATCTCGGTGTTGGTTTGCTCAATTTTAATATTCTTGGTCTCACTAGATTCGCAAAGTCTTTCTCTATCGATTGGTATAAAAACTATTCTAATTGCTCAATCCAACAAGAAGAAACTTGAGTCCAAAGACCCGCCCCTTTTTCCCATTGGCAATCCAACTTTGAGCTCAATTATCTCGGTGTTGGTTTGCTCAATTCCAACATTCTTGGTATGATTAGATGCGCCAAGTCATCCTCTATCGATTGGTATAAAAATGATTCCGATTGGACAGCTCGATGCCAAGATAATTGAGTTCAAAGTCGAGTCCAATGGCAAAGGGGCGCGGGGCGCGTATAAAAGGTCTTCCTGGCCCCGCCCCGTTTTAGGCTTAGGCTTAGTTAGGGTTACCGTAGCTGCACAAAACTCACTCTGCACACTCATCCTGTGCTCTTTCTTCACGCACGAGATCGTGTCCTCGATCGAGTCGGCCAGCTTTGACCAATCTTCCGCCAACTTGTTCACCCGGGCACGCCAAGCGGCTGTGATCTGGGCAAAGATGGGTTTGAAAGGCACAGTACTCTTACTACAGGCTACTATAGGCTACTATAGGCTGCTACAGGCTACTATGGACTATTAGAAGCACAGAATGGGTACTCTAGCAAAGAATCAATCCAAAACTCACATCTTGATCCAAATCCGGATCCCTTAAAAGCATCTTCTCAGCCAATCTCTCCGCATCTTTTCTCAATGTTTCTTCTGCAGCCAATTCTTCTCTCAATCCATTCAAACGAGCGATCACCGCCGGGAAATCGTCGGTCGAGTTTGAAGCGGACTCGACTTTTGATGAGATTCTGAAAAGGCTGAGGTTACTGGTGGAACTGGTGAACTAGGAGGACCTAGGAGGACCTAGGAGGACCTAGGAGCCTGGGAGGACCTAAGAGGACCTAGGAGGAACTGGTGGAACTGGTGGAACTGGTGGAACTGGTGGAACTGGTGGAACTGGTGAACTAGGAGGACCTAGGAGGACCTAGAAGCCTAGGAGCCTAGGAGGACCTAGGAGGAACTGGTGGAACTGGTGAAACTGGTGTTACAGGCATTACAGGCGTTACAGGCGCTACAGGCGCTACAGGCGTTGAGATCTGGTCTAGCATCTAGCATCTAGCATCTAGATCTAGCAGCTGACTAATCCAGCCAATAGCCGGCCATTCTATTCATTTTTATGGAATATTTATGGTCTATTGATGGTCTATTTATGGTATGTTATGGTCTATTTATGTTCTATTTATGCTTTCCCGTCTTTCCTCACCGATCGAGTCCAATCTGCGCTTTCTCGATCATTTCTGCTGCTTTTTGCGTGATTTCCAATCGCTCCAACGTCTCGGCGCGTCGCTTTTCCGCCATTTCAACGAAATCGATCGGGAGTTTCTCCTGAAATCTCTCTTAAAATCGCAAATTTACATCTAAAATCGCAAATTTTCATCTAAAATCGTAAAACTTCATCTAAAATGGCAAAATTTCATTTAATATAGCTTGTTTAATAGCTCATTTTGTAGCCAATTTGATGTAGTTTCTTAAAGTAAAGCTACATTGAACATTTGCTTTGTCAAAGCTACGAGAAAGAGGGCGAGGAACGACTTCCTCGCCTCGAGTTGAACTCGGTCGCTGTTTGAGAATTGCTCTGAATTTGTTCCTCGACCTCTTTCTCCTAGCTTTCAACGATTGTTTTAGATGGCTTTTCTTTAACAAACTACATCAAATTGGCTACAAAATGAGCTATTAAACAAGTTTTTTGGCTGAGTAGAAAATTTTTTATAGCCATTTTTGAAAAATTTTTTATAGCCATTTTTGAAGCTAAACTTTGAGAGCTCATTTTGCTTAAAACCGATATCCAATAGTACCCCATCGCCCCCTCGTACAGTCGCGTAGTCGCACAGTCGTACAGTCGCGTATTTCATTTGTTTTCAAAGCGCCCGTACTTCCAAAAAATGCGCGCTTTCAAAAAATAGCTGAAATTCAGGGCTATTTAAATAAGGTTTTTCTCGACACCGGTTTATGCTACAATGCGCGCTTTGGTATCAAAAAATAGCTGAAATTCAGGGCTATTTTTTGATACCTAAGCGCGCATTGTAGCATTAACCAGTGTCGAGAAAAACTCGTCCAAAGCTAGACTACCCAACGCTCCGCACCGTCATTATGGGGCTGGGGTACTATAGTACTATTACAGTACTATTACAGTACTATTACAGTACTATTGCTATTATCAATTCCTATCAATTCCTATCAATTTCTATCAATTCCAATCAATTCCAATCATTTTCCTATCAATTCCTATCATTTTCCTATCATTTTTCAGCTTTTACCCCCTTCAGCGTCTGTGTGAGCTTCTCGATTTTCGCGAAATCATCGCGCAAATGTCGCAAATCGCCCACCGAGTGCCAGGGACCGGACAAGCTTGTTTCTAGCTGGAAAATGGTGAGAGAATTTATGAAAAACATGGTCAAAACAATCAAAACATAGCTAAATCTGTAGAAATTGTGTAGAAGCGAACCTCTTTCAACCGTGGCTCAGCTCCGGGAGCACTCTGAACACTTGAAGTCATCATCACTGACGAGGTGGGAGTTACCTGAATTTAGCGATAAATGGAATCGAAATCGGTTTACGCTGCTTGTTTTTGATTTGAGCCTGAGCCTGAGCCTGAGCTTAAGCCCAAAAGGGGGCGGGGCCAGAGAGACCTTTTATACGCGCCTGGCCCATTCGACTCGACTTTGAACTCAATTATCTTGGCATCAAGCTGTCCAATCGGAATCATTTTTGTACCAATCGATAGAGAAAGACTTGACGAATCTAATGAGACCAAGAATGTTAAAATTGAGCAAACCAACACCAAGATAATTAAGCTCAAAGTTAGATTACCAATGGAAAAATGGGCGAGGCTTTAAAGCCAAATTTCTTCTTGTTGGACTGAGCAATCTAAATAGTTTTTTAGACGAATCGATAGAGGATGACTTGGCGCATCTAATGATACCAAAAACTATTCAATTGGACAGCTCAACACCAAGAAAATTGAGCTCAAAGTTGAGTTCGATGGCAAATCGGCGTTTCAAATGTCCGCAAACCTTTTTTTTGAGCTCTATTACTGTAAATTTGAGGCTGGCTTGGCTATGGTAACAAAAATGGACTCAAAAATAGTAGCAATATACTGTAGACACTACTGTAGACACTACTGTAGACACTAAACTCTAAACACTATACTGTTACAGTAGTGCTTTTGTTTTTTAAATAGATATCTTTTAGTTTCTATTCAAACGAGTTCATGTAATCACCGGTGCCTCGAAAGCAATATGTTGTTGTAAACGTTTCCCAATCAATTGCAATCCCTTCGTGAGAATGGCTCGTTTGAGATGATCCTGAAAGAAGGGAAATCAGCTTTGAGGAAATGAGAAATGAGGGAGAAATCGTTTTGAGGCTTCTTCTGGTTACTGTAGTAGTCTAGAGCTTGCAGGAAAGCTTCGAGTCTGGCTTTGGATCGCTCGTTGAGCTTTGGATAGCTTAGCTGGGGCTTTGGATAGCCTAGCTTCTTGCTTTGGATAGCTTAGCTGGGGCTTTGGATAGCTTAGCTTCTTGCTTTGGATAGCTTAGCTTCTAGCTTTGGATAACTTAGCTGGGGCTTTGGATAGCTTAGCTTCTTGCTTTGGATCACTTACCGTATGGCTTTCGATAGCTTACCTTTTGGATAAAGTTGAGATTCGAATTCTGTGTGTCCCATTGCTCTTTGAGCTTTTTTGCGCGCAGAGCTCGCTCGGAAATCGACGCTTTCTGCATCTCGTTGAGTACCTGGAAATGAAGACTTTTTACTTCATCTGTGCCTGTCCCAGATGTGCTAGGTTCTCTCAAATTGTACGTGCCACTCACCCGCTCACATCCCTCCATCCATTGCTCGATCCCTCTCGCCACCACTCCTTCCTCGTCACCATCGGAGTGACCCGAGAGAACGTTCAACGCTTCGCTGATCTTGGTCACAATCTCGGCCCAATCCTAAAGAAGAAATAAGTTATTCTTGCAACAGAGTTTGATCTGGAACGCACACTATGAGCTACAACTGTACAAATGACGATTCGGACGATTTTGAAGAAATTGCGTAATTGAACCGAGACCAAGGCTTGAAACCCGGATTTTTCTATGGGAACTTGTATAGTTTTGATAGTTTTCTTTGATCTGGAACGCACACTATGAGCTACAACTATACAAATGACGATTCAGATGATTTTGAAGAAATTGCGGACCTGGGACTCCATACGTCTCTTGACAGGACGACAGTTCTGGTCCTTGGTTCTGGTCCTTGGCTGTACCCAACTAGCTGCTAACTTACCCTCTAGTCCAGTTATGATCTGACAATGGTCTAGTTCTGGCTCAGGCCCAGGCTCTGGAAACTGTGACCCTAGCTGAACTCTAAGCTGAGCTGCCTCTACTCTGGCTGTCCATTAGACTACTCTGGCTGTCCATTAGACTACTCTGGCTGTCCATCAACCATTCTGGTTCTCTGGCTGTCCATCAACCATTCTGGTTCTCTGGCTGTCCACTTGCCTAGCCTGTCCGACTTGACCTTAGTCTAATTGTTAGCTGTTACTGCCTGAAGTTTACCCTGAAAGTTATCCCACTTCTACCTCGAATACTGACAATCTAATGCTAACCAAATAACCAATAAACCCTCCAAAAAATAAACCTTTGCAAAATGAGCAAAAGCGTCGTTGGCGGCTTTGAGTTGCCCGGCCGAGAGATCTTTGTTCATGTGGATTCGCTCCATTTCGAGTTGCAAATGATTCACCTGAAAGTGGAGATAGGCTTAAATCGATTTGGGTCGCGTCCGTTTCCTTCCTATTTGCGTTTCTATTTTGCAATTATTCGCGTCGCATTTTTCGTCCTTTTTCTCCGTTCCCGAAATTATCTTGAGTCTACTAAGCAATTCTTCAGTTTTCTATGCTATTTCTGACTTTTCTATGCTATTTTCATCTAACAAACCTTTGCCTCTTGTTCTTTAATCTCGACGAGTTTCCCCTGACAAAGTGCAATCATTTTTCGAGCCTAAAATGGTTAAAATGATAGAATAGTCTAATAGAAAAGCTTATAGAATAGTAGATTTAGATATTTCTTATTTTTAAATAGATTTCTTTGATATTATTTTCTGATATTTTTATCTGAAAACCTCAGTCGGCCTTTTGCTTAGCGTAAACGCGTGACACCAATCGGATAATGGGCGCATTTCGGTGGAAACTCGCTCCACGTGCGCTAGGAAACGATCGACAATCTAAAAGTTCGAAAATTTCTCGATTTTTAGAGATTTGCTTTGGTTTTATTTGGTGAAAAGTGAACAAGGCGAAGCTTTTTTTTATTTTGAATTTATTTTGAACTGCTTGCTTTGCTTGCTTTGCTTGCTTTGCTTGCTTTGCTTGCTTTGCTTGCTTTGCTTGCTTTGCTTGCTTCCTTAGCTTCCTTAGCTTCCTTAGCTTCTAGCTTCCTTATCTTCTAGCTTCCTTAGCTTCCTAGCTTCCTTAGCTTCCTTAGCTTCTAGCTTCCTTAGCTTCTAGCTTCCTTAGCTTCCTTCCTTCCTTCCTTCCTTTCTTCCTTCCTTCCTTCCTTCCTTCCTTCCTTCCTTCCTTACTTCCTTACTTCCTTCCTTTTGAACGTTAAATCTAGCAACTCTAGCAACTCTAGCAACGCTGAATGTAAAGAATGAAATGATTACTGACTGATTCTTCTTCTCAAACTTTTATCTAACTTACATCTTGATTCAAAGTCTCTTCTTCTGGATATTTGACGTTTTCTGTATCAGTTTCCTCGATTCTCTTCTTTTCCTCGGATTCTGCTTGAATTGGCGTTTCAATCGGCGTTTCAATCGAAAGATCGGGCTTTTTCAGACCAGCTTTCCCGCTTTTTACTAACTGAAAAAAGATCTTAAGAAAGATTACTTAACAAAGAGATTACTTAAGAGAGATTACTTAACAGAGAGATTACTTAACAAAAGCTCATACAAAATTGCAAAGCTTCAATACAAAATCGAATTCATTTCAACAATTCCCTACCGTATTCGAATGCTCCTCGATTCTTGTGACTAGATTGTCCCATCTTTGTGTGAGCGTGTCCAAACGACGGCGAACCTCGTTTGCCGCCGCTCCATTTCCCGTGTCAAGCCTAGCATTCTTTTTGTAATCATTTTTCTTTGTACTTATTTGTAAAAACTTTAATAAAACGGCCCCCGATCAGAGCGTCGCTTAGTCGAAGTTTACTCTCAAACAAACGCTTACAACTTTGACACTAGTACGCTTGTTTCTCAGTGTTTAGGTATCAAATTAAAGTAGAGAAAATGGGTGTTTTTTTGAGATATAATACATATTTTTAGCATTAACCAGTGCTTAGAAAAACATGATTGAAAATCGGCGAAAATCAGCGAAAATCGACTCTTGAAAAGTGGCAAAAAATCGGCTTTTTTTGCTATTTTTCTATTCTTATGCAAATGTGTTCTCCCCTGTGCTTATCCCTTTTATTGCCGAGAAGGGGCGGTCCTTGGGATTGCCTAGGAGGACCTAGGAGGACCTAGGAGGCTAGGAGGACCTAGGAGGACCTAGGAGGACCTAGGAGCCTAGGAGCCTAGGAGGACCTAGAAGGACCTAGGAGGACCCAGAAGGACTTAGAAGGACCTAGGAGGATCTAGGAGGAGCTAGAAGGACGTAGGAGGACCTAGGAGGACCTAGGAGGACCTAGGAGCCTAGGAGGACAAGTGAGACTCTCATTTGGAGTCCCCCTTACCCTCATTTGTAATCTATTCGTCTTATCGTACTACTGTACTACTGTAAATAAAGATTTATATCTTGCAACTGCAGTACAGGTCGGTCATTTCACAAGGACTCCCCTCTAATACGTTGGAGGAGTTGAGTTGGGTTGTACTGTTGAATTGGGTTGTCGGGGTGTTAGAGGATGGCGGGATATGAAAAGGATCCGCTCTCTTTAGCCACTTATTATGCCACTTATTCAAGCGATGATAAAAAAAAATCCAAACCTTGCCACCAGTTCACAACTGAGTTGACTAGCTCGAACGAAAGATGAGTGTTCAGCTTCGAGTGACGCTTCAGCTTGTTGAAGGAGACGAACCTAGGAATAGTGATTTTAGTGACAGGACAAGATTTCCTGTAACTTGAAGACTTCCTACAACAGCCTAGAGCTAGAGCTAGAGCTAGAGCTAGAACTAGAACTAGAGCTAGAACTAGAGCTAGAGCTGGAACTAGAGCTAGAGCTAGAGCTAGAGCTAGAGCTAGAGCTAGAACTAGAGCTAGAGCTAGAACTAGAGCTAGAGCTAGAGCTGGAGCTAGAACTAGAGCTAGAGCTAGAACTAGAACTAGAGCTTTTTAAAGCCCCAACCTGTTCAGCGACTTGCTCGCGCTCGTCAAGATGATGCGCGGATTTGAGGCCGAGTAGTTCCTGAAAGAGTTTTTAAAAGTACAACAGTACAACAATGTACAACAATGTACAACTCACATGTTCCCGCTCTTTCAACCAAGCATTCAGCCTTGAAAACACCTCATCAGCCGTGTCAAACAACTCAGCCAATCCATCGAGATGCTGTGCTCGAGTCTCAGCCCACAAGCATATCCCTTCCCATCTGGAATTTGAATTTAAACTGGACTAGTTTAATCGAGGTTAGGCTAAAGGCTAAAGGCCAAAACAAAGGCCAAAACAAAGGCCAAACAAAGGCCAAAAGCCCAAAACCAGGCCAAAACCAGACCAAAACCAGGCCAAAACAAAGGCCAAAACAAAGGCCAAAACCAGGCCAAAACCAGACCAAAACCAGGCCAAAACCAGGCCAAAACAAACCTAGTACTGGTATGACTAAGTCTTAAATCTCTGGTTTTACTAGGCAAAGGCAAAGGCATTTTTTTAGCCATCCATAGTAGGTAACCCTATTTCGATAGTGTCTTGGGTTGGCTTTGAGCTGACCTAGGGCATTCTAGGAACAAGAGTAACTTATCCCTTTTGAAACCCCAGCTTTTCTTTTAGACAAACCTTTGTCCAACCGTTCGCAAAGTGGTCTCCAGCTGGGCCACCGACATATCGCTTTCTGTTTCACCTTCGTCAACCTGGAAAGGTTCTTGAGTTTATTGTTGGTTTATTGAGTTTATTTTGGGTTTATTGTTGAGTTGGAAAGATTTATTGATGAGTTGGGAACTGAAGACGATCAGGTTCAATGGGCTGACTCTGGCTTAGTTCGATTTGGCCTAGTTTCCCTTGAGTTCTGATCCAGGACAGAAGCTGGCTAATAGTCAGGATGGTTTGTAAGCCTAGCCAGGATCCGGGTCCACCAACAGTAGGCCTGACCTGGCCAGGCTTTTGAGCCAAAAGGCCAAGACAGAAGCTGGCTATTAGCCTGGACGGCTACTAGACAGACTAGCTGGCTACTAGACAGACTAGCTGGCTACTAGACAGAAGCTGGCTACTAGACAGACTAGCTGGCTACTAGACAGACTAGCTGGCTACTAGACAGACTAGCTGGCTACTAGACAGACTAGCTGGCTACTAGACAGAAGCTGGCTACTAGACAGAAGCTGGCTACTAGACAGAAGCTGGCTACTAGACAGACTAGCTGGCTACTAGACAGACTAGCTGGCTACTAGACAGACTAGCTGGCTACTAGCCTGGACAGAAGCTGGTTACTAGCCTGGACAGAAGCTGGTTACTAGCCTAGCCAGCTATTAGCCTAGACAGCTATTAACCTGGATCTAGCTTTTGTCCAGTCTATCCAGCCCAGTCCAACTTCAAGAACCCAATAAACCTTTCAAAATCAATTCCAAATCTCCTCAACTCACCACAGCTACAAACGAGCTCAGCTGGGCAACAGTCGGCTCAAAGTCAGCGATTCGTTTTTGTAGCCGAGCGTGGTCTTCGATCTAAAAATGGGTTAGTCAAAAGATCCAAAGAAAGAGAAAGATTAGTTTAATCTAAAATTGGTCCTTTACTACCTTTCTCAGTAGCTTTCCTTTGGTAGCTTTCCCAGTCCGGGTTACGGACTGGGAAAGCTATCGTACTCCAAAGAGATCCACTAGAAAACTAGTTTAACTACTCTTTTACTACCATAACCTCACTGTGAAAGCTACCTGATTGGGAAAGCTGACTGGGAAAGCTACAAACAAACAAAACTGTATGTTTGTCTGTTCAGCCAGCCAGCTAAGCCAGCCTAAACCCCACCTGTTTCAATGCAGCGTCTTGTGTCTCAGCTAAAGCACCAGCCGCCGTGATCAACGTCTCTGTATCAGCCATCCAACCACAAATCTGAAAATCAAGAGATAGAAAGCTACAGTACCGTAGCTACAGTACTCAGCTACCGTAATCCACTGGGTTACGATAGCTGAGTCACTGGGCTATGATAGTTGACTTGCTAGGCTACAATAGCTGACTTGCTAGGCGACTTTTTAAAGATCAAACCTCATTCAATTGCTTCTGTTGGAGAGTGGTGAGCGCGCTTTGAAGTACCGTTTGACGATCCATAGCCAGCGCCCTGGAACGATCCATAGCCAGCTTCTCATTTTAACGAGTTTTCTATTGAAATTGAATTCAAACTCACCGTAGCCTTTCCCAACGCGAATTGACCAGCTCAAGCTGTTGCTGAATCGCCTCGCGTTCAGCCTCGGTCTCCGATTTTTGGCAAAGGAGTTGACCACTGAAAGAAAATCGAGCTTCGGCAATGGCTGGCTGAGCTTAGCTGGCTGGCTGGCTGGCTGGCTAGCTTAGCTGGCTAGCTTAGCTGGCTGGCTGGCTGGCTGGCAGCTGGCTTAGCTGGCTAGCTTAGCTGGCTGGCTGGCTGGCTGGCTTAGCTGGCTGGCTGGCTTAGCTGGCTGGCTGGCTGGCTGGCTAGCTTAGCTGGCTAGCTTAGCTGGCTGGCTGGCTGGCTAGCTTAGCTGGCTGGCTGGCTTAGCTGGCTGGCTGGCTGGCTGGCTTAGCTGGCTGGCTGGCTGGCTTAGCTGGCTGGCTGGCTAGCTTAGCTGGCTGGCTGGCTAGCTTAGCTGGCTGGCTGGCTTAGCTACCCAATGGGCTTTTCAAAAGGCAACAAACCGATGCAATACCCGTCCGACGGTGTCCTGACTCTCGGTGAGCGAAGCCATGAATTGCTCGTAGTCCCTGGAAACGAGTTACCGTAGCTATTTCAGAGATGATCGATACAAAAAAGCCGATATCTCTTGGGAGATTTCTCTTGGGACATTTCTCTTGAGACATTGGCTCAAGGCTTTGCCATTGGCAATCTATCAATAGCAATCTAATCATCTTTACACGGCCAGTAAATTGAATATCTTTACATTTGAAGAGAATTTTCCACCAGAACAGTTAAACGGCTGAATATCTTTAAAAGGAGTCGTATATAAGGCGGCACATCTAAGGCGGCGTATATAAAGCGGCGTTTGTGATTTTTGTGGAAACGCATTGCTCGTGCGGAACACACGACTCTAGCTACCTGAATTGCGTCTTCACCGCCGTCACATCGTTTGTTTCCACATCGGATAGGACCGCACACTCCTCCTCAGCCTCGAGCAACCAGGCGAGCACCTGGAAAAGAAGAAGCTTTGGTTTTTAGAAGCCTCTAGAAGTGGCTGACCTGTTCCAAGCACGAGTCGAACTCTTTCGCCAACTCGTCCTTTTTCATTTTCTTTCCTTTCGATGATTTTTGACTTGACGACGAGGATTTTCGAGAACGGATTGATTCGACCTGAAGGGAAATCTTTCTGTTTATGTAACTGAGCTGATCTGGTCAGGCTTATCTGGTCAGGCTTATCTGGTCAGGCTCATCTGGTCAGGCTAGTCAGGCCAGGCTAGTCAGGCCAGGCTAGTCAGGCCAGGCTAGTCAGGCCAGGCTAGTCAGGCCAGGCTAGTCAGGCCAGGCTAGTCAGGCCAGGCTAGTCAGGCCAGGCTAGTCAGGCCAGGCGTTGAACTGATGCCTGACTGATCTAGCTGACTCAGCCTGACTCTCGCCTAACCTAGCCGGATCCTGACCCAGCCAACCCTTTTCTAGCGTGACCTAGTCCAGCTTAACCTGATCAGAGCTGGTTATCTGGGCCTATCTGGTATCTGGGCTAAACCTGAGTCTTTCAAACTGGTCTGGCTCTGGTCAAGCCTAGTCTAGTCCATTGCTAGGCTATCTCTAAATGATATGGGTTGGTCTAGCTTGGTCTAGCTTGGTCTAGCTTGGTCTAGCTTGGTCTAGCTTTGGTTTTGGCTTTGGCCTTAATCTGAGAGCTTGATCTAGCCTTGATCTAGAGCATTTCAAGAGAATTTTTCTCAAAACCAAACCTCATTTGTCGGATTGTCGATACTCTGTTGTTTTGGCTGCTTTTCACGTCTCAAATCAGTCGATAGGGCCACTGTCTGAAAGAGTGATCGACTTTGCGCTTAAATGGCCCTTTCTCCCGCAGCGCTATTAGCTATTTTAGAGATTTAGGCATACCTGTACCTGCGAAACGAAAGGCTCTGGCAAGATTGGTAAATGAAAGGTTTTCTCAACGGTTGGCTCGTCCTGTTGTCCGGCACTTGATGGCTGAGACATCGCCAGAGAGTGAGACTGAGATTTGGTTGCATTAATGGGTCTCTCAGTACTGTAGATTGGACTGGTAGTCCATAAAAGTCCAATAGACATCCAATAGACAGACTACAGTCATCTAGCAGTTACAGCTCTATTACAGTCATCTAGCAAGCCCTAATCTAACGAGTATAGTAATCTGAATGGCCACAGCGATCTGACAGAGCTCAATAGCCAGCTACAGCCAACTACAGCCAGCTACAGCCAGCTACAGCTGCCAGAGTTGGCTACAGTAATCTAGCATAGCATAGCATGTAGCCAGTTATGGCTATAGCTATATTCAAATACCTACAACTACAGTAATCCTCACCGGCTGTTCTTCGATGATTTGCCCTTGTAACGAGAGTGGCTCTGGATTTGTCAATGGTAGAGAATGAGGATCGGGGAGAGGCTGGAAATGAAGCTTTTTACGGACAAGACTGTCTTTAACACGAACTACAATAGTCTAATAAACCACTCAAGTACAGTAATCGTACAGTAAGCGGACGTGGGCTGGTCCTTGGTACTCCAACGCCGAGCTTGGCTTGGCTTTGATCCAGCCTATCATAGCTGGGCCTGGGCTTGGCTTGGCCTTGACCCAGCCTGTCATAACTGGGTCTGGGCTTGGCTTGGCCTTGACCCAGCCTGTCCTAGCTGGGCCAGGGCTTGGCGTGGCCTTGACCCAGCCTGTCATAGCTGGGTCTGGGCTTGGCTTGGCCTTGACCCAGCCTGTCATAGCTGGGCCTGGGCTTGGCTTGGCCTTGACCCAGCCTGTCCTAGCTGAGTCTGGGCTTGGCTTGGCCTTGACCCAGCCTGTCCTAGCTGGCCAGGGCTTGGCGTGGCCTTGATCCAGGCTGTCATAGCTGGTCAGGGCTTGGCTTGGCCTTGATTCAGCCTGTCATAGCTTTGGCCTATGTTCTAAGTATCTATTTCAAAACGTACTTGTCCAAAAGCTGGCCCAGTCACTCGTTGTCCTTGGATTTGCCTCTGTTCTTCACTTTTCCCTTGTAGCGTCAAATACAAAGACACTAAATAGACGACCACCGAGCGACTGTCCAAGAATTCGCTGTGAAGATCTGGAAAAGGATAATTGATATTTGAAAATAGATTATATGGGAATAAAGAATGTTTAATCAAGCTTTTATAGACTTTTATAGACTTTTATAGAAGCTCTGTGCACCAGAAGCGGCTCGTTTACGAGAAAAATGACCACACACAGAGAGAGAACACAGAGAGAACACAGAGAGAACACAGAAAGAATTTTAAATAGAATAAAACTACAATTTATAAAAACTATAATAATTTCATTATTATAATCAATATTATTAAAAAAATGAGTCGGAAAATGAATAAATTCTAAATTCTCTAGCTGATCAATCTCTTTTTCGGCTTTTTCAGACACACACGCGTCTTTGAATGAATCATTGACGCGAAAAGAAAAAAGAAGGAAATGATTCACAAATGATACTGATAAGTTGAAGCTTTTTAACTGTACAATACAATAGCAATCAAATCCACATTGCTAACAGAAAATTGATAACACAAAATGGCCAAACTGGATGTCACAGTAGGTTTTTAAAAAGAGAAAATTGTGATTTAAGCATTTTGAGCATTTGGGTAACTGAACCGGACAGTGGCTGACTGAAATTTGTGAATATTCTGGAGGAAAGTGATTGTTTCGAAAATGGAATGGCCAAGCTGGATGTCACAGTAGATTTTTAAAAAGAGAAAATCACGATTTAACCATTTTGGCCTTATTGGGTAACTGAACCGGACAGTGGCTGATCGAGATTTGTGACATATTCTAGAGGAAAATGATTGTTTTAAGCAAGGAATGGCCAAACTGGATGTCACAGTAGGTTTTCAAAAAAAGAAAATTGTCATTTAAGCATTTTGAGCATTTGGGTAACTGAACTGGGCAGTGGCTGACTGAAATTTGTGAATATTCTGGAGGAAAATGATTGTTTTAAGCAAGGAATGGCCAAACTGGATGTCACAGGAGGTTTCCAGAAAAGAAAATTGTGATTTAGGCATTTTGAGCATTTGGGTAACTGAACCGGACAGTGGCTGACTGAGATTTGTGAATATTCTGGAGGAAAGTGATTGTTTCAAAAATGGAATGACCAAACTGGATGTCACAGTAGGTTTTTAAAAAGAGAAAATTGTGATTTAAGCATTTTGGCCTGATTGGGTAATTGAACCGGACAGTGGCTGATCGAAATTAGTGAATATTCTGGAGGAAAGTGATTATTTTAAGCAAGGAATGGCCAAGCTGGATGTCACAGCACAATTTCTGATAAAGCTTTTTAAATAAAGCTTTACTAGTTATAAGTTTAGTATTTCATTTCAGTGAATGCCTGGTTTTGCTGGATTGCTGGATTTGAATGAATGCCTGGATTTGATTTCCGGTAAAAAGCCGGTTTTGCAACGGTTTCCGGCTCAGCAAAAGCAATTTATCAAGCTGAAAGCGGTGATTTTTGGAAAGCTGGCAATGAAATAATGAAATAATTTACTTCCCAAGATAAAACCTTACTCTTAGCGAGCGAGATCAGAGCAGAATCAAGCTCAAATCTGTCCCGAAGCCAGGTCAAGACTAGGGCTGCAAACTAGTCGGCTAGTCTGCAAACTAGTCGGCTAGTCTGCAAACTGGTCGGCTTTAGAGGCTAGGCCAAAGCCAGCTCTGAGTCTAGTTTCTAACAAATCAAATGAATCTTTGAAGGAGAAAAGGTCAGAAGGCTTTTTGCTAGGTTTTTAGCTTAATTTTGTCCTAATGGACTTAGATTTTGGTGATTTTTGGTTGGAAAATGAATGGAAATGAATGGAAATGAATGGAAATGAATGGAAATGATGGAAAATGAACCAAAATGAACCAAAATGAACCAAAATGAAGGAAAATGAACTAAAATCAATGAAAATCAATGAAAATCAACCAAAATGAACCAAAATCAACCAAAATCAACCAAAATCAACGAAAATCAACGAAAATCGAAGCGCTGATGGAAAAGAGGGATTCCAGAGATTCCAGAGATTTCAGTGGAATCTGGAATCCCTCTTTTTACCTTTACAAAAGCCACAAAAGCCACAAAAGCACAAAATCCACAAAAGCCACCAAATTCTGTTTTTCCTTTGCAATGAAAGGCCTAAAATTTCCGTCTTTTCCCCTCAATCAATCAATCTTTTCCCTTTCAGAAAACAGACTTTTTGTCGCCTTGGGGCAAATCGAAAAGGAAAAAGGAAAAGAAAAAGGAAAAGAAAAAGGAAAAGAAAAAGAAGAGAAATAAAAGAGATCCGAATGCAAACCTTTTTCCCTCTTTTCCCTATCAAATATCGATTAAATTGGACCCTTTTTAACGGCTTTAGAAAAGCTTTTTTAGTAAATTCAGTAAATGATAGCGAGAGGCTTCAGTAAACGGCAATTGATATAAAAATTGATATAAAAATTGATACCAAAATTGATACAAAAATTGATACCAAAATTGACCCTAAAATTGACCCCAAAATTGACTTTAAAACTGTGCCCAATCCCAATCTCTATATCGAGAAACCCTAGGCTACAAATTTTAACCAAAAACCGACGATTCTGAGAGAGATTTTGAAGAAATTCGGTAACTAACCGAGATCAAGCCCTGAAATCCCGATTCTCAAAGGAAATTCGAATGATTTCCATAGTTTTTATCTCATCTGGAACGCACACTATGAGATAAAACTGGCAAAATTGAGAACCGATTCGATTTAGCGAAATTGGGTAACTGAACCGAGATCTGGCGTGACCCAATAGGCCCAAAATGCTTAAATCGTGATTTTCTCTTTTTAAAAATCTACTGTGACATCCAGCTTGGCCATTCCGGTTTTGAAACAATCACTTTCCTCCAGAATATGCACAAATTTCAGTCAGCCACTGCCCGGTTCAGTTACCCAAATGCTCAAAATGGCTAAATCACAATTTTTTCTTCTTGAAAACCTACTGTGACATCCAGCTTGGCCATTCCATTTTCGAAACAATCACTTTGAAACAAACAAACAAACCAGCCGTCACCCTCCACCCCGGTTCAGTTACCCAATAATGTCAAAATCGAATCGGTTTTCAATTTTGCCATTTCTATCTCATAGTGTGCGTTCCAGATCAGATAAAAAGTATGGAAATTATTCGAATTTCCTTTGAAAATCGGGATTTCAGGGCTTGATCTCGGTTTAGTTATAAAAATCGAGTTTTATTAGAAGAAATTTCAAAAAACTTGATCTGAAAAGGCTGAATTATTTGGAAGACTTGAAAATAAGACTCATAAAAGAAAGGTGAGAAAGTTTATTGGCTGGAAAAGACGGGGGAAATGGTTTACGAGAGATAACACGAGTTCACACCTCATTTTTTTGAGCATTTTTTTTGAGCTTTTTTTGCCGGGAAGTTGAAAATAGGTCTGCAATTCGTTTTCACAAAATAAAAGAGAAAAAGAGCTTTTTTTTGAGTAACCGGTGAGACTTGAAAAAATTTGGTGTGCCAGACGGCAAATTTATTTTAAAAATTTGATGTGCCAGAAGGCGAGCGTTTACAAGAGAGCACAAAGTACACTCAAGCAAATTGCAAGCTAAGGAAAAATTGCAAACGCATTCAATCTAGTGCACTCAAACGAAAGTGTGACTTCCAGATGGGGTGTTTTTGCGTGAAAAAATCCCTGTCAACTGGGAAATACACGGGAAAATAAGCTGGGAAAGTTTTGGTGCAATTTTTGACCGAAAAATTTAGAGAGAAGGAGAATTTGTCGAAATATAAAGGAAAAGACAGGAAAACGAAGAAAATGACGGAAAAATTTGGTATGCCAGAAGGCAAATTTAATGAAAAAAATTGGTGTGCCAGAAAGCGAGCGTTTACGCGAGAGCACAGAGAACGCACAAAGTACACTGAAGCAAATAGTAAGCTAAGGAAAAATTGCAAACCCCTGCAATCTGGTGCACTCAAATGAAAGTGTGACTTCCAGATGGGGTGTTTTTGCGTGAAAAAATCCCTGTTAACTGGGAAATACACGAGAAAATAAGCTGGGGAAGTTTTGGTGCAATTTTTGACCGAAAAATTTAGAGAAAAAGAGAATTAGTCGAAATATAAAGGAAAAGACAGGAAAACGAAGAAAATGACGGAAAAATTTGGGGATTTTTTGTCGGGAAAAGACAGTGTTCGGGTACTCGAATCAATCACAGACACCACTCAGCCGCTCTTTTTCTTTTTCTTCTTCCTTTCCTCCCCCTCCCCCTTTCTTGCCAAACACATGTACCTGTTAAATCTCTTTTCTTCTTTTCTTTCTGTTTTTCTCATTTTTACGTCAAATACCCAACCTTTGACCCTTTTTTTGGCTGGTTTAGTTACCAAATGGGTAACTAAATCGAGACCAAGCCCTGAAATCCCGATTTTCTAAGGAAATTCGAAAAATTTCCATACTTTTTATCTGATCTGGAACGCACACTATGAGATAAAACTGGAAAAATTCAGAACCGATTCGATTTTGACAATATTGGGTAATTGAACCGGGGTGGAGGGTGGCGGCTGGTTTGTTTGTTTGTTTTAAAGTGATTGTTTCAAAAATGGAATGGCCAAACTGGATGTCACAGTAGGTTTTCAAAAAGAGAAAATTATGATTTAAGCATTTTGGCCTTTTTGGGTAATTCAACCGAGCAGCGACTGACCGAAATTGGGCATATTCTGGAGGAAAATGATTATTTTAAGCAAGGAATGGCCAAACTGGATGTCACAGTGGGTTCTCAAAAAAAGAAAATTGCGATTTAGCCATTTTGAGCATTTGGGTAACTGAACCAGGCAGTGGCTGACCGAAATTTGTGAATATTCTGGAGGAAAGTGATTGTTTCGAAAATGGAATGGCCAAGCTGGATGTCACAGGAGGTTTTCAAGAAGAGAAAATCGCGATTTAAGCATTTTGGTCTTATTGGGTAACGCTGGAGGGCCGATTAGAGAAAACTTGATGCTTCGGTTTGTACTTTGTGGTCTACTTTTTGCTCCCCTGTTAATGCATCCTTGCTGGGGCACTTTTTCACCACGAGAATGGTTTGGTTTAGTTTCTCAAGATGCCCA